CATCGTGAAATGATAAAAACTACAGACTTTCCTGAATCCGGAAATATGGATCAGCTGAAAGAATGGACGACAAAATTTAAATCAACCAGGAATAGGTTTCGAAATGAACAAAATCCATTCAATAAAAGGTTAAGTAAGATATCAGGAAAGTCTACATGTAAAGACCAAGCCAAGAAAATTGCACATGAAAAGTTGCAAAATGAGCAAAATTCAGTTGATAAAAATTTAGAAAAGCCTGAAATTTCAACTAAAGATCAAGCCAACAAAATTGCACATGAAAAGTTGCAAAATGAGCAAAATCCACTTGATAAAAATTTAGAAAAGCCTGAAATTTCAACTAAAGATCAAGCCAGCAAACGTCAAAAGAAAAAATCTAAATCGAAGTCATTAAAAAATAGCTTGATAGAAGAAGAGCAAAAAACAACCGAATTGGAACCAGAAAAACCAAATTCAAAAATTCAAAAAAATTCGCTTGAAGAAGAAACGCCGCCAGTCAGCGTTGTGAACATGAAACAATCGAACCAGCAAAAGACAGCAAGCAACAATCTGATAGACGAACAAATTTCTCAAAAAGATGATGATTTAGAATTTGAACTAGAATGGATAAAATTTCAACCAGAATTAAAAAGACAAGAAGAAGAATTTCAAAAAAAAATCGATCATTACAAAGCTATAATAGAAAGGAGAAACAATGAATTGGCTGATGAAATGAAACAATTAGATAATGAAGAAAAACAACTAAATGAAATGGAAAAAAATGGTAATCTAAGTAAGGAAAATCTAAAAAAATTGAGAATCGACTTTTTAGATCGAAAAAAACAAGCAGAAAAATATAGATTAGAAAATAAAAATTTTGAAGAAATACTAAAGGATGAAATAATACGATTTGAAAAAGCAAAACAAAATAAAGAAAATGCCAAACAATTGTTTCGACAAAATTATTATCTTAATAAAGAAAAACAAAAAACATCAACAGTAGATTTTGAAGTAAAAATGTTGAAAAAATTTCAACAAGCAGAAAAAGAACGACTTATTGATCAAGAAAAAGATCTTAATGAATTAAAAGCTATAATTGAAGCGAAAAAAGAAAAATTAGCTAAAAAAAATGAACAAATAGATTTTGTTGAAAAACAATTAAATATGATTGAAAAACAAAGAAAACTAAATATGGATGAACAAAATATAAGAAATAATATTGTTAAACAAAAACAACAAATAGAAAATGTTGATAAAAAATTGATTGAAAAGCTTGAAAAATCATACAATAATGAATTAGAATCCATTAAAGAAGCATTAGAAGAAAATGAAGATTATTATCAATATTATTTGACACTTTATTCACAAAGAACCAAAAGAGAAACTAATGAAATAGGAAATGTAAATGAATTAAGTAATGATGAAAAGAATTTATTGAAAGAATTTATTGAAGATAAAAAATCATTCAACAAAGATATCAAGGTGCCATCTAATGTACAACAATCAGAGTATAGTGGTGGTCAAATCAAATTATCATCAACATTATCTACAAAACAACAACAACAATCATCCAATTTCATAGATTCATTAGCAAAACGTATACAAAAAACAATGAATCAAACAATTTTTTCAACAACAGCAGCAACACAACAATTGCCTGAACAACAATTTACCGATTTTACTAAACATTTTTAATTTAATAACAAACAAAAAAATTAAAAATAAAAAATTACATTTATTATTTACAAAATAAAAAAGATTAAAACGATATTCCTTTAGGTGGTCTCAAAATTATCATAACTTTTTTTTTATATTTATAAAAATTAAATTTTTCTGTTTTTTGCGTTTATAATTTCCATTGGTTTCCAACTCTGAATACAATCTGGAAAAAACCTGATGAAAAAAATATCATCGACCTTACCACCAAACACCACCAACACCAACAATATCATCAATTGCGGACAATGACTTTACCGACCGGTAATGGTTGATCGGATGATGAACAAACAACAGCGAACAAACGAATGATTCATTCATTCAATCTTTTTCTTTACTAACCCTAACATCAGATTTTCAGTGACGAATGAATGAATGAATGAATGATAATGATAATGACCCTCTCTCCTTTTCTCTTTCTTTTCTTTTCTTTCCTAACCTGGCTATTGTTGATTCAAGCAAGGCAAAACAAACCGGTAGAGAAAACATTGAAGAGATTTTTTTTTAAAATAAAAAAATGTTTATTTCAATTTTTTTCCGCAATTTTAATTGAAAAAATAATTAAGAAAATACTGGAGGGAATAGAGAGAGATAGCATGAACAATTTTCGAGTTGTAATTGTGCATGCAAGCAAGAAATGTCCGCATAGGGGAAAGCAAATGATACAAAATGTACAACAACAACAAAAAACTTCCGTTTTAAAAGAAACAAACGAGAGAAAAGCAAAGCAAAGCAAAAATGAAGATGATTGAAAAATGATTGCTAAAATGTGGATAAAAATATTTTTTCAATCAGTGAAAAAAAAGAGAGCTACAACCACACGCGATATATTCGTTTGGAGCAAAAGATTGATTATTTCAATTTTCCAAAAAAACAAAAAACAAAATTTCACCTGTAGATATTTCTGTTTTCAAACGGTTGTTTTTGGTTGGTTGTGGCAAACTATTGAAATTATTTTTAGCTTGACGGGAAAAGAAAAAAATTTAAGAATTTTGCCAAAATATTAATCATACATAGATCGAGTATTTGTAGAATTTCTTCTTTTTCTTATTTTTTGACAATTTTCTTTTCTTTCATTATTTCTATCCGACCAAAACATTCATTATCAAGAGCAACCGAATTGAATTGAACAACGTGAAGAAGAAGAAAACAAGAAAAGAAAAAAAATTTTCTCTCTCATCATCATTTGTGGCCGTTATATCCAGTTAATCTTTGTTATTGGTATCATCATCATTGTTTCAGTTCAGTTCATCATCATCATCAGACATATATCAGTGTGCAATCATCCAAATTTTTGTTTCCATTATCGTCACAACCTACATAGTAGACGGGTAAATTATTATATAACACCTACTGAAATGTTATAAATTATTTTCGTCATTGATTTCTTTCAAAATACTTACAATTCAACAGGATCGAATGTGTGAAATTTTTTTTTCGAAATCATTTTTCTAGCCATTTCGAACAAAGAATAAGCCACGTTTCAATGATAATTTAGAGATTCGTTGTTTTGTTTTGTTTTTCTTTCTGGTTTTCATTTGTCAAATTCATCGATAATTTCGTTTTTCAATTAAAAAAAAATGACAACAAAAACTCAATCATCATCATCACCATCGACAACATCATCGCCACAATCCAAACAATCATTACATCATGTAAATTTCAAAACAGATGATAATAATAAAATGAATGAAAGAAAAAAACGTTATCTAACAGCCAAATATGGACAACATCAAATGAATTTGATAAAAAAACGTTTAAAAGTTGAAACATGGATGTATGAACAGTTACAATTTTTATTTGATTCTGTAAGTGAAAACCGACAACAAAAACAGAAATGTTTATGTAATAAATCTTTTTCTAAACAAAACAGGATGATAACCTAAACAATATCGATATCGATCTTGATGAAGTTTTAGATTTGGAAGGTAAAATACGTAAACAATGGTTAAGAGTGAGTAAAAATTATCCAATAATTTCTTTCTTTTCCTTTATTTGAATCGGTGTTTTTGTTTTTGTTTTCAATTCTTAGGAAAAATTAATCGATGCAAAAAAATCCAAAGAATTGGTCGAAAAATTTATTGTGGAATTATTGGAAAAGGCTAATACGTTATAACAAACAAACAATCAACAAAATGAATGATGTCTTTTTTAGGTGTAAATAGTGTGTGTATCTTTCAAAATTTCTTCATTTCCGTGTATGCATTTATTACATGTAAAAAAAAAAAATTTGTTGCCCAGCATTTTTTTTTGTTTTGTTTTGTTTTTTTTTCTGGTCAAGAAATGAAAATCTGATATGGCCAAAAATAACCCATAATATTGCCATTGAGTCACAGAGTTATATGTACATGAAACAGAAAAAACAAACGATCATTCAAACAATCGAATGTTTTGATGGCTACAACGAACGATTAAAATAAACTGACTGACTGAATTGACAAACTGAATTTTTTCTTCTTTTCATTTACAAATACATTCCATTAATTAAATAATCCGAATCATGTGCTAATGATCGACCACGACGTGCAATACGTTTTTTAAATGTTTTCATACGACAACCAACAATAACTATTAATATACAGGTGATTAATAAACCTAATGTTAATGCAATAACAGCACTATTTGTTTCTCGTCCATTTTGTTGTTGTTGTTGTGAAGCTTGACGATCATGCATATACGATATGGCAATAATATTATTTGTTGATGGTTGATGATTTTTGATTGACATTTTTTCATTCGACATTATATTTGAATATTTTAAATTTGTCATCGGAATATCGATTATTTTGTCATTTTTATTATTTGATTGTTGTTTAACATTGTCATTGATTTTCATTGATAAATTATTAACTGTATCATTGAATTTATTTCCAATTGATAATGGTAAATTATTTTTGAATTCATTACTTAATGAATGTTGTTGTTGTTGTTGAAGAAGTTGTTTTTGTGTATTAGCAATTCGATATGGTGAAAATGGTTGTTGTTGTTGTTGTTGTTGTAATACAATTGATGATGATTTTGGTTGTTGTAATTGTTGTGTATAATCTAATTTCGTACGACTATTATCATCCATTAATGATAAAGAATTTGGTAAAAAATATGGTGCAACAATATCATTCGATGTTGATGATAATGAATGTGATTGTAGAAAATTTTCCTGTGGAATATTTTGTTGATATTTAAATGAAGGCCAATAAATTGGTTCAACTTTTACGTTCGATTGAAGCTGTTGAAGTTGTTGTTGTTGTTGTTGTTGATCATCATTGATCGATGATGATAATGATTTATCCAATTGTTTTTCCGGTAATGAATATTGATTCCAATTTGATCCCCAAATATTATTATTATTATTATTATATTCATTATAATCTCCTTGAATATGATTTCTGGGTGATGGTAAACTATTTTCATCTAAAACTTGTTGTTGTTTATCATTTATTGATTTAGGATAATTAAAGTTAATATTTGAATATGGTACGGATTTTGAATTTTGAATATTTGGATTATGAAATGAAGAAGATGGTGATGATAGAATATAATTTGATGGTAAAATTCCTCGATTTTGTATTGGATTTGTTTGTATATGGCTACCATTATTATTATTATTATTGTCGATTGTATTCTGTAATGAAACCGGATCATTGGACATTGTATGAACAATATTATTATCTATAATATGTTGTTGATTATTATTCAAACGTGATTTATGACATTCTAATTCAATTGATTCATCACTACCATCTGAACATTGTGCAATACCATCACAAACATTATATATTGCAATACATTCACTATTGTTTCTACATTCAAATTGATAATGTCGACATTTTGATACTAAAATTTAGAGGATGAAGGGGTTAAACAAAGTTAAATTTGTTTTGTTTTTCTACATACCTTTTGCAATCGATGCTGTTGTTGTATCCAATTTTATTGAATCAATTGTTTGAGATGTAACAATACCACCATCATTAATAATATGTTGTGGTTTTTCTTTCAAACCAACCAATTCATTTTCCTGACTTGTTTGTGATTTCCATTCATTCAATAGAAATGAATTTCGATTTGTTTGTAATATTGAACTTGTATAGAATGCATGTGATGCAAAACGACATTTAAAATCTTGTAATGATCCACAATCAAATAGATAACAGCTTCCACGTGTCTGTAAACAAAAGAAACAAAGATTAATTTCTTTCATCAAATCATAATTCTAGAATATTCGATTGTTACTTTTTCTTCAAATACAGCTAAATTACAATTTGTTGTATTCCAACACCATGATAAACATTCATCATTTGATGATAATTCAGTTTCATTTAGATATTTTGCACCTAATGATCGAGAATCATGTGTTTTAATAATAGAATTTTTATTAATACGAAAATTTTTATAAAAATATTCTGATCCTTTCGATGTTGTCGATGATGAATGATCAACAGATTTTGAATTCCTAGTCAATGATACATTATGATTCGAAAGAATATTCTTTTCATCTATTCCACTAACAAAATTCAATAAATATAAATAGGAAAAGAAACAAAAATTGTAAAATTTTATCATTTTTTCGGGATTTGAATTTCACAGTTGCAAATGCAAAATTTTTGGTTTGCTGATTGTTTATACCGAACAAAAAAACAACAAGGGGAAAAAATCCAGGCAAATACGACCTTCCTATATTGCTATTGGTTGACGGTTCCACAACATGCCAAAGTAGATCAAGACTTGAAAACAATTTTCATTTTTTATTTTGAGTCTCTCGATTCGGGTAAAACTATATAGATGGAATCTATATATACGAAACAGAAAGAATTTTCCGGAATAGACGGCCAAAATGGATGACCCGTTATCATATAAATAAAATGAAAATACTTTTTTTTTTGTTGTAAATTTATTGGATTTTTATTATATAATAAATTACATAATGGAATTAAAAATTAAAATGAAAAGAAAAAAATTGGAAATTTTGGAAGATGTCTAATAATAAGACGAATAATAAGACAAAAGTTTTTGTTTTGAATGATCAGGATAAACCTATTCTTGAATATTCATTATTCGAGCGAATTATAAACCAATAATTGTTTCAATACTTTTGTTTGACTTGTTTCACGTATTTCACCAGCCAAAAACATTTCATCAACAACTGAATAAACTTTATAAAAATTAAATACTAAATCCAATTCGCATACATTATGAAAATATTCATTTAGTACTTCGACAAAATTATGTATTGCTTCTAGATAGACAAGATTATTATCGCTCACATCAACACATATACAAAAATATAATCCAGCATAACGTCGATAGACAATTTTGAAATTACGAAACTAAGGATTGAATTGAATTAAATTAGCTTTTAAGATGATATATATTCAACTAAACTTACCTCGACAAAATTAGTATGTTTAGCATCACGAACAGTGACAACAGCATGAACTTCTTCGATTAATTTTTGTTTTTCATCATCATCAAAATTCATATACCATTTGGCTAGACGTGTTTTACCCGCACGATTTTGAATAAGAATGAATCGAATCTAAATAAATGATGGAAAGAAAAGTTGATAAAAAGTTTGAAAAATTCTTCAAAAATCAAACCATTTTTGTAGATGATTTTGTCGATTATGAATTTAGATAAATCAAAATGACATTTACAACAATCAATTCCCGAACTGTCCAAACGCCCAAACAAATAAAATAACGTCACGTTACTTGTGTGCGACTCCTATTGAGAGAGAAAAAAAAACACGATCATATTTTCAGCATTTTTTTGTGTTCGACATTTTTGATTTAATTTTTTACTTTTTATCTGAAAAAAATTTAACTAAATTTCAAAAATGATTAGAGGAAAAGCCGCCAAAACTAAAGTGAAAAATAAAGCTCCAGCTGAAATTCAAATTACAGCTGAGCAAATTTTAAGAGAAGCAAAAGAACGAGAACTTGAAATTGTTCCACCACCACCGAAACAAAAAATATCCGATCCAGATGAATTAGCCGATTATCAGCTCCGAAAACGTAAAGCATTCGAAGATAATATTCGTAAAAATCGTTCATCATTTAGTAATTGGATTAAATATGCTAAATGGGAAGAAAGTCAACAAGAAATTCAACGTGCTCGTTCAATTTATGAACGTGCATTGGATGTTGATTATCGAAATATTAAAATATGGCTAAAATATTCACAAATGGAAATGCGAAATCGACAAATAAATCATGCCCGAAATGTATTGGATCGTGCTGTATTAATATTACCACGTGTTAATCAATTTTGGTACAAATATGTTTATATGGAAGAAATGTTACAAAATTTATCCGGTTGTCGACAAGTATTCGAACGATGGATGGATTGGGAACCAAATGAACAAGCCTGGTTTACATATGTTAAATTTGAATTACGTTATAATGAAATTGATCGAGTTCGTGCTATTTATTCACGTTTTGTTACCGTTCATCCTGAAGTAAAAAATTGGATCAGATTTGCTCATTTTGAAGAACAGAATGGATTTATTGCAAACAGTCGTGATGTATATGAAAAAGCTATCGAATTTTTTGGTGATGATTATCTTGATGAATATTTGTTTATGGCTTTTGCTCGATTCGAAGAAAGTCAACATGAATATGATCGTGTTCGTGTTATTTATAAATATGCATTGGAAAAATTAAGTATCGAAAATAGGCAAAATATTTTCAAACAATATTCATTGTTTGAAAAAAAACATGGTAATCGTTTTGAAATTGAAGATGTTATTTTTAACAAAAGAAAAACACATTATGAAGATGAATTGAAACAAAATCCATTCAATTATGATCTATGGTTTGATTATGTTCGTCTTATGGAAGATGAAGGTGATGTTGAAATGACAAGAGAAGTATATGAAAAAGCTGTTGCAAATGTACCATTGAAAAAAGAAAAACGATTATGGCGTCGATATATTTATCTTTGGATTTATTATGCCATATATGAAGAACTTGAAAATAAAGATTATGAAAAAACAAGAGAAATTTATAAATTTCTTTTGGAAAAACTTATTCCACATAAATCATTTACATTTGCTAAAATTTGGATAATGGCAGCCAAATTTGAAATACGAAGAAAAAATCTAACCGAAGCACGTAAAATATTGGGAACATCTATTGGTCTTTGTCCAAAAGATAAACTATTTAAAGAATATATTGAACTTGAAATTCAACTACGTGAATTTGATCGATGTCGTATTTTATATCAAAAATATTTGGAATATGCACCACATAATTGTATAACGTGGATGAAATTTGCCGAATTAGAAAATATACTTGGCGAAATTGATCGTGCCCGACAATTGTTTGAAATTGCAATTGATCAACCAAAATTAGATATGCCTGAAGTTATTTGGAAAGCATATATTGATTTTGAAATCGAAATGGAAGAATTTGATCTGGCTAGAAATCTATATGAACGTTTATTAGAACGTACTGAACATGTAAAAGTTTGGATAAGTTTTGCTCAATTTGAATTATTGGCCAACAAAGATGATCATGAATTTGGTGTATTACAATCTAGAAATATTTATCAACGAGCAAATAGATCATTGAAAGATGGTGAAAAAGAATCACGATTAATGTTATTGGAAGCATGGTTAGAATTTGAAACAAAATATGGTGATGAAAAATCATTAGCATCGATACGTAAACAGATGCCGAAAAAAGTTAAAAAACGAAGAAAAATTCAAACAGATGATGGATCCGATGCTGGTTGGGAAGAATATTTTGATTATATTTTTCCAAATGAAACTGAAAATGCTGTTCATCTTAAATTTTTGGAAATGGCCAAAAAATGGAAACAGAATCAACAACAACCGCAAACGTCATCTAGCGAATCTTCATGAAAAAATTATTTATAATTTTTTACCTTATTCGAATAATATGCGCCTACCTATCTATTTTCAAAATGATATTTTGTGATTAGTCGAATTTATCATCATTTTTTTCGTGTTTTGTAAAAGCATCTAATATTTTTACATTATAAACATTCAATGTAAAATAAAATTCATTCATTTTTAATCATGCCAATGTTTTAACTTTGAAACAAAAAAAAAGGACAATTTCATTTTATTTCACAGGAAAGACATTTTGATTTATTTTTCTAAAAGGCGTACAATGAATTGAAAAAACTTTTACAAAATAATAATGAATGCGCCATCACATTTTTTTTCGAAAAAATTCATTAATAACATTGTTCAATGATTGAATAACTTTAAAAAACAAACAATCCGAATGACGAGGAATTTTTACAAAAACATGTTGCTTCTTTCTTTCTTTCTTCTTGTTCGGGTTATGTTATTCGAAACGGTTAAAAAAATTGCAAGTATACATCAACCGATTTTTTAAAAGCAAAAGTAAATAGAAAACAACATCCGAATAATAAATTTATTGATTTAATCATAATTAATTGATTGATCTTCCAATTTTGTTTTTCGTTATCCTATTAGTCGCGTGTGTTTATTCGTTTATCATTTCGTTTTCGAATGTTAGTCAAGAATGTTTGTATTTTGTATCGATTTTTAGCGGCTGATTACGAATAAATGAAAACGACGACGATGATCAATAGCTGAAGGACTTATCAAATCAAAAAACTCGCTCACAAAATATTATCCCAGCAAAATATCTTAGTTTGCATAATTCAAACAAAAATCCTTTTTTTCTTTCTTCCATATACGTTGTTCCAGAAAAAATTTCTTCTTTTAACAACAACAACAACAACAATGTCAAATCAAAAGAAAAAAAAGGATAAAAATAAGAAAAAAAATGGTGGTGAAACATCCAAATTAATACCATCCGATCTTTACAATGAAGTAACGAAATTTGTTGATAAAAATACTTTATTGGAATATATGGAAACTATTCAACAAACTAATGAAAGCATTATTAAAGGTGAGCAAATTTTTTTTGGCTAAAAATGTTTGAAAATTGTAATATTTCTTTTCATTATTTTTTTGGTAAGATTTAAAACAAGCTTATGAAGAAAAATTTCGTCCATTTGAAGAAAGTTTTCTTTATAAAGATTTTCCATATGCAACCGAACCGGATGATGCATTTTTCCGTGCAAAACCAATGATTTTATTGATTGGTCAATATTCATCAGGGAAATCAACATTCGTAAAATATTTGATTGATAAAGATTATCCAGGAATACGTATTGGTCCTGAACCAACTACCGATAAATTTGTTGCAGTAATGTATGGTGAAGAAAATTCTATTATACCGGGAAATGCATTAGTTAATGATGATCGAAAACGTTTTAAACCGCTTACAAAATTTGGTGGTAATTTTTTGAATCGTTTTCAAGCCGCCCAGGTTAATAGTACTGTTCTTAAAGGCATTACTATTATTGATACACCTGGAATTTTAAGTGATACTAATAATAGTGCTGGTTATGATTTTAAAGGTGTTATTGAATGGTTTGCACAACAATCGGATAGAATTTTTCTGTTTGTTGATGCACATAAATTAGAATTATCTGGTACATTTCAAAAAATTATTGAAATGATAAGAAAATATGATGATAAACTAAGAATTGTTTTAAATAAAACTGATTTAGTTACTGAACAGGAAATGATACGAATATTTGGTGCTTTGATGTGGTTTCTTGGTAAGTTTTCTAAATCAGTTAACCCCTTTCTCTCTACTTTTTTCTTCTTTCTTTAACCACAACAACAACAAAAAAAAGGTCAAAGTTTAGAAATGAAAGAAGTAATACAAATTTATGTTGGTTCATTTTGGGGAAAACCATTTGGTGATGAAAAACGTAGAAAACTATATGAACATGAAGAATTTCGTATTTATGAAGATTTATCAAATCTTCCACAAGAAAGTTTACTACGAAAAATCAATTGTCTTGTACGAAGAACAAGACAAGTATCGATGCATGCATGTCTTATTTCGTATGTATATTCTGAATTTATTTTTACAGAAAACATTATTTAATCTCTTGTTGTTGATGATATAGTATGGTCAAGGATAACATACGAAGAACATCATTACTTCGATTTATTTTTGATAAACAAATCAAAAAAATATATCTAAGAAAATTACATAAAATACGTGCAAAAATTGAAAAACAATATAATTTTACCAGAGATGAATCACCCGATCTTAATCAAATGAAACGAGCATTAATGTCAATCAATTTGAATCGTAGAAAAACATTTAATAAAAAATTGTTTGCCGCCAAAGATGTATTCATACATGAAGATTTGCCGAACATGATAGACAGGTACAATCATTTATTAAAAAAAGATAATTTAATTAAATTTTTTCCAAAAAAAATCAACAGAATAAACAATGGTAAATTTCCGAAAATGATTTTCGAGGCAAACAATGAAGGAACACCATTTGGTTTTGCAAAAGGTGAAGGTTTTGATGAAGGTTCAACTGAACCAAGCAATTGGATTGTAGTAAAATATCTAGAAAATTATCAAACATTATTCAATGAATTGAAAACTCAAGATGGAAAAGTTACAGGTAAGTTTTTAATTATAAAAAGTTCATTACAATTATTATTATCATCATTTTTTTTTATTTGTTTTGTTTAGCTTCGAAAGCAAAAGCAGAAATGCTTAAATCAAATTTGCCTGCAAAAATATTGAATAAAATTTGGAATTGGTCGGATATTGATCGTGATGGTATGCTTGATCGTGATGAATTTGCATTGGCAATGTTTTTAGTCAGTGTTACACTTAAAAATTATGATTTGCCTGAACAATTGCCCAGACATTTAATACCACCATCAAAACGTAGAATGATAACAATTAATAGTCAATGAATAAATAAATATACTAAATATTAAAATTAAAATCCAAAAAATTTTTGAATTTTATTCATTAGACTTTGTTTTCGATGAATATCAGTTTTATTATCGGATTGTTGATTATCATCTTGATCATCATCATTAGACGTTTCTGTTTGAATTGGTTGATTTATAATGATAAAATTTTGTATTGGTGATCTACATAATGGACATGTATTAATTTGTTCAAAACAATTTGAACAAACACATGCATGACGACATGGTAATATTGCACGTGTAATCATATTTTCCAAACAAATTATACAATTAGGCATTGGATCTTCATTCGATTGTTCACTACATATATAAAGATCTTGTAGATTTAATACTATGCCGGATTTTCTTTTTATATATTGACCAATAACACTTGTGGTTAATGGTACAAGTGAATCTTTTAAATGAATAATCGATGCCATCATAACAATATCATTATTTTGTAATTGTTCTTCAATTTCACGATCATTCAATAATAATATTATTGCTAATGGATAACGATCACGTGGAGTGTTTGTAAAAAATGTTGAATCCAATTCATCGGGTGATTTAATTTTATGTACAATTTTACTATATTCATCTTGATAAAGTTCAGGATCATTAGCATAATAAGCAAATTGATCATGATTAAATTGATTATCGATTAATAAATTCCTAATGGTTAACCAATCATATGCCAATTTTTCATGAAATTCTTTTATTTTAACAGCCCAAAATGAAAACAACCAAAATGAGCATTCACAAACAATATTTACTTTAACTCCATCATTATAATTATCAACTTTTAATGATTCAGAATCGATTTGTAATAAAAAAGGATTACGTAAACGTTGTGATTTGATGGGCATTTTTTGTGGCCGTCCACAGGTCATAACATTATTTTCATGATCATTCATTTTGAATTTTTGCTGTAAATGTTTTTTAAATAATTCCGAAACGCAGTTGATCTTACGGGTCACCATAGAAATATATCTAAAAAAAATTCTATTTTTTGTTGCTGCCATCTTTTGACTAAAAATTATTTTGATTGTACAGAAATATTTTTATTTTATTTTTTTCCTATAATTTTCAAATCAAGAAATTCAATTTTTATCATAAACAATTTTTTAACCAATGACCAACGTATCACCATCGAATACATGATCTGGTACCTCAAGATTAGCTGGTGCTGGACCTTTTCGAATTCTACCCGAAGCATCATAATGGCTACCATGACAAGGACAATAATAACCACCGAAATCTCCTTTACCAGCTATTGGTACGCAACCAAGATGAGTACAAATACCGACTACGACTAACCATTCTGGATTGGGTGCACGTTTTTCATCGTGTTCTGGATCACGAAGTTGACTGATATCGACCGCTCTTTCCTGATCGATTTCTTTTTGTGTTCGTCGTCGAATGAAAACAGGTTTACCTAGACAAAAATTATACCGATTGAAAACAAAAATCGGAAATCGATTAGATTGTATTACCTCGCCATTTAACAACAACATTTTTGCCTTCGGGTATGTTTCCGATGTTAACTTCAACTTTACTCAAAGCAAGACAATCTCTAGCCGGTGATAACATATTAAGTACACCTTGAACCATATGCTTAGCAGCAACAGCACCACCAACACCGACACCAGCGGTTACAATATAGGTAAAAGCACGTCTATCATCAGAAGATTCAGCCGATCTAGGTGATAAATCTTTGTTTGATGGCCTTCGGTATGATGAAAAATCTGGAATATTAACATCGGTATGAGCCAATCTATATTGATGGCTAACTGAAATTCATAACAAATGACAAAAAAAAATTAATCAAAACAATTGTTCAATGATTTAAATAAACCATAAACTTACCTCCAATTCCGCTAATTGCTTGAGATTTATTTTTAAACAGGTGAACATTCAAATTAAAAGCCGGTTTCAATGTTATTTTATGCAATGGCAAATTAATAGCAAAAGCTGGTACCAATTGTGGCATTGTTTCAGCTCGTTCTTCCCAATCACGTTTCAATGATGGAAATGATGATGTTATTCGCTGTCCACCACAAGCTTGTGTAACAGCTTTGGCAAATTGGCCAATTCCAATGGATCGACTTTGGATCATATTTTTTATTTTTCTTTTTTTTTAAATTCACCTAAGTTCGATGTCGAAAAAAAAATCAATGAAAAATCAGCCGATGAAGACAACTCACACAACAAGGGCACTGTATTCATAGATGACGTTTTGCAAAAAAAAAAAATTTACCAAAAAATTTTATTTTTATTTTTTTCTTATTTAAAATTTAAAATCTAATTTTTTTTGTTTACTAAAAATTATCAACATTTAAAAAAACTTTTAGCTTTTTCGATTAATTGACCTTTGATCTCTGTTGGTATGAATGTACAATATTTTTCATGTACATCACGTGAATAAGAAGCCAAAACACCTAATTCATTAGTAAAATTATCATTTTTTTTATAAATTAAATTATTTCCCAAACAATCAGTTAATCGACCACCAAAACTATGAAGAATAGCTTCAGGAGCACAAGTATCCCATTTTTTACATCCTCTACTAGCAAATACATATGCATGAGCATTTCCTTCCAACACTTGTAAAACTTTATTGCCAGCACCGCCACATCGAAGAACAAAATCCGGACGAAAAGCTTCAACAGATTTATTAATTGTTTCATTACTATGCGAACGTGTTGTTGTAACAATTAATTTATCTAATGGTGGAATTTTTGGTTGAATTCCAAATGCACCTAATCCAATCAATCCCCAAATGGTACGACCAGGTTGTGGTTGCTATTTATATGTTTTATGAAAATGAAAATGATCATCTTTTTACAAAACATTTCTAATGATTTAAACAACATACATTATAATTGAAAAATGGTTGATGAATAACACCACCAATCGCCTTTCCATTGACCGATAAACCAATTAGAATAGTTACATGATCATGTAAACCTTGTGTAAATTCAGATGTACCATCTAATGGATCTACCCAAACAACAACATCATCTTCTTCTTTAAGATTTTGATATTCTAATGGACATTCCTGTACTAATACTGTTTCATCTTGTTTTGTTACAATCCAATCTACAGGAACTTCATAATTTACTCCAAGATCCTATTGGGGGAAAAAAAATTTTAAAATTTTAATTTTAACCTTGAAATACATACCTCTTCACCAATGACTGTTAATTTGGGAAATTTTTTCTCCAATGATTTTACAATACATTTTTCTGAACTTCTATCAGCTTCAGTTTGTAGATCATTAAATCCCTTTGGAATCGAAAAAAAATTTCAAAATAAATAATAAGGTCATAAGGACATTCATTATACAAACCTTATCTATTGTATTTAGATTTCCTTTACGAATAATTTCTCTGATAATTGAACCGGCTTTTTCGGATATGCATACCGATGATGATAAAATTCGTAAAATTAATGCAGGATTTTTATGCATAATGGATGTTTAATTTTTATTTTTTTTTTAATGTTAACGTGTCAATTAAAAATCGATTTTTTTTAAAATGGATATTTTTGTACGTCTTGAGCTTGCCAGAAAAAAAAAACAAAATTGAGGATTTAAATACATGTAGTTTTTGAGTGGCACCAAATTAAAGATAGATCCTTGATATATCGACACAGCAGCAGCTGAGATTTGGAAATAATATTATTACGTTTATCATTTTAATATTAAATCAGATCCTTTTTGATTTCAACAACAACAAACAAAAAAATGTGGTCTATTTTTTCTCGTGATCCATCTAAAGATTTTGGTTATGAAGTTAATGAACCAATTTTACAAGATGAAAATTCTTTTTGGATTTTACACAAAGGAAAAAAGAAGGTTCGAAACATTCGAATTTTGTTTGTTTGTTTGTTGCTGTCTTTTAATTGTTGAATTTTACCATTACATTTTATTATTATTAATTAATAGGCAACTGGTGAAATTGTCTCCGTATTTCGTTATGAATCAAAATCAAATGATTCTGGTTATATGGATCTTGCTAGAAATTCATTAAAAAGGCTCAAAACTTTAAGACATCCATCGATATTGACATATTTGGATTCATTAGAAACAGATAAATACATATTGATTGTAACCGAACATGTTCAACCTTTACATTGTTTTCTTGAAGAAATAAACAAATGGCCTGAAAAACAAAAAGAATCAACCATTTCATGGGGAATTTATTCAATATCGAAAGGTCTTTGTTTTCTAAATAATGATTGTAAAATGATTCATGGTAATCTATCATTGGGTTCTATATTTATCAATGATTCATGTGATTGGAAACTATTTAATTTTGAATATCTAACAAATATTGGTTCGATTCAACCATCGAAATCATTTTATCCACATAAAATTTATACTGCACCTGAATTACAAGATAACAATAGAGCCACTTGTGATAAGTAATTAGTAATTTATGTTTGTCCAATACTTGAATATTCATATTTATTATTTTCTTTTGATTAAAATCAGACGATTAGATGCTTGGGGATTAAGCTGTTTAATATGGGAAATTTTTAATGGAAAACTTAATGAACAAGCTCAATTAAAAAATTTAAAACGTTTGCCAAAGAAATTAATACCATTATATTCAAATTTAAATAAAACATCATCACAAAGATGCCTTATTGAAGATTTTCTTTCAAATGGACAAGATAAAAATGGTTATTTTAAAAATCCATTCATCGATACTTTGAATTTTCTTGAAGAGATTCAGGTAATTTTGTAACACTATTATTGTCGATTATTCTTTAAAAAAAAAAATCTAATCAATTCCAGATCAAAGATTCGACGGAGAAAAATCGTTTCTTTTCCAACCTTAATAATGGACTCGAATCATTCCCGGTTTATTTTTGTAAAAATAAAATATTATCATTTGTAATCACATCGTTGGAATATGGTGAAGCTAATTGTCATTGTTTGGAATTATTGATGAAAGTATGTTGTGTTTTGCTAAATTTTTTTTTGTTTGTTTGTTAAATCTATCTCTCATTCTCATGAATTCATAGATTGGAAAAATGTTGAATGAAAATGAATATCAAAAAAAAGTAACACCAAGTATTATTAAATTGTTTGCCAGTAAAGATCGTTCGATTCGTTCGAAATTATTGAAAGAAATTGATGAATATATTGATTATACATCAACACAGGCTGTTAATGATCAAATTTTTCCATATCTTGTACATGGATTTATGGATTCTAATCCGGTTATTCGTGAACAAACTGTCAAGGTATGTAAATAGTTCATTTTTTTAAAATTTATTTCTGATCAATTTTTTTTCCTGCTTGTAGAGTATTTTTCATTTAGCTTCCAAACTGAATAATCAAAATTTGAATGAAGAAGTGATTAAACATTTCAGTCGAATACAAATGAAAGATCCTGAAGGTGGAATTCGAACAAATACGATAATTTGTTTGGGCAAAATTGCTGCACATTTACAGCCACAAACACGACAAACTATAATGTTACCATTATTTTTAAGATCATTACGTGATCCATTTCCTCCTTCTCGTATCGCCTGTATTCAATCATTGGATGCAACACAAAATTTTTTTACATTACAAGATTGTACATCAAAAATTATGCCAGCATTATGTTTGATTTTGATGGATCCAGAGAAACAGGTTCGTGATCATGCTTTTGTGACATTGAAAAATTTTGTTCAAAAAATTGAAAAATTTTCCGAAAATCCTTCGCTTATTGAACATATGGGTAAGTTCAAAGTGGAAACGTTAAAAAGTTTTTTTGAAGTTTTTTTTCTTCTTTCGACCAATAGAAAGTGAAATCAACAAATCTGGTTCGAATGTTTCGTCTAAATTTACGACTGGTCTTAGTTGGGCTGTTAATTCTTTGGCAGCCAAATTGACAAGAACCAAAATCGAAAGCGATAATCATAATGAAGATGAACAAAAACCAAAACAATCAATTCAAAACAATCATTCATTAACTGTGAATCAAGATAAACATCAAAATAATGATAATGAAAACATTTTGAAAAATGATGATCAAATGAAAATCAAATCAATTGATGATCTAACTGGAAATTCAGATGGTTGGGAAGGAGATGGATGGGAAAATGATTTGCTTGAAGATTGGGAGAAAAATGTTCCGATAAAACCTGTTGCACCAAAAATCCATAATAAAAACAACGATGAAAATGGCTGGGATAATGATATTGATTGGGGTGAGAATAATGATTCGGAAGATAAAAATGAAAATAAATTAATAACAACAATCAAAAAAGATGATGAAGAAATATTGAAACCAAGAATAAGACAAACAAGAATCAGTTCAACAACCAAACCAGGACCGAAAAAAGGCCCAATGAAATTGGGTGCTCAAAAATTAAAGAAAAGTTTTGATTGAACAAAAAAAATGATTTATTTATTCCATGCAACTGTACAAATCAATGGTAAATGATCGGAAGGAATTTTCTGATTTGGTAATGCTATCTCTTTGATTACTTCTTGATGTTCAATCATTGGAACTATATTCAAAACTTTTAAATTGTTTGGATCATAAAAAATATAATCCAAACAACCTTGAAAATGTTCAGCATAGTGTGTATATTTGGGAAAACCACAAGCACTTTCAAAATTTAATTGATGTTCCCAAACAAAATGTTCGTTAATTACTTCCGATTCATCTATAGAAAAAAAGAGAAAAAATAATTCATTATTTTTTTATATAAATCAATTATTTAATTAAAAACTTACTACTTCGGAAATCTTCCAATGTTGAATCAACTGTTTTATTTTTTATAAATTTTAAAACACCAAATTCTGGTGTAGAATTAAAATCACCCGATACGATTGTAGTTATTTGACAATGACGATAATTTTCCTGTGTGTGTTGAATAGAGAAAAAAAAATCAATGAAATTTTGTCATTTAAAAATAGGTTAATGAAAGATTTACATTTGCATTCAATTCGTTTAAAAAATTTTCAATATATTTAATAGTAATGAATGTTTGTATTAATCGAATATGATCAGCATCATCTTTTGAATAAAGATGTAAATTACATAAAATTAGTAATTTATTTTTGTTTTCAATCTTCGATTTCAATAGGATGATTTGAAAAGTATTTTTCAGTTTTTTAATACGATCAAATAGTTGTTGATTTTTTGAAATTTTCAGTTGTAAAAATTCAAATTGTTCATTATTAATGAGCATATCGGAATAAGTATGTGCTTGTTTTTGTAAACATTCAAATCTTGAATATCGATAAGCAATACATAAACCTTCTGAATTTGATTCTTTAGCAATAAAATATGAATCTAAACCAGAAAATTTTAATATTGGATTAAGACCTTTTCGATAGAAAATTGAATCCAATTCTTGTAGAAAATATATATCACCATTATAACCAATTAGTTCTTTGATTAATAATGTTTTTCGATAGGAAAAATCTAGATAACAATCTTTACAATAAGAATAAAGAACATCTTTTGAATATTCTGAATTTGCATATAAATTAGCTAAAAGATTATATGAAACAATACGAAATGAATCGGTTAATTTTTCACGTGTATGAATGAAACTTTTTTCGAATGGACAATTTTCCGGTCCTTTTGAAATAGTTTTCGGTGAAATTGCTTCTTTAGAAATACCTTCATTCGTATTCAACATTGGAATGCAAACTATTTTCAATTTGTAATCCAAATCTTCTTGTTTTACTTCGTAAAGAAATTCTTCACCAACCAATGTCCATTCCAATGAATCTTTGGAACGAAACCATAAAAATTTACTATCGGTAATATTTCCATTAATTATTTCCAGATATGGATAGGTAAAATAACCTGTCAATATTATATTGGATAATGATATTTCTGAAATATGTGGATAATTAAACTTGATACAATAATCGATTCCATTGATTGACATTGTTGAACCTTATTGAATTTTTTTTAAAAAAAATGACAACATTTTTATATCAATCTTTTTGAAAAAAAATTTCTTACCATCTTTCCAGAAATCTTTATTCTGAATATTATCATCAACTTCAATATTATTTCGATAGAATTTTATCGCAAAATTATCATTCGTAGCATCGCCAGAATTATTCGTTTTTTTCTTCTTCTTATTGATAGCGTTGAATGCTTTTTCCAGATTAATTTTCATACGTTTACAACAACAATCTAATGATTCTGTAATGCTACGTTTGAATGTAAATAATCGTTCACCATCATGATTTGGATGTTTATATTTAAATACTATGGATAAATTTTCCGATTGTTTTTCATCCAAAAGAACATTGCAAATCATCATCATCGTTTTTTTGTTCTCACGTTTCTTATTGTTTATTTTTCTCGCATTCAACACGAGGTACACGTGGTTAGAAATGTTTAATTTGATTTTGGACTTGGAAAAATATTTTCATTTTTAAAGAGAGAGAGAGATATCACTGTATATCACATGGATATTGTGAATGGTATGCGGTTATTTTTTTTTATTTGCGGGAGCTGTTTTTTCCCATCGATTAATTATAAACTTGTGATTAGTGTTGGCATTTGTTTTCGCGAAAATTTGATTTTGAAAATTCGAAAAATTCTTTTTTTTCTTTTGTTCAAAACGAATTTCATTTAATTTTAATGTATGCAATGTTTAAAAAGTAAACAATTTAGCTAATGTGGAATAATAATAGTAATAGAGAGATAATTGAAAATCAAAATCAAAATCAAAATAATAATAATAATGATGGCCATAATCAAAATACGATTGCGGAGATTACAACTACAAATAATTCTACATGCGAATTAACAACTGTGCCTTCACTATCATCATATAGCAAAGAGCAAAGATTGGCAACGAAATCATCATCATCATCCATTTCGACAAAAACAAATGAAAATTGTTCACAATGCAATGAATATGATCAATTTAAAAGTGATGATGATCAACAAATTTGTCTTTGTAAATTAAATTATTCAATAAATTTATTTGATTATTCCCCATATAATTATCATCAACGTTCGATAAAATCAATGATTTTCGACAATCCAGGTTCGATCGATTCCTATTTTTCTTTTCTTTTTTTTAGTAATATTTTTTTTTTTACTAAATGATTTAGGCCAAATATACAACTATATCAATAGATGTCGTAGATGGATAAAAGTAAAAGAACCAGATAATGTTGAACTTCGACATAATCAATTTTCCATAACTACTTATAATATTTTGGCACAAAATCTTCTACTTAATCATCTTTATCTATATCGTGAAAATAATAAATCCGATTTAGAATGGTTAGAAAGAAGTAATCGTCTTAAACAAGAATTATTAGAATTAAATTCGGATATATTCTGTTTTCAAGAATTTCATTTAGAAAATTTTACTACCTCCATATTACCTACACTTAAAAAACGTGGTTATCAAATGATTTCCAAGCTGAAAACTGGACAAAATTATGATGGCTGTTCAATTTTATTCAAAACAAATAAATTTCAACTACAAGATTGTCTGGAAATACAAATGAATCGATTGGATGTATCACATTTATTAGATCGTGATCAAGTTGCATTAGTTGTTAAACTTCGTCCAATCGGACGATTTTATCCAGAAAATAGTACCAATTTAATTGTTGCCAATACACATTTACTTTTTAATCCTAGACGTGGTGATATAAAATTAGCACAATTAAGATTATTATTGGCCGAAATTCAACGATTCGCCATTCGAAATGATTCAACGAATACAATAACAAAAGATCCGTATAAAATGGATTATTTTCCCATTATTTTATGTGGTGATTTCAATAGTGAACCAAATAGTCCTCTTATAGAATTTATCAAAAATGGGAGATATAATTTTCATGGATTATATAGTGGAGATATTTCTGGTCAAAGAGATGGATTTGAAAAAGGACGATTGTTACGGAAAAGTGATTTGCAAATGAATGGTATCGATCTAAACACTTGTTTTACAAACAATGAATCGATTGAAAATCATAGCAATATAGACGAATACACTGAAGACAATAATCTTTTCGTTCGTCATGTTTTCGATTTTAAATCAGTTTATCCTACGATTGATCAATTTAATTTAAAATTCATTTCTACATCAACACATTTTGATTGTGGTCTTGTTGATCATATTTTCTATAGTCATAATCATAAAAATTTACATTTATCAGCATTCAAACAATTAATGAACAAACAAAATTTAAAAAAAATCGGTAATATACCTAATTCAATTTTAGGTTCTGATCATATTGCATTGAGCGCAAAATTTTTTTTATTATAAAAAATATTTAATTAATTGATTAAAAAACATAATTTGTTAATTTTTTCATTAAATCAATACTTTGATTTTCGTATGATCCACCAAAATGATTCCAATGATTAAGTAAATGAAAAAGTGTATATAATTCTGAACGTCTAAATTTAGAAAAAGAAAGAAAAAAATTGGTTATATCAGTTATTTTAAAAAAGATGGTACTTACTTTTTAAAGCCTTTTTGTTGTGGAATTTTCTTGAAATATTCATTATAAAAAACCGGACTAAATCCACCGAAAAGTTTAGAAATTGAAAGTTCATATTCCGAATGGCCATAAAATGATGCTGGATCAAAAATTACCGGTTCAGAATTCATTATTTGTGTAATATTTCCTGACCATAAATCTCCATGCAATAAAGCAGGTTCAATATTATCCATAATATCAATGAAAAATTTATCAATTTTTAGCTGAAGTTCTGACCAATATTCAACAATTTTACGATTACCATAATTTTCAATAATCAAATCAATTTGTTGATTCAAACGATTACGAGCATAAAATTCAATCCAATTATCATGCCAATCATTGTTTTGAGGAATTTTTCCACAACAAGTAACTGAATGGAATCCAAATTCTTCTACATGATCTACATTTTGAATAATATCATCCGGAATATTTAATTTGATATTTTTGTTCATAGTAGATTCAATGTTTTCAGGCAATTCTGTTGAGGGTGGTGGTTTACCAATCCATGATTCTAATCGTAGTTTTTTACGACCAAGAATCGAATTAAACATATGTAAATCAGCCAAATCAGAACCAAGTTTTTTCCAATTTGTCACCGGTTGCATGTTTAAAAATTCAACAACCAATGCTCCACCATTACTATTAGGATCAGCTATAACAAAATAAGGTTCTGGTACACGTATAGTCTGAGTTTCAGCGATTTTTTTCAATGAACAAAATTCACCATTCAACATATCCACAGCAATATTATCAAAATTTGTTTTGACAAAAATAATTCCATCATCAATTTCAAAACTTGCACCTAAATCATGATCGGAAAAAAATAATGGAAAATTAATGAAAAAAATTTAACAAATTACCACTACAAATATAACCATTGGAAAATGTTTGACTAGTTTTTAAAAACTTTTTACTCTCTAATCTATCTTGAATTTCGGTAAATAAATCCATTTTTTGTTTGAAAAATAAAAATTCATCACCGAATTTTAATGCACATTTCTTGAATCATGTGGATATCTAATTCTACCCATACGAACTTTTAACGTAAAAATAGAAAGAATTTAAGAATGTCCAGTTTTCATTCAATGTATAAACAAAATTGAGATGAAAATCTTGTTCTCAGAGATACAACACTCTAACCACAGAGTGGTCAAGGTAAATGGTTACCACCTTTTGTATGATGGTGTGGGGAGTGTCAGTCAATAACCTGATAGAATAATGAGCAAAATCAACAAACATTGAGACTGAATTTTTCATTCAAAAAACAAAAATGGGTGCCAATACATCAAGTCAATATTTTGGTTCATATCAAAGTTCCGATTCAAAAAGTTCCGTTTCAACAATCGATACAATTACCGATGTTACGTGTTCATCATCAATAAGTGCCAATAATAATCAACATCATGGATTATTTCTTAATTCTAATGAATCAACAGTTAATTCATTGGGTCTTATTTTCAGTAGTAAAGATAGAAAATTGAAAAAATTAAAGCAAAAAATCAAAACAAAATTGAAAAAATGTTCACAACATTCACAAGTGTTTTCGGAATTTGCACAATCATTATCCATACAAGAATTAGCACAAATTTATAATGAATATCGTGCAGCATATTTTATGAAAGAATTATCATTACATGCAGAAAGTGCACGACCAATTGCTTCAAGTATTCGTAATGATCTCAGTGAATTATATGATTTAAAACATAATAGTGATATTATATTAATATATAAAGGTGTTGATTTCCCTGTACACAAAGCAATTGTTTGTGTTCGTTGTCCATTTTTTCGTGAATTATTAGGAAAATTATCACAAGGAAGTACTGTAACGGTTAATTTGGATATTCAAGGTCTTCGTGTTGAACTTTTCAATGATTTACTTAAATATCTTTATTCCGGTGAATTGGCCGGTTCATATGATTCACGTAGTAATTCAGCATCATATGAAGCATTAATTCGAATCAGTCAACAATGTGGTGTACCGAATCCATTATCACATGATCTCAAACATTTACTTGAAACTGGAATTTATAGTGATGCATCACTTTGTTTTCAAATCAGTAATAATAATGATTCAAACAAATCATCACAACCGAATTGTTGTTGTACAGAACAAACTGAATTTTCATGTCATCAGGCTATTTTAAGTGCACGTTCACCATTCTTTCGTAATGTTATTATTCGACAACAGAAACGAAATTCTTCACTAAACAAAAATACTTGTCCACAACGAATGAAAATCATTTTGGATGAATCAATCATTCCAAGACGTTTGGGTAGAATATTATTACATGTTATGTATCGTGATTCAGAAAATCTATTAAATTTAATACAATCTTCTTTATGTAAATGTAATCATAAATTAACTGGCCAATCATCATCATCATCATCCAATTCAAAAGAATCACATTCAATAAGTTTAGTAAAAGAAGTAATGAATCTGTATGAAATTGCCCGTTTTTTAGAAATTGATTTTCTTGTTCAAACCTGTGAAGATATGATTATAAATTTTATGAATCTTGATACACTTATATTGATATTGAAATGGAGTGAACAATCACATGGATCACCATGGGTAAAACGTCAAGCATTAACTTTTTTAAAAGAAGAATTTTCATCAATAATTTCTCAACAATCATTATTATATCAATTAGATTATATTCATTTACGTGATGTATTGAAATCTGATTTTATTGAAGCAAGTGAATTGGAAATTTTAAAATCAATAATTAAATGGGGTGAACATTATCTGATAAAAAAACAAGAAGAACATGAACCAAATCTATTACTTTCACATAGTTTAACAAGAAAAAGTTTAAAGAAAAAAGAAATTAATGATTCAAAACTTCGTGATTTAATATCCGAATTGATTGATTCGGTTAGAATTGGACATTGTTTACCAATCGATTCTGATTATTTAATGTTAGCAATAAAAAGAGGTTTAATACAAATACCATCATATATGATAAAAAATTCTGATGATGATCAAGTGCCTTCAAATCGATATGCATCATGGTTTAGAAATAATAATCATTTTATAAAGATACGTTTTTTTACACATTATTTTGAAGAATGTAAATTACAACTTGAAGAAAAACTTGAACGTTCAATTTCATTGGATGAAAATATTGAAAATTTATTAATGAATATTAAACCAAAATCAAATATGTTTGTCGATGCAATGCCCGATAATCTTTATATGTTGGAAAAATTAAATCTAGGAGCGGAAAGTTTAATTTCTGATAGTGATCTTCCTATGCATAATCCACAATCATTTCCAAATTTTCATTTTTGTCTAACATCAACATCCGATTCATCATCAGCTATTTGTTATGAAGAAATTGATAAAATACGACCTAATTTACCGATTTTAGAAGAAAGAATTATGTATATGATGAATCAACGTGAACAAGAACTTCGAACATCACCATTTTGTATTCGTGCATTACAAATATCACATTCAAGATGTGAAGCATTACGTTTAATACAATTAAGGGTTGTTAGAGAATTTGGTTTGCCTGATTTGGCTTGTGATGTTTTACATTTAAAAAATTCTCTAACTTCGTCTAAGCAACGTAATTTTCCAATTGATTCAAAAGATAATGATAATGACGACGATGATGATGATATTGATGACAATGACAACCAACGTTCATCATCAAGATTTTCAAACAACAACAACAATAATAATAATAATGAAAATAGCAATGATATATTTCAAAGAAATGCAATGCCACCACCACCACCAAGACCTGGTACAACAATGTTTGAAAATCCATCATTCAATATAACCGTTAGTCAATGTGATCCATTTAGTTATCAAAGTGAATTAAGATTAGAAGAACTTACTTCACAATATGAAATAGAAACACAGGTTTGATAATAAAAAACTTTTAATCAATCAATCAATCATATAAACACTTCAATTTTTTTTTCTTTCAAAAAAAAAATAGTTTTCGAGTACCGAGTCTCATCCTACTCTTAGTGATTATATTCCTGATATTGCATTTGTTGGTAAAGAAATTTAAATCTGACAAAAAAAAAAAGAAAAATTTGGTTTCGAAAACAACAAAAACTCAAGTGACAATTGATATTTTCTCTATTTAATTGGACATTATTATTATGTTTTTTGTTTCATTCATTTCATTTTTGTATCTTCCATTCCAAAAAAATAAATGATTTTATTTCAATAAAAAAACATAACATTTTGACATTGAAAAATTGAAAAATGTCGACAATTTTAAAATTTAGTTCGATGCTGACAATCCTGTTCCTATTCATAATCGATGATGGTATGTTTTCAACCAAAAAAACAAAAAATTCAATGTTGAAATTATTATTATTTTTTTTTCTTTGAAAAACAGGGATTATGTCAATGACTAATGAAAAACTTTCTTGCATTCCTAAATGGTTTCATAAACGACATAGTTTTGTTTGTGTTTGTAATGCTACACATTGTGATTCGTTTGATGATGATGATAAAATATCAAAAAAATCAAAAATCATTACTATGTTTACTAGTGATTCACATTCAGATCGTTTTGTACGTAGTGAACATAGTTTTGAAAATGTTAATACATTAAGAGCTGGACAAACAATAAAAATTAATCATAATAAAACATATCAAACAATTATTGGTTTTGGTGCAGCATTTACTGATGCTACTGGTGTTAATCTGGGAAAATTAAACGAAAAATTAGCTGAAAATGTTTTATATGATTATTTTAGTTCAAGAGGTTTACGATATTCAATGGGTAGAGTACCGATAGGTGGTACAGATTTTTCTACCAGACCATATTCATATGATGAACTTGGTCCTAAAATTCATGAGGATTTTAATTTAACATATTTTAAATTGGCCAATGAAGATTTTAAATATAAAGTAAATACAACAAAAAAATGTTCCATTTGAATCAACCAGTAAATAATTTTACTCTTTTTTACTTAGATTCCAATGGTTAAATTGGCACAAAATATTAGTCATTATCCAATCAAATTATTTGCATCACCATGGAGTCCACCAGCATGGCTTAAAACTAATGATCATTTAAATGGTCTTGGAAGAATTAAAGGAAAACCAGATGGAATTTATTATGAAACATATGCAGTATATTTGATAAAATTTTTACGTGAATATCAAAAACAAGGTATTGATTTTTGGGGAATGACCATTCAAAATGAACCTATTGATGGAACAATACCAAAATTTAAATTTAATTGTAATGCAATGTCACCAGAAGAACAACGTGATTTTATTAGTGAAACATTAGGACCATTATTAAGTGCATCCGGATTTGGTATTGATAAACTTAAACTTATTATTATGGATGATCAAAGACCATTTATTGAAAAATGGGCTAATGTTATTTTAGCTGATGAACGTGCAAATAAATATGTTTCGGGTATTGGTTTTCATTGGTATATGAATTCATTTACATCACCCGATGTTGTTACGAAAACACATCAAAAATTTCCAAACTATTTTCTATTATCAACCGAAGCTTGTGAAGGTTCTAGTCCTTTTGAATTGGAAAAAGTTTCATTTGGTAATTGGGATCGTGCTCAATCATATGCCTATGATATTATTCAGGATTTAAATCATTATACAAATGGTTGGATCGATTGGAATATGGCACTTGATCATGAAGGTGGTCCTAATTGGGTGAAAAATTTTGTCGACTCTCCGATCATTGTCAGCGAAGATGGTAGCGAATATTATAAACAACCAATGTATTATTCATTAGCACATTTTACAAGATTTATTGAACCTGGATCGAAACGTTTAGATATAGAAATACAACATGAATATTTAAATATGGTTGCTTTTGAAACACCAAACAATGCAACAGTATTGATTGTTATGAATCGTAATAATCATCAAGTACCATTAAAAATTCATGATGATAAATATGGAATTTTTTCACATGAAATTAAAGCTCATTCAATCAATACATTAGTATGGTATTGATGAAATTATCATTCCAAAATGTCCGGAGAATCTTCTTGGGGTAATAAATGTTTAAAAGCTCCAGTTTCCAAGTTAAATTAATTTTAAATCAAAAAGATTTTAAAAATAAAATAAAATAAACACAACCATCAAAGGAAAAATAATAAAACATTTTGTTTTTTGCGTAAATTCATACTAATGGAAATATTCCGAGGAAAACCAAAACCAAAACCAAAAAAAAAAGTTTTGAAACAAAATAAGATTTCCGACATCAATAAACAGTAAACAAATCAGCTGCTCAATGATAAAGATCCGCGTTTATCAAGAAAGAATGGATGCGCAAATCGATTTGAAAATTAGTTTAGAAAAAATGCGTGACCTGCCTACTTTTTTTTTAAAGTGTGGTTGTTGATCGGCTGAAGGTGGTAAGATTTGGTTGGATATAACTTTCTTTCGTCCTTGATTATCATTAGAAAAATAATCATTTTTTTTAATTAGTGGCAGTGGTCGTTGTTCATTTTATTCTTAATCTAATATCCAGTATAATACTGATAATCATCGTTAGCGATATCCCCAGATCTTTGATCCTATTCTTCAACAAAAACAGTCAAAATGTTCCCTTTGACTTATCAAAATGCTCAAGGTAGTTTTTTTTAAACAAATTGATCAGGAAATGAATGTCATCGATTCCAAACATGTTCATCCAAAACAGAGAATCAAGAATCGAAGAAATTATCGGTATTCAATCAAATTCTATCAAAATTGATTAAAAATGCTACTTGTCATTCAGAAGTAATTTAACCATTTATAATAATCATTTTTTATATTATAATTCTTTTTGTTTTTATAGCTTTTATTTACAATCAAACGTGCAAATCGTGACAAACTTCGTGAGATATTTGTCAAATTTGCTTCGATCGAAAAAAATGGTAAACGATATATGACAAAAGAGGATTTTATTCGTCGTTATCTAGGTTTATATACGGAAGATAATTTCAATCCCAGAACGGTAAATATACTTGGCGGTGTACTTGACACATCTAAAGACGGGTATGATTTCATTATATTGTAGCCCCAGATTCAAGACTTCAAACTTTTTTCATAGTCTTATTTCCTTTCAAGAGTTTGAAGCTTTTGAAGCAGTTTTATGTAGTCCAGATGCAATCTATATGACTGCATTTCAATTATTTGACACTAATGGTTCAGGTTCAATAACATATGATGAATTTGAAGAAATAATCAAAAGTACAATTTTCCATCAAAAAATTCCATTCGATTTTAAATCGGATTTTGTTCGACTTCATTTTGGTGAAAAACATACACGTACTATTTCATATTCGGAATTTTCTCAATTATTACATGATTTTCATGAAGAACATGCCATACAAGCATTTAAATCTCGAGATCAACAAAAACAAGGAGTTATTTCAGCATTGGATTTTTCCGAAATAATGAGTAATTGTAAAAGACATTTGCTTTCCGATGATGTTCGAAGAAATTTGGTTGCATCGGCCAGTTCAACTGCTGGTGGTCATCAGGTTTCATTTCCATATTTTATGGCATTCAATACATTGTTAAATAATATGGAACTTATTAAGCGAATATTTCTTACATTTACCAAAAACAACTACCAAATGGAAATGACTAAAGAAGAATTTTTTGCTGCTTCACAACAAATGTGCCAAATTACACCATTGGAAATTGATATTTTATTTCAGCTTGTCAGTCATCTAAGACAGCCAAATGGTCGAATAAATTATGATGATTTAGAACGTTTATCACCAAAACATGGCAAACAATATATTTCGAGATTTGATGCTTCTTCAAAATCTCAACCTGCTAGTAGTCAACAAGAATCTCGAAGTATTGGTATTCAAATGCTTGAAAGTATTTATCGATTTACATTAGGTTCAATTGCCGGTGCTACTGGCGCTACAGTTGTTTATCCGATCGATTTGGTTAGTTTTTTTGGTTGTTTTTTTTTTTGTTAATAATTCATAATGAACGATCGTTTAAAGGTAAAAACTCGAATGCAAAATCAACGTACTGGTTCAATAATCGGTGAATTAATGTATCGAAATAGTTGGGATTGTTTCAATAAAGTTGTTAGACATGAAGGATTTGGTGGCCTATATCGTGGCCTATTACCACAATTAGTTGGTGTTTGTCCGGAAAAAGCTATCAAATTAACAATGAATGATTTTGTTCGTGATAAATTGACCGGTAAAAATGGTGAAATTACTATTGGATCAGAATTTATTGCTGGTGGAAGTGTAAGAATTAATTAGTGTTTTTTTTTGTTGCTCATTGAAAATAATTGTGATTATCAAAAAATTTTAAGGCCGGTGCATCACAAGTTATGTTTACAAATCCATTGGAAATAGGTTTGAAATCATTTTTATTATTATTATAATCATCGATTTCTAAATATTCTTGAATGTTTAAAATCATAGTAAAAATTCGTTTACAAGTTGCCGGCGAAATTACATCAGGACCAAAGGTTAGCGCCATTGGTGTCATAAGAGAATTAGGTATTCGTGGTTTATACAAAGTAAGTGTGCTCTTTTAACTTTTTTACAAGTTTATTATTAATAAAATATCTAGGGATCTTCAGCTTGTTTTTTGCGTGACATACCTTTTTCAGCCATTTATTTTCCTGTTTATGCACATTGTAAACTTAAGTTTGCCGATGAAAAAGGTCATAATAGTCCATTATCATTATTGACATCTGCTGTCATTGCTGGTAAGTATTTGACAAATTCAAATTATTTGATTGAATTTAATTTTTTTTAAAAAATAAAACAGGTGTTCCAGCTGCATATCTGGTAACACCGGCTGATGTGATCAAAACCAGGCTACAAGTAGCAGCCAGAGCTGGTCAAACCACTTATTCTGGAATTTTGGGTAAAAAAATAATATTTTTATTTTTATTTCGATTCGAATGACAATTATTATTATTATAATTTTATATAGATGCTACAAGAAAAATTTTCAAAGAAGAAGGTGGTTCAGCATTTTGGAAAGGAGGTCCAGCACGTGTATTTCGTAGTGCACCACAATTTGGTTTTACATTATTAACCTATGAACTTTTACAACGTTTCTTCTATGTTGATTTTGGTGGTCGTCGACCGGCTGGTTCAACTGAACCAATTAAAAAACCATTATTAGAAACATCACATAATCCTAGTCATGTTGGTGGCTATCAAATTGCTTTATCAACTTTTATTGGAATGGAATCTAAATTTGGATTATATTTTCCTAAATTTAAATCCAATGTTGCTTCGTAAATCTTTTTGACTGTTGTTGATTATTTTTTTTTTGCTAAATCGATCTTCCAATCTTTAGATTTATGTTAAATCAATTGAAAACAAACAAAAAAAATTTTATCAAATTTAATCAAGTAAATTATTCTTCAAAATATCGATCTTGTTGATCATGTTCAAATTCACGACTTAAATCATAATCATCATTGTTGTCCACTTTTTCATAATCAAAATATTCACCATCTTTACCATTTAAAAAATTTTCGATCATAATTTTTAGAAATTCTTTTCGTAATGAATCTTTTTTCTCGTCATCAATCTCTTCGGAATTATCATCATTGGAAGAATCATCGTCGAAAAATTGTGATTGTTCTTTTGTATGAACTATTTGATTTCCAAGATAAGCTTGTCGTATAGTTTCGAAAAGATACGATGAAAATCCTATTCGATCATAATTTTGTTGATAATTTGAATTTTGAAGTTCTTTTCTTTCCTGTTCGTTCATATATCGTCCAATCATTTGTTCGAATAAATAAGGATTTCTTGATTGCATTTCACTGTGGGAAAAATAAGTTCCTTTTAATAAATCTTGCAAAGCTTGATATCGACGATTACGAAGCATTTTGTTTTTGGATTGAATTTTTGTTTTCAAAATTCCAAGCTGAATTTGAATCTCTTCACAGGTATCATTAGATTGAAAATACGTCAATGCTTTCATATCAAGATATTGACCATATCTTTGTAGAAATAAAAATCTATTCGATTCAAGAAGATTTTCAACAATAATTCGTTTTTCATTCAACGATAGATCAGGATCATCACGTTGTTGATGTATGAAAAATGCATTCTTTTCATTTGAAATTGTTTCGATTATTTTGTTTTTTATTTCTTCGAAATTATTCGATGATTTATTATCTTCGTTCATAATTGTCATTGTAATTTTTTTTAATTTAATTAATTTTAAAAGTTTTTTTTTATTTCGAGTAAACAAAAATCGCAATCAAATTTGATTATAATCGCCATCTAGTGATAGTCTCTTTACATTGTTTTTTGTAAAAGAATTATGATTGAAAAAAAATTTTAAAAAATTGAACTTTAATTTGTTTGAATATTGATCTATTGATGTGAGGGAAGTTGTGTGGGCAATTTAGGATTTTGATGAGGCATTTGTTGCAATTGTTGTACTTGATGATGAACTTGTGAAGAAATCATTGTATCAGGTATTGTTTTAATTTGTTTAACACTTTCGGAAAGAATTTCATAAATTGATTTGGCATATGTCACCTGTTTTTTGATTACATTCAAATAAGATGCATATGATTTTGGCTGTGTATTATCCTGTAACATTCCCGGTTGTTCCAAATTATATTCATTCGAAACTTGAAATGGTAAATAAGTTTTACTATCTCGTGATTGAATTGTACATTCCAGAATTGTTCGCTGATTTGCAAAAAAAAAATAAAATTATTTTCAAGCCAATTAAAGCTTTCAAATATACTTACTAAACATAATTCGATTTGGTTGCAAAGAGCCAATATATCTTCCAATGATTTTTCCAATTTAGGTGGCTGTTCCAGATTTTTATTGCTAAAAAAATAAACAATGAAACATACACATAAACTGTGGACACAAATTGAATAAAGCTTACAAATTATCCATTTGTGTACTATAATCTAGATTCATTCCAGAAATTATGAAAAAATTCTAAATATTGAGGAAAAAAAATCATATTTAATAATGAAAGCGAAAAAACAAAATCGATTCAAAAATTACTCGTAATGTTTCACGAAGCATTGAAATTAAATTTTTCAATCGATTCAGATCATGATGAGTATTGGACATTTGATGCGATGATGATGATGATGTTTGTGGTTGAGGTGGTTGCGGTTGATTAGAAACCGATGAATTTGGTAAAATTTGATGCGGTGATGCCGTATTTGATATTTGTGCCGGCGGAATATTACCCGGTACGATCATCATATTCGGATTAACTTGATTTGGATTCATTTTTTTGGGTTATTTCTTTTGATTTTAACAAAATATTCGTTATAAAGACCGAAAATTAATTCTGTCAGGACAGATCAAAACAAAACAAAAAACAATGTAAAATTATATAACGTTGGTTATGTAGGACACTGGTAAATCATTCATTGTTGGCAGTCACAATTGAGAATTAATACACAAAAAGAAACTCAAAAATCGTCCATTGATCAATTTGAGTTTTTAAATGTTTTTCTAATTCTATTATTTTTTTATTTAAAAAATGATGAATTCATCGGATACACCGGCAACCGGTTCCAATCAAATTACAATGCCTACCAACAATATTGGATCATGGGATACATTGGATGAACCGATTTGGAATACAATTCATCGTGATTTATTCAACATTTATTCCAAATTAAAATATGTTCTTTTACCGGTATCGGAAAATGATATTTATCTGAATGTTTGTAAAAATTGGGATTTATGGGGTCCATTTATATTCTATGCATTCATTGCATTCGCTACTAATAGTTGTAATCCGGAAATATGTGCCGGTTATCATCAATCAAATTTTTCATCAACATTCGTATTAATGTGGATTGCTAATTTTATTATATCAATGAATTATAAATTTTTATTGAGAAATTTAACAAAATCCGAACAAACATCATTTAATAATGATTTAAATCAATTGCCAACAAAACGATTACGGCCAATGTCATTATTTCAATTATTGTGTCTTTTTGGTTATTCAATGGCTATACCAAGTATTGGAATATTTTCCATCAAAATATCATCATTATTATTTGGGTCATCGTTTTTATTTGTTTATGAAAAATTTCTTATAATCGTTGTGTTTTGTTTAATTTATCCGATTATGTCATGTGCAAGAATGTTATCAACAAATATTAGTAATGAAAAATATTTCCTATTCATGTATCCAATTTTTTTATTCTTTTTCATATTAAGTTTATATATCCATACATTTGTTTGAGTTTTTTTTTTGGTAAAGTTGTTATCATATTTTTATGTTACGTAGGTAACGCTTATTATTATTATTAATGAAGATGATTTGGTATTTTATTTTATTTTTCAAATCAATCACTGATAATGTTTCTAGGCGTCATGTCCACAACACACATTTGTTTATAATAATAAAATAAATGCATCGAATTGAAATAAAACAAACAAACAAAAAAAAACATTGATTCATGTCAAAAATCAGATAATTCATCATTCGAATCCGAATTTCATTCAAAAATGTTTCACAAATGTCCATATGGTTCATTAATATTTTCAATGTTGTTTATCAGTGGTGTTAGTATCAATATTTTTTGTATAATAAAATTGACCAATATTTATTCATTATTTGCCTATGATATGTTGAAACGAAAAGATTATTTTTGGTAATTTTTATTTTTTTCATTGATAAATTTTTTTAAAAATATCACGTTTTTCATTGATTTACAGGATCAAAGATATTAGAATCAATTTGATTGTTTTTTATACAATCACAATGTTATTGATATGCTATAATTTGGTCATTTCATTTCGAATAACAATCAATGCAAATAATGCTATTGATACACCTTTAACAAAGAAAAAATCTAAACGTATTTATTGTCTTGATTCGGGAATCATACAGAAAATTGTTTTTGCAATCAATCAATTTATTATGATTACATTTTTTATCGTAACAATGTTGATTATGATTGAATATTTTGTTGTATGGACATTAACACATCTTTGTACGGAAGGATCTAATGTTATGCGATTAATGCCACAAGATCAATATAAAACTGATCGTTTACCAGGTCAATTGGGACAATTTCTTGATTTAAGAGAATTTGCACCAATCATTGGTCTACGTATGAATGAAACACAATTTCTTTATTTTGAAAATGATCGATTGAAAATGTTTTGCGATGATTATGTTTCTATTTCATATCTTTACAGTATAATTTTTTTCATTTCATCAACAATTACCTATTATTCATTGGTACAATTGAATATTTTATTAGCCAGTAATATTAGTAAAGATTCAATACGAAAAGATTTTCAAGATGTAATGTTTCTTTATTTTAATGATGTAGCATTGGTTAATTCTGAACAAAGAAAATGAATTGAAAGCAACAATAATAATAATAAATTAATAAAATTCCTAAAACAAACAAAAACAATCAAAGCATATTTTTTTTTGAATTCAAGCGGTTATTTTTTCCGTTGTCATTGGTTTTTTTGTCGTATTCGTTTCTTTAGCTTCGATCACATTATTGATATCATCCATATCATAAATAACTTTGATGATTAATGAACAGCTAACACAACTGGCCACCACTTCTCCATTCAATAAATCATCCTAAAGGCATGATTATATCAGTTGTGAAATGTAATCAAAAAGAAAAATATTCTTTTTTACCTTGAGTATGGTGAAAAGATCACCACATGGACATGGATAGCTAAAAGTTTCCGTTTCAGGATCATAATCAAAATCTTCGATTTCCACTTCATCATGATATACACCAGAATCGGACATGATTGACTAATTTAAAATTGAACAAAAAAAATCCTAAAATTTTGAATCAAGAAAATAAAATTCAACCATCAATTGCAATTGCATTAATGCACGTGACATAAACAAGCATGAGAATTTTATTTGCGCATTTCAACCTATAAACTTGGCACTCATTGTATGAAAAACGAAACAAAAAATTTTTTTAAAAATGAAAAAAATTGATTTTTTATTTTTAAAAATCTATAAAAATTCTATTGCTTATATCATCGATAAGCCAATCCATTGATTCGAAAATATTTGTACCGGCTATAGCACTACATGGAAATATTTTCCAATGATGAGATTTAATTTTATCCAATTCAAGATAATCTTCAATTTCTTTTAATGATAATGCATTCTGTATATCTTGTTTGTTGGCCAATATTAATAGCGTAGCACCTAAAAGACGTTCTTCAATAATTATCTCTTGTAATTGTTTTTTACAATCCGATAAACGTAATTTATCACAGCTATCGATTACAAAAATCAATCCATCCGTATCTTCATAATAATTTTTCCAATATGCTCTTAAACTTTTTTGTCCACCAACATCCCAAATATTTAGATTATAACTGTTAGGGACAGAAAAAAATTAATATTCGATATTCATATTACTATATCATACTCTTTATAAATCAAAGAATTGATTGTAAAGCCCAGTGTCGGTGAAACCGATTTTACATCTTCATTTTTTAATCGTTTTAAAACGGTCGTTTTTCCTGCATTATCTAAACCTCTTTGAATGACAAAATGTATTCAATAAACGTATTAAAAAAAATTGAATTTGACTTACAAAAATAAAATTCGTATTTCTTTTTCTTTTTGTTTTACTTTTTTAATTATTGTCAGAAGAACCATTTTTTTTTTCTTTGTTTGATTTGTCGTTCTGATCGGTCTTATAAGCCAAACAAGCACATTTTTGCACATCTTTTTTGAATAGCTCATAAAAACTTGCTCGCAATGTGATCAAAATTTTTATTTACGAAATTTCGTGTATCGAAATTTTGCAAATAAAAATAAAAATAATTTTTCAAATTTAAATAATGAAGCCAAATGAAGAAACTAATCCAAAAGATAACGCCAAAATGGTATATTTTGTATATTGGTGTTTGAAATCAAGCTCATTTTTTTTGTTGTTGTTGAATAGATACAAATTATTGAAGGATGTCGAATGCCTGTCAAAATGAAATATTCTGATGATTGGCGTATGTTTTGTTTGTTTGTCTTTTTAGATTTAATTCTCTTGCATTTTTTCATATAGAATTGGGAGAAATTCTTAGTATTAAAAATCGTGATGATGAACAACTTTTTTATATACATTATAGCGATTGTAATAAACGTCTTGATGAATGGGTCAGTCAAGATCGTTTGGATTTGAAACATGTACAATATCCTAAAAGAGAAACAAAAGGTTCGATGAAAAATGGTTCTAGACAATCATCACCGGATCGTGAAACTTCTTCGGTAATTTTTTTTCTGAAATAATTTATGATAGAAAAAATCCTATTTGAATGAATTTTTTTAATCAATTCAGATTATTGATCATGATGATGATCTTAACAAAAAAATACATTATAAAAAACGCAAATTAGGTAAATATAGAAATGATGATATGGATAAAAAAAAATTTATACTAAAGATAATTATGGATAATAATTAAGATATTTCCGTTCCGAGTGTCGATGATCAAGATTCACAAGAATCGGCCATAAATTTACCTCATGGAGCCAGTGGTGCTGTAATTGCTCCAAGTACAAGTGGAAGTCTTTCTTTGAACAATCATGATGATATTATAACACGAATCAAGAATATTGAAATGTTGGAATTAGGTAAACATCGAATCAAACCATGGTATTTTTCACCATATCCAATCGAATTAGTTTCCGAACCATGTATTTTTCTTTGTGAATTTTGTCTAAAATATTGCAAAAGTAGAACCTGTCTTAAACGACATATACAAAAATGTGATCTCAAACATCCACCTGGAAATGAAATTTATCGTAAAAATTCACTTTCATTTTTTGAAATCGATGGCCGAAAAAACAAACATTATGCTCAAAATTTATGTTTATTAGCCAAATGTTTTTTGGATCATAAAACATTATATTATGATACTGATCCATTTTTGTTCTATGTTCTTACCGAAAATGATAATCGTGGTTTTCATATAGTTGGATATTTTTCAAAAGAAAAAGAATCATCCGAAGATTATAATGTTGCTTGTATTTTAACATTACCACCATATCAACGTAAAGGTTATGGAAAATTATTGATTGAATTTAGTTATGAATTATCAAAATTTGAAGGTAAAACTGGAAGTCCAGAAAAACCATTAAGTGATTTAGGTTTATTATCATATCGATCTTATTGGAAAGAAACTATTCTAAATATATTGACTAATCTGAAACCTGGAGAAAATAATGAAAAACCACAAATTACTATACATGATCTTTCCGAACAAACAAGCATAAAAAAAGATGATATTATATCAACATTAGTTACTAATCTAAATTTAATCCAGTATTATAAAGGTCAATATATTATTACATTAACAAAAGATATATTAAAACAGCAGCAAAAAATTTATGAAAAACGAAAAATTCGTATTGATCCAAAATGTCTTAATTGGACGGTAAAAGATTGGTCGAAACGTGGAAAATGGTGAATTTTAATTTTTAATTTTTTGCTTGTAATTATAGTTCATTTTCCCTTATAAATTTTGTATTTGACGAATCTCAATAAAATTTTTTTTTTGATCATTTTAAATATCTTGTAACACGTGGACGAATTTTTGTTGTTCGTGATGGTTGTAATTTTCTTTTACTTATAAAATGTTTTATATATTGCCATATATAAATAATAATTTTACGACTAACTAATTCACCAATATCATAGGTTTTAACCAATGAAAATCCTAACCAAATACTTAAAAGACCACCAAAATATGAAATGAATTCGACAAACTATAGTTGGATTAGATTAGATTGATTAATTTGGAGAAAAAGGTTTTCAACAAAAAAAATCTGACCTCATATTTTGGTTGATAATCTTGAATCGATTGTTCGGATGACCAAAAACGTATAGAAATCAATGTACAACATTCTCTCAATGTCATATCATATTTTTCACTATGATCCTTTTTTGTGTTAAAAAAAGAAAGTAAAAAACTTGATTTAACACAAAATCAGCAAACAAACTTACTATTCGTTCTTGAGAAGGCCATATAACTTTTTGTCGCATTACTTCATAACTATCTGACCTATGAATGTTACATTTGATTAGATTATTTATAAACAACAAACATCGAAAACTAAAAACATCTTACTTGCATTCAATTTTACATAAATTTTTACATTGTTTTTCATGTCTAGCAAAACAATAACGAAACCAATTTCGTTCTTTTGATGAATTAGTTACAATAATATTGGTACCATCACGCCATGAACACCATTTTAAATGATTACTTTGATTATTATGATCCATAACAATGAATGGTAATTCTGGTGGCCAACATTTACAAAGATTAATTGTTTTTTTAGCTAAACAATCCATAATACATGTTTCACGTGACATAACATTAATTTGACTTTCACTTGTATCCATTGTTGTTGTTGAAATTTTTTCTCGATCATAATTAATACAATCAGTTACATATGGTGATGAAAGATATTTACCACTTTCTTTACTAATATAAAATTCATAATAATATCCTGGATAAACAATAAAATTTCGATTACGTATTGGTGGTAATTCTTTTTCATCATGAATAGCCAAATGTCCCATAACTTTTTCATTCAATGTTGTTCGTTGATTTAAACTAAAATTAATCATCATACGAAATACTTCGTTCGGATGAAATGGTTGATCAGCTATTTCTAGATTTAATGAATCTTCTACACCACGTATAACAGGCGATTGTGATATTCCCGATTTAATGGCAATATCTTTTAATGTTCGATTTTCTGACCATCTAAACACAGTAAAACAATTGCCCAATTCTTGTGCACTTTGAATTACATTCGAATGATCTCTGCATAGGGAATACATTTGAAAAAATTTATCATTTGAAACTTATACGATCTTTTTATTTAAAACTAACATGCATTTTTTGTCCACATTATAAGGATCAGTTGCACATTTAAAATATTGATTATTAAGTAAATCATTCCATTCGGTACCTAATTGTGAAAAATCATAAACCGAAAGTTGATCCATTAATTTTCGTATTGTTTGATCGATTAATTTTTGTTTTAGCTATATATACAAAGATATACAAAAAAGGATTATGAAGATATTGAAAAAAAAATTTAGCAACAACAATACCAATCTAGTTTGATTTGAATTTTGTTCAGAAATTTCCAATAATTTTGTCCAAGATTGATTAAATTCTGGATCAATTTGTTTCATTTTATCCAACATTATTAGATTATTTGTACAAAATGTAATAGCCGGTAATTCAAGACGATTCATTATTTCAACAAATGAAAATACAGTTGTTGGAAATGAAAAATAAAGATTTAATATTGAAATCACTTGATATGCACAACCTAATGCACAAAATGTATAGGCGATTGTTTTTAATGTATATAAAATGATTTTCTTTTTATATGATTTCATCTTTTTGTTTTTTATTATTATTATTCAATTTGTATTAAGATTTTTTCGTTTTTAAAAATGGTTAATTTAAATTAGTTTTTTTTTGGTTTTGGTTTTGTCAAATGCAATGTATATAATGATAGTAATCAACAATAATACTATGTAAAATGTTTGTTTTGTTCAAATCTTTGAAGACAGCAAATTCAGTTTTGTTGTGTTTGTGCGGAGCTGATTTTTCGTTTTGTTTTTTTCTGTATGAAACATATTAGAAAAATATTGATTTTGCCGAAATCATATGCTGTGTATATTTCTTTTTAAGTCGTTTTTTAAATTCAACCGGAAATTTATCATAACATTTTTTACAACATGGTTTCAAATCAACATCATAGAATTTTGATTTTTCATTCATTTTTGTTTCACAATAAGCACAGGCAAAATGATCCGGACACCAGGCTTTATTCAGTGCAGTTATTGTATCACCAATGATTACTTTACTACAAACAAAACAAACATTTCCAAATAATTGATGATAATGTGTTTCACAATAAGCCAGTCCCTATTGGAAAAAAAGGCAAAATGAAAATCAAAATGATATAAATCGATCGAATCGATCGGGAATTTGTCCCACCTTTTTTTCATAATGTTTATGTCCGAAAAATGGTTTTTCACATTTAGCACAAACAAAATGTTCAACATGCCATTGTTTACCTAAAGCAGTAACTACACGTTCTTCAATTGGACGACGACAAGCACCACAAATCGGTATTCCCATTTTGTCATGGCATCGTAAACAATATAGTTCACCTTTAATTTCTCTTGCACTTGATGTTAATTCAATTCCACAATTTTTGCAATTAAAATGATAAGGATGATAGGCTTCATTCTATTCAATGGATAATCATTATTATTAAAAAAATTTTCAAATTTCTGATTTAAAATTTTACCTTATACTTAAGTGGAGCACCTTCATCAATAATTGCTTTACATTTGAAACAAACATATTTTCCAATTGCAGCAGCTTTTTCTTTTTCATTGCACGGTTGACATAGGGCTCTGCCGGCATTTTTAAAAAAACCTTTATCAGTTAGAATATCTTGGCACAATTCACATTTAAAACAATTTGGACACCAATTTGCATTCATTGCTTTAATGACTCGACCTGAACCCGAAATAAATAAATTTAAAAAAAACGAAACTTTTATCCAAAATTATATATCTTACCAATGATAAATTCACTGCATTTTACACAACAAGGTGCAAATAAAACATGAAAATCATGTTCACAATATTTACGACCTTCAAATTCATAGAATATAGCATCTTTGGTAAATGGACGAAAACATTGGGCACAAACAAAACATTGTTGATGCCAAACTTGACCGCCTTGAACAAACGAAAACAGAAACAAAAATGAAAATTAATTTGATTAACCAAAAAACATCGAATTTATTATCGATTGATCGACAACAAACAAACAAATTACCAGCATTAACAAGTTTTTCTCTTTCTTCGAAACCTTCATGGCATCGAGAACAAACCATCATATCTTCAGTCGAAGTCATCGTATTATTATTGTTGAACAAAAAGTATATCAAAACGGTTTTTTTGTTGTTGATTCCCGAATGATATACCTCAATAAAAATCGATAATAATATTAACAAATTTACAATTTTTTCAACACACAAACATATATAAAAAAAACTACAACGATTCAACAATTTGCTTCAATAATTGTGCTTAAAAGATTGTTTTGCTTGTTTTTCGTATTCGTTTGTTCAAAGCAAATAAAATTTAATATTATTAACAAAGCCATTGTCGTTGTTGCTGTTATTTTTTTTAAAATATTTATTTATTTGGCAAATTGCCCCACCAAACCAAAAAATAAAACATTCATATTGAAGTTCTCCTACTCGTTTTTTGTTTGTTTGCAGCCTTTTTCAGATGATTTCCGCGCGAGCTAGCTATCATCATCATCATTTGTGCAACATTCCATAATTGGAATACACACACCACACACATAAACGGCTTCATTACATTTACTACCACCATATAGGCATATAGGCCAAAGACTTGCCCAATTCCAAACAACAAATGAAAAAAATCTATATTCAACCACCGCCAACGCTAATAATGATGATTATCGAAAGACATCATACTTACACAAACAAACTTAGAATTCAATTACAAGCATCTATTCGTGGAAATAATGTCTTGATGATGATGGCTGTTTGTATATCATCAACAAAAAAAAATCATTCTTTGTCCATGAAGAGTTTGTTTTTTCTCAAAAAACAGTTCAATTAAGCGCCCCTTTATCCAAATTTTGTTCCGTTGACACGAATATTGACAAGATTTGGCAAGATTTGTGAGAAAAAAAAACAATCAACAGGATTCATTTTGGTGAGATTGAAAATGGCGCCATTTTTTCAAAATAAAAACAACAAGAATATGTGAGGTTATATAACTTTAAACCAGAAAAAAATGTGGGGTTTCAAAAGTTGGTCGCGATCAGTATACTGGTTTAAACTAACCTCATTGGCGAACAGTGTAAACTAACCTTTTAAACTTTTTTTTTTTTTGGTATTTAATTTCATATCTTTTGATACTATTTCGACAATTTTGGAAAACAAAATGCAAAATAGTCGATTTGTATTTTGAAGAAATTTGATTTGTCATGATTATGATCATTTCATTTGAAACGTATCAACAATTATCATTAATCGTTGAAAAATTATTTTTGTTGGATGTTTGAAAATTTGTTAATTTGTTAATTTTTTTTTCTTCACAACAATGGATGATTCAATATTGGATGAATATCGAGATTCCATTAATGATTATTTTGATGATGATCTTGAGACTTCTATATCGAATAATGGTGAAAAAATGCTTCAAAAGATCAAACTTTATGATAATTGTCTTCCATATTGTGAACAATTGGAGCTTATACGTGTGAAATATTTGGATTATTTAAAAAGAAATCTATGTCATTCAATGTTGAGTGATAATAATGGTTATCTCTTTTTAAAATGGATGGATGAATTTTCATCGTAAGATATTGAACAAAAAAAATGAATAATTGAATCGCGATATAAATTTTTCTTTTCTTTCGAATCAGATATATTTCAATCTATGATCTTGCTTTCAACAAAGCTGAACACATTTTTCTTACGAAATTATTATATAATTCCTTAACATTTTTCCAATATGATTATCAAATATCAAAGAAATTGATGGAATTATTATCCAAACTTTTAAAGTAAACTCATTATCTTCTTGTTTGATTATTTCTAATTAAATTCTATTTTTTGAATACGTTTAGAGAGAGAAGATTAATTTCCAGATCGGAACTAGAACTTGATTGGCATGTTCTTTATGCTTTTCATAAAAATTTTGACGATCCTATCCATAAATCAAGCAATGGTAACCTCGTAAAGAATGCTCAAAAAAAAGAATTGATAAGACTGACTGTCCATGCCAGGGCCTATTTTTCGAAAGATTCTACCAAAGAAATGTTGAATGAATGGAAACAATATCTTTGTGTACATGCTAAAAAATATAAACAATATCTTGATTATTTTAGTTTGTTTTTGCCTACATTGCTTCCACCCGAAGAATTTGAATTTGGATTCAAACTTTGGTTTGATGATTTTATTGATATGCTCAATTGGTTTCAAGTACCACCAACATCATTATTGAATTTGTTAACTCGTTTAGCTGAAGATGTTCATGGGTACGTTTCTTAAGTAGCTATCTGATAATTTGAATGCTTGAATTTTTTTTTTGAATTAATTTTTCATCTAGCTATATCGACTGGGAGCCATATTTGCCTTATTTTTTTCAAAAGCTAAGTCCTAAATTGACTCCATCAATTCAATTCAATATTTTTTATTATCTTAAATTATTAACATGGATAATTTCACCAAATAATATTGAAAAAAATATTTATTATGCAAAAAAACTTTTGCTGATTGCAAAGAATAGTCGAACTAGATTTCTTTCAAAACCATCTTCGTTTGTTTCTTGTCATTTAGCCATGTTGATTGTGCAAAGATATAAAAAAGAGCAACGAAATCTTTGGTACAATTATACTCCTAACAACTATAAACTTGATGATAAAACATTTAATGAATTTGGTGCCATATTGTTAGAAAATTTTATCGATTCATATTTCTACGGAACACAATCACAACTTAGCTATGAACAACTATACGCTATTGTTAATTTAAATCCTGAATTGATTGCCGAAAAAATTCCGGAAAAATTACAAATTGCTTATGATCAAATTTCCGAACCATGGCGATTGGAAGCAATTTTAAAATTATATTCTGTATCCATATTTCCAATTATATTGGATAATAAAATTGGACCAAAATATCGTATAGAATTGATTCCAATGTTGTTTCAATTGATCGAATTATTCAATCCATATGATCATAATCTTTGTTTGATACAATTGTTTGCCATTAAATCGATATTGATTTTGGAATTTCCACTTATTGATTGTTCATCATTATGCAATAGTTCTGATAAAATTTTAACCGAATATGAAACAGAAATGTGTTTACAATCAATACGTTTAGAAGAATTTCCCATTTGTTTTATGAGATGTTGTCAAAACATGATCGATTCGAATAATGAACATTTATTTGATAATCTAAAAAAATCCGATTCATTAGCAATCATAATGTTTTCCATTCTAACTCGTACAACCGAAACAATAGCTAAATCATTTATCGATAATTTTATATCATTTATTGTTTCGAATATATATGAAGATGGATATATTGTAATAAAAATCATTATGGAATCAATAGCAATGATATATCCTGAATATATGATGAAAAAATTATTTCCATTAATTTCTGAACATTTAAATATACTTGTACTCAATAGAGATACAAAATTATCAACATGTTTAGAAAAAGATTTAAGATATCATATTGAAATATTTAGAAATTTATTCTATTGCAATTCAGAATTATTATCTAATTATCAAGATGAAATACTAATTTTAATTGAAAAAATTAGTAATTTAAAAATAAATTCACAATATTTTATGGTTTATTGTTTATTAAGTGATTTATTTGATAATTTATTTACTGAAAAAATTGCCATTGATTTACAAAAAATTGAACCAAAAATGATGATATTTGAAAATTGGCCTAAATTGATTACAACGAAAAAATTTTCAGTTAAATGGTATCAAACAACAACTAATGTATTAAATTTTGCTCATCATTTAATAGAAATTTTTATAAAAAATAAGCTCATTTTGTTGGAAGATTGGATCGAATCAAAATCAACAATGACAAACGATGAATTATTGAAAAATTTAAGACTTATATCATCAGTTAATGGATTAATAATTGATTCACCAAAATTCTTATCATTTTCATTAGATAATTCAACTTTATATTCATCAAATATGAAAAATCCTTTATTGAATGATTTAATCAACTTGAATGAACATATCATAAATGTTATAAACAAAGTTTTGATCAAATTAGAAACAATTAAATCCGGTGATACCCAATCATATGAAGAGATCATTTATATCTATTGCCAAATTTCAAAGAAATCGTCTCGTTTTCAATGCAAAAAAATTCCAAAAAAACGTTTATATCAATGTCGAAATAAATTGAATGAATACGTTTGGCTTGTTCATTTTTATTCTGTTATGATTCGTGATGCTTCCATACGAATCAATCTGATAAATACTTTACAAAAACGTCAAAATGAAACAGATATTTGCATAATGAAGAATTTACTTTTATTGTCTCAATCAAATTATCCCACAGTCAGATATGATGCTGAAAAAACTTTTGGAAAAATATTTTCACATCATTTGGATTCATCAAAATTTATTTCCGATGAATTAATCGATAAATTAAACACAAAAGATGCTGATTCTTTGATCGGTGTCCTACATTTATTACATTGTAATTCTGATCGTTCTTTAATGTTTTGCTCTTCATGGAATACATTATTGAAATTATATCCAATTTTGGTACGAATCAATTTGTCCGAAAAGCTTGAAATAATCGATATATTTGATGTAGATTTTTTTTTGCTATTTACTGATCATAAGTTTATGATACCATTGGAAAAAAATCATTCATTAGAATTATTGTCTGGTTATTTTGAAGAAGGAAAATCATTGTTCTTCCAATCGATCACTGAAAAAGAAATTGAAGATTTTAGACAGAAGATAATTGATTCAAATCAAAATAATCGTATTACATATTTGAAATTGGTTGAACAACTTTTGACCGTAATGCGAGATGAAAATTTACATTGGCGTTTTTATCATTTTGGATTTTTGCTTCTAAACAATCTAATTCGCAATGATATTGATTTTCCTTTGAATGGTATTGAATTTTTGATACGAAATTTAACACATGATTTACAACGTGTTCGAAAAATAGCTCAAGAAGTTTTGGTCAAGATTATGTATATAATGTTGCCCAAAAAAATAACAATAAAAATCGAAAATCTTAAATCAATTGATTATGATTTGAATTGTCATCAAAATGAAGAAACTTATAATCGACAATTGTTTTTGGATGAAAATCATTATGGCTATTACAAACATTTACCATTTACAATTGAAAAATTTGATTCATTCGAAAACAATGCTCAATTGGAAATTTTATCAAACGAATTTAAAAATTCCAAATTTTTGGACATGATGTTCACATTGAATTCAATCGAAAATGGTACTAAAATCAACAAACAAAATATCCGATTTTGGAAATTATATTTTATACTTGTTAAAATGGAAAATTCGGAACAGATATTCTCTCAAATCTTATTGCTTTTCGATAAACATAAATATAATTTTGATAAATATGCATTAGAAATTTTATGTGGTCTAACAAAAGCAAGCAAACATTTTGATTATAATTGTTATCAAAAATTTCAAAAATTTTTTTTGATAATAATTGAAAAATATTTTCTTAATTTGGATTCTGAATCATCAACATTTTGGAATGAATTATTTTATTCATTGTTTAATGGTGGTGATCTTAAACGTTCATTATGGTGTGTTGAATTTCTTGTCGACAAAACATTGAAATCTATCGAACTGTCACCATTTTGTCAATGTGAAATTTTATGGAAATTAAGACATGCAATTCGTTCAAATTGGAAATATCCAATGGTTTCAAAAAATATTCGTGAATATATTCTTGAAAATATTTGCCATTCATATCAAAAAGTAAGAGAAATTCATGGAATGTAAGTAATGACTATATTATGATTGATTGATTGATAACATTTGATAATCCTTTTACTTTTCTAATTTATATAGCCTACTAAATTATACTTTTATCTCTCCTTATGGTTTAAAAAGTGAACAAGTAAATTTTGATAACAATTATAGCGATCTTTTTTCATTTGAACCAATCATTAAACAACTTGATGAAAAACTTTCGATTCTGTTCGATGATAAAAAATCTGAAATGGATGTTGTTTCATTCAAAAGCGACTTGCTTGATCCAAACTCGGATGATGGTAAAAAACTATTACATTTTATTGAAACAATTTGTTTGTTTTGCAAAAAACATGACTCACATTCATTGTTTGAACATCCAGGATTTATTTTAATTTTGCCTTACGTAAGTTCATCACAATTTTCTCTATTTGACATTAATATATTTTTTTTAAATTTAGCTTTGTGTCATACAAACAAATAATCCAATCATGTCACAAATTAATAATGCCATCTCTTTCATTGCTTCCATTACCTATCGTGATGAAGAAAAAATTCAGCAAGTTTTAACAACCATCAATAAGGTGATTCAATAATTTGATTATTTGACTTGATTCAACTAAATCTTTTTTTTCATTCTAGCTTTCTTTGAATTGGAATTGGCGAACACGAAAAACTATTTTGAGTTTTTTGTCAATTTTTGCCAAAAGCAATCATTTCTTGTTGATAAAATCTAAATATATTGATCAAATTGAAATGATTATTGTTAGATTGTTGACTGATGAAACGGTTGAAGTTCGTACGGCAACATCCACAACTCTTTCTCGAATACTTGAAAATGAATTGATTTCGGGTAAAAGATTGGATCGATTAATTCATTTGTTTCGATCAAAATCATCGGAACTTTCATCCGATATTGCCAATAGACATGGTGGCATATTAGGTCTTTGTTCAATTGTTTATGCTTTTCCTAAAGAAATACCAGATTTTTTGCCCGAAATTTTGTTATTTTTAATTGATTATACTCGTGGTATCAGCGTAATTTCGGTAAATATGAATTTATTTTGAATCTTTTTTTTAATACTCATATTTATCTTTATAAATATAGAATTCTGTCAATGAAGCATTGAGATTTTTTAAAAAATATCATATTGAAGATTGGATCATTCACAAACATAAATTTTCCGCTGAACAATTATATCAATTGAATGATGTTTTAATTTCTCCATCATATTATTGTTAATTCAAAAAAAAAATGTGAATCAAGTGTGATATTTTTTCTGTTAAGCTTGAAAATTTTTATTTTATTTTATTTAATAAAATCTTTAGTTTTATTTGAGTAAATTTTTTACATTACATTCCGCGTATACCCATACCGAATTCATTGCGCAAACAAAAAAACTACTTTCCTGTGTGTATTATGATACTTTCGCCTGTTATTGAGCATTATTATAAATGTGTATCGGGTGTCTATGTATACATGTAGTGTTTACGAAATTGATGATATAACCAACAAACGATTGATCACTTTATTTTTTTTTCCTGGAAATTTTGCCAAGAAATTTCAATTATTTTCAACTCTTATCTTTTTTTTTCTTATTCTTTGTGATCTATTTTAAAATCATTCTAGATGTCATTGTGTTTAATGTTATTGTAAATTTCCGAAAAAACAAACGAAACGGTTAGTATTCAAACTGAATTATTATTATTAATATTTCAAAGATGAAAATGAGGCTTGCACCTGTCATCAGTCGTATATGTTCGATTTTATTTTCAACTAAAACAACCGATACAAAAATATTGAATAACATTCCATCGATTGTTCATCATTTATGTGATGATGAATTTATTGAAAAATTTGATGAAATCATAATCATCGGTGATATACATGGTTGTTATGATGAATTCCAATTACTTCTTGAACGAATCCATCAAGGTGTTAATGATCCAAAAAAGTAAATATTTTTTTTGAAAAAAATGATTTTTGTTAACATTAATAAAAATGATTGTTTTATAGGATTTTAAAAATATGCACTGGTGATCTCGTAAACAAAGGACCAAAAAGCAAAGAAGTTCTTGAATATTTTATGAAAAATCAAGATAATTGTATTTCAGTTCGAGGTAATCATGATCAAGTTATGGTTAATGAATACATTAAATATGTACAAACTGGTGATTTACTTGAAAAGAATAATTGGCTTAAAGAATTAACCTTGAATGATCATTTTGAATATTTGAAACAATTACCTTACACAATACGTATTCCTAAATTGAATATTTTGGTTGTTCATGCTGGACTATTGCCAAATGTTTCGATAGAAAATCAACAGCTTGTTGATATGATTGAAATGCGGAATATTATTGAAAATGAAGATAATGTACAAGTAGCAACCAAACATGATGACAAAGGTGTTGGTTGGGCATCGATTTGGCCAGGACCATGGCATATTTATTTTGGGCATGATGCCAAAAGAAAACTTCAAGAACATCCTTATGCAACTGGTTTAGATACCGGTGTTGTTTATGGCAATGAATTAACGGCTAAATTTGTTATGGGACCTCGTCAAGGTCAATATGTTTCGGTGAAAGCATTAAAAATCTGGAAAAATATAAACAAAGAACAATAATGAATGTTGTAATCAATTATTTTCTTTTTTGTTGATTTATATATTTTTTTGCATTATAGTCTGTTTGAAATTCATAAAATAAAAACAAAAACAAAAACAAAAAAAATGGAACAAATTGGATTTTTTCCCATCAATAATTCAAGTAATATATATGGATTGACCAATATAATGGGTGATATAACCAGAATATTAGTGGCCACATTAGAGAAACAAATTTTTGCAGTTGAATATTCGGAAAATAAGAAAATTATATGCAATGAAATTCATTTTGCCTACATACCTAGTGAGCGAAAATCTTTTAGATTTAAATAAAATCGTCAGATTTTTCTAATCAAATTTGCTTTATTTTTTGGTCATGATTATAGATAGTGCCGATATTATATCGATTGATGCATTTGTTCGTTCAAATTATAATGATATTGTTTTGGGTATAACATTTTTTAAAAATTATAAAGAATCTGATTCAAATGAATTTCGTAAAAATATTGTCATTTCAAATAATAATAATAATAATAATAATCGTTCAACATTATTGAATAATGAAAAAAATCAATGCAATCATTATTATTTTAATATTTATTCAAGTTTAAGTTCGACAAATCGTTTTGATTTGAATCAAATTGCTCGTATGTTTATTATTGATTATTAACAAGGTTGTTTATTTTTTGATTTTTAATTAATTTTTCTCTTTATTTCTCATAGAGGATTGTCAAACATTCGAATTGGATTTTGTACCATATCATCTATATCATACATCGTAATGAATTGTTGTTTTTTTTTTGATCAAAATAAACCCTAATGATGACTATTTTTACATCCCTAATCTTGCATTTAGCATTTTAAATGAAAATAATATTTCGGAAACATTATGGCTTCTATCCGGTAGTGATTGTAATGTACACATATTTCGTGAAGATAATAAGAAACAAAGTTTTTATAAAGATAAAATTGATCTGTTTCCCGAATTAACTAGTTTTGAAAGTATTGTTCTTTGGATTGATGTTATAAATTATCAAGAAAATCAAAAATTTTATCGTCTAACAGCGGTTGGTTGTGAAAATGGTAGTGTTTGTTTGTTTTTTGTTGAACTTGGTGAAACAAATAATGCACGAATAATAAAATCATGGAAAAATCGTTTTGATGGTCCAATATTATCAGTGAAATTTTTCAAAGGTTTGTCTATTGATAAATCCAGATTTTTTTTTTATTCCAATCTTATAAAAATTGTATTTTAGATAAAACAAACAGTACTGTGAATTCGAGTAAATTAGGATTCAAAAATGAATTTTCATCCGAAATTCATTTATTGGTACTGGATTCTGTCGAGCAACCTATCGTCTACAGGAATGTACAGGAAAATGGTGTTGGTGTTCGGAAAATTCTACCAAAAATCAATGAAAATATGGTCGATTTATTTCCATCAACAATTATCGGAGATTCGAATTTTGATCTTTATAACGAAATCATATTGGGCAGTTATGGAAAGGTATGTCATTTTACCTGTGTAAATGTTATTTTAATTTTTTTATCATCAAAATTTTAGAAAATTATTTTTTACAAATTTGAACCAACAAGCCAAACTTATTTGGTTGAAAAAACAATGGAAGTACCTCATCCAGTAATATCGATTGCCTATATTGATCTAACTGGTGATGGAATAAATGAATTGGCAATTGTCACTACAAAAGGCATTATTATTTATCGACATAAAATCAACGATATAATTGATGTAATTGAGAAAAAAATGAATATAATATCCATTGATTGATTAAATTTTGATAATTTTCATTTCAATCTATACAACATTTTTCGTTGCATTCGTGGTTGTAATTCTCCTTTTCGAATCATACAATAAATAACTTTGGATACAAGTTGTGGACCAAAATTTTGTTTAACAAGATCTTGTATAATACTTTGTTCGGAAATTTGTGTTCCAACTGGAAAACGACGTTTAAGTTGTTTTTCAATACGAATCAATTTTTGATGTTCTTCTTCAGTAGTAAAACCTTCAGCACCGGATAAATCTCCTGACATTGCTGCAGCCAATGTAGATACTCGAAACAATCGAAGTGCTTCATCCACATGAGTTTCATTGACAAATGGTTGAAGTTGCATTTTAGCCAAACTTTCCGATATACGTACAATAGCTTCTAATTGTCGAATAGTGATTGGAATAGGTGATTTTTTCAAAGATTCTTGTTCATGTTCTCGACTACCATTTCGCATTACTACATATTGACGTTTAAGTTTTTCAGCAGCTGCTGCAGATAATCGAGGTCCACAATGACTATATTGGAAAGAATTGTCACCAGGTTGAATGAATATACAATTAAGCAAAGTATACTTACGATCGACAATAAGCAATGTATTTTTTCAAAAGTAATAAACTTAATTCACCTTTAACCGAATCATCGATTGTTTTCTGAGCATTCATGTGTACATCTAAAACATGGCTTGCAATTGTAGCATCTCTTCGTTCATTATGTTCATCTTTGACAATGAAAATCATATCAAAACGTGATAAAATTGTTGGCATAAAATCAATATTTTGATCGGCTTTTGTGTCATCCCATCGTCCAAAGACACTGTTTGCAGCTGCTAAGACTGCACATCTAATTTGATTTATTAAAAGATGATGATCAGATTAATTATTAACTTGAATTTTTCCTACCTTGAATTTAACGTAGTTGTTATGCCAGCTTTAGCAATGGAAATTGTTTGTTGTTCCATAGCCTCATGAATAGCAACACGATCATCTTCACGCATTTTATCAAATTCATCAATACAAACTACACCACCATCGGCCAAAACCATAGCACCACCTTCCATAACAAAATTTCTGGATGATGGATCACGAATCACTGAAGCAGTCAAACCGGCAGCACTACTTCCTTTTCCCGATGTATACACACCGATTGGAGAAATGTTTTCGACAAATTTTAAAAGTTGACTTTTAGCTGTTCCCGGATCACCAAGAAGCAAAATATTAATATCGCCTCTACGAGTCAAACCATCAGGTAAACGTTTTCGTGAACCACCAAACAAAAGACATGCTAAAGCTTTTTTTATATCATTCGAACCAAAAATCGATGGAGCAATTGAATTAGTTATTCTTTCGAAAATATTTGGTGAATTGGCTAAATGACGAAAAAGTTCTTCATCTTCAGGTGTGTATGGAATATTTCCCGAACGTCCTGGTCCTTCATTTTCCACATAAATGCCTAGTACACGCAAATATGGTGCACGTATACCAACATTGACTTTTGATTCGACATTGTTGGTGGATGGTTTGGAAATTTTTTTGATGGAAAAAATTCCCAAAACTGTTACTCGATTGCCTGGTACAACTTTGTCGCATAGATAACGATCACAAAATAGTTGCAAATGTCTGGGCATTTCACCATGCGGTACTGATTCAGGTGTTTCTTGAAGTTTTAAAACTTGATAATCAATACATTCACATTTATCTGGAACTATGAAATATGGATCAATAGGACATTTGTTTAAACGTCCAGTTTGATCGGTGTTACATTTTCTAGGTAAAAGATAGCCTTCAAGACCAGGATTAATATTAACATCTTTGATTATTTCTTGACAACCACGACATTGAAGTGATACTTTGGTTGCTTTAGATCGTACATTTGATGCTGAAACAATAATGCCAGGTACTTTGACAAGTTTGGAAATAGTATCGGATTTTACTTCACGTAATGAAGTTGGATTAGCATCCGAACTAAGAACAACTTGAATTGGTTTAACATTTTCTTCATCTACTCTGGGTCGAGTTATTTCATCGGCCAATTCAGTAGCACAAGTTTCAAATATTTTTAAATAATTAATTGGAGATTTATTAACACGATCAGCTAATTCTTCATCATAACTGGCCAAATCATCCAATGAAACTTCAATCCAATATTGTTCAATATTATAATGTTCTTTTAATTGATTACGATATTTATATTGAAAATCGCCTGAATGAAATTGTCGAAGAAAATCTTTAAATCGTCGACGAATAGCATTAACATTCGATTCACCAATATTATTATCACCATCTTCATCAGTGACAATATTACCACTAAAATAAACACCAAGATCATCAAAACCAGACATATTTAAATTGGTAAAAAAAATTAAATGGACTAAAATGAATTTAAAAAGACAGCAGCTTGTGTTTGAGAGTTTGATGTGTGAACAAAAGATTTGTTTTAGAGAAGAGAGAATTGGCGCGAAAAGTTCATTGTGCCTGTTGTCTTTGTCTTTTTTTTTTTGTTCTCATGAGTGTTTCAACAACAAATGCCTTGTCCATACATTGTAAGTTTATTATCAAGCAATGTATAAATTTTTTTTTTCAATGTAAAGATTCGAATTTCTAAAATTTTCTAAATATTTCATCAATCAATTTTCATTTCTTTTTTTTTCGTTTTTAAAATAAATTTCCATTCAAATTCATCATCAAATTAATTTGTATATAACAGGAGAGAGATGAAGAGAAAAAAAACCAGCTCAGAGAATGAATGAATGAATGAACCAACGAAACAAGAGTGTAAAAACCCATGTTCATGTTTTTTTTGATGATGATCGAACGAATGATCGAATGAATGAATGAATGAATGAATGTCCGTCTCAGTATTTTCCAAAAAAATTCAAATAATCTTTTATGTGAATGTTCGTACAAAGTATTTTACGATAAAGAATAAATTTCCCATATGGATGTGTTTTGCAAGTTTATTATCATCATTGATGATGATATGATGGATAGAAAAACTAAACGAAACGAAAAGAAGAAGATAAAATGATGAACCAAAAATATCCAAAAATGATTTGAAAAAAAACTACAATTTTTTTTCTCTCAAACATAATTAATTAATATATGCAACAGGTCATCATTCGCAGGTATTTTGTTGTTGTTGTTGTGTATAGGATTATGATGTTTGGCTATCTGTGATTAAAAAAAAATCAAAATGACCGATCATCCAACCAAAAAATACATACCATTATCATCAACTAAACCAAACCAATATTTCAATGTAAACATCTCTTTTTTTTTTATCCATTCGATGATCATCTTGATCAAAAGTAATATTGGTTGGAAAATCCCGACAAGTTTTTTTTTTGTTTTGTTGCTGTTGTTGTTTATTTTTAAAAATAAAATATGATTGAGCAAGCGAAAGAGAGAAAATGTACGAAAAACGATGTAAAAATGATACCCAAAAAAAAAACAATGTTGTGTAAGGAATTTTTTTTTCCAAGCTTCTCTGACCATCATGATGAAGATGATAATAGAATCCAAATGTGTGGTAAGTTCAATGCAACAATTATGGAGAAAAAACGAAAAACGTAATCCTAATCGTAGGCAGGCAAAAAGACAACAAAAAAAAATCTTGTTGAAAAAAAAAAACGTTCGAATCGAATATACAGAGGAAATCGATTCGAACGTTTTGTTTTTTTCTCTCCCCGGAAAAAAAATGCTCTGTGTACGTGATAATGATAATCAAAAAAAGTGAAAAACTGAAAATTTTTGAAAAAAAAATTTCAGAATTTTATCAATTTGATAAAATTCAATCAATCGAAGATATCAATGGATGGATAACCCAAAAAAACCGAAAAAAAAGTGAAAAAATCTATTTTTAGCAAAAAATTATTGCATATGAAAATTATCTGTTTCCAAAAAATTGATATAAATAATTTTGTCTTCTAACCAGAAAAAAAAAACCAAAATTTCATCACTTTTTTTATCAAATTAACGATGAATAATACTATCAAAAGAATTTCATATTTTTATCATTAAATTGTGTAATCGTTCATCATCATCATTTAAAATAATAATTAACATATCACACACGTTTTGGGTAAAAACACACACTCAATTTGCTTGAATTCTTATGCAAGTAAGAACAGATAAAGAGAGAGGTTTTTTTTATTATAGAAAAAACCCATGACATCCTAAATGAAACACACACACACACAGTAGTTAATTTCTTGTTAATAAATCATATAATGATTAATCGATATGAACAACAACAACAAAAAAGAAAGAAAAATACCCAAAAAGATTATGAAACAAAAGATCGATTGGAAAACCGACCTTTTCCAAGTTTGTTCACAAGAATCTTTATAAAGAAAAAAAATTTGTTGCTCTTTAACCTGTTTGCTTACAATGATGATGGTAAAATCCGTTTTTATGATTCGGATAATGGAAATGAAATGAAAAAAAGAAGAAAATTTTCCACCATCAAATCGGATACATTTACACACTCACAATTTACACATACATTTTTTTCTGTTCAGGAATCCCAGAAAAAAAATCAATATCTTTGAATTAGGGAAAAAAAATAACACTAGCTCATTCATTCATTCACTGATTGACTGACACTCGCCAAAATCAGACAAATCAAAGTTTTCACCATTATCATCAATTTATCATCAACAACATCGAACGTCGAACGAAACGAAACAAAAAAACAAACAACCACCACTGGTTGATATAGCCATTTCAAATCTATTGACACAAATACTTGATTCGGTATCCTCTTCCTCACACTTCGGCTATATAGACAGAAAATGTATTAAAAATTGATGCCACGCATTCGATTGGAATCGAAATTTTATTCGTTAAAAATTTTTGAAAAAAAAGAAAGAAAGAAATATTCAACAAATGAATGAATGAACTTAGATGAAACAAAAAAATTATCATTGTTACCACTACCATTCAATTGATCATCATCATCATCGTATCGAATCAACATCTATATGATGATGATGATGTGATGATGATTTGCGTTTAGTTTGGGGTTTTTCCCAAAAAAAAAAAAAAAAATCTTCAACGATACACATGTTTCTCATTTTTTTTGGCTATCTTCATCGAAAATATTTACATCCTACAAATGTATTTTGTATATAGTGGGGATATCCACCACCACCACCACTACTACTACTTTGAAATGAATGTAATGTTGATGGTGATGAACAACAAAAATGACAACAGAGCAAGAAATGAAAGAAAGAGAGAGAATGTGTATAATTCAGAACATGATTATAACTTGAATTTTTTTTTTGTTTCGTTTATTGGCTGACGTAAATAAATTGAGTCCAATGAAATTAACTTCAAAATCATTATTTGATGATGATTTTTTTGTTTGATTGAATTTATTGAGAATTTTTTTGTTTTTTTCCCGTTTTCGAAGCCAGTCAGAAGCATTTTTTTTAAAAAAAGCATAGTCAGATTGATTGATTGATTGATTCAATCAAAATGTGTTTTGTTTAAAAAATTCTTCAAATGTTGATGGTTGCTATATTCGGATCAAATTTACCATCATTACCATCATCATTTTGATTCCACACAATAATCATCCATTTTGAAAAATTATTTTTCAAAAAAAAAATTAAATGAATGATTTTCCTTTTTTGGTGTTTTGGGTTTTTTTCCCTTCTTCTCTGTTTTCTTCAATTTCTTTCTCTTTCGAAATAATTTTTTTTGTTGAAAACTGAGTGTTAATGTGTGTGTGTTGTATTCGTTCGAACTCAATTTTACTCAATTTTTTTTTGTCTATCATCGTTTCACCTCGATTTTGTTTGTTTTGTTTTGTTTGACTGAATGAATATAATTAAAAAATCTACCTGAAAAAACAAATTTAAAATTATCATTATTTTGACTGTTTTTTTCTGTGTTTTCATCAGTTTTTTGCCTGTTTAACTCAAAATTCTTTTTTGTTTCTGTCAAATTTGTGATTAATCATATTTTGTCAAAAATGTCTAACGAAAAGAAATCATCATCACATCAACCTCATCATCATCGTCATCGTGAATCGAATAAAATGGATTCCGATATTGATATTGATATTGTTGTTGATAAAAAAGATAAAACATTTGAAGAATTATTTGATTCAGGTTATAATTATAATATACAAAGTAAAACATTTTTAGATCTAGAAGAAGAAGATGATGATGATGATATGGATAATAATCAATCATTTTCATCAAATCGTCAACAAAAACAACATCCAGATCAACATTCACAGCCATCAAATTCAAAACAACAATCAACAAATAATGATGATGATGATGATAAAAATAAATTTGATACTGTACAACAATGGAGTGATTCAGGTGTTTGTATAACCGATTCTGGCCTTAGTATACAAGAAGATTTTGAATCAAATTACGAATCTAATAATGATACGAATGAAAATAATAATCAACCAAAATTTAAACAGGAAAAAATTAACAATAGACAATCAATTGATTCGAATGAAAATAAAAATGCATTAGAATTATGGCTTAAACATAATAGTGATGCTGTAACGTAAGTTTGTTTTTGTTTTGTTTTTTTTGAATGAAATCAATTTCCCAAACTGATCTTGATCTTGAATATTTTTCCTTTCTCCACCTCTACTTATTTCAAATTACAAATTATAGTTTACTTCATTTAGCAATCATTGAAGGACTTGAAGATATTGCTTGTTCAATAATTAAAAATATTTCTACTTCTAATGAGATGCTCAATTCTTTTAATTATCTTTATCAGGTATGTCTGTTGAAAAATAATTATAATTATAATTAATTACATTTTTTTTTTGATTGGAATTTACATTTATATTTTGTTTGTCGTTTGTTTGTTCATTTAGAATCCATTACATTTGGCCATTTTAAAACGACAAATTAACGTCATTCCTCTTCTTATTTTGAAAGGTGTTTCATTAACATTTCAGGACAATTTGGGCAATACTCCATTACATATTGCTTGTAAATACTCATTGATGAATATTGTGGAAATAATACTATCAACTGCCTCGATTAAAAATGTAGCCAAATGTTTGGAAATTCGTAATTATGATGGTAAATTTTTATTTTTTTGTTGAAAAAATGACATTTATCAAATTATTTTTGGTTATTTCATTAGGTGACACTTGTCTACATTTAGCTGCCTATAATAATGATTTAAAACTTTTAGAATTATTTATTCGATCAGGTGCAAATTTGGATATTCAGGTACGTTCAATTTTTTCAAAAATCATTTTTTTTCTTATATTTGGATTTTTTTTTTAAATACGTCTTTTTTTCTCTTATGATTAACAGGAAGGAAAAAGTGGAAAAACCATTTTACATTGGGCTATCGAAAATTTACACGTACAATTAGTCGGTTTTCTTTTGAAGAATCAGGCAAACATAATGGCTGAAACATTTGCCGGGAAAACCCCATTGCATTTTCTATTAAAAAAATCATCAATCAGACAATATAATCAACACGATTCATCAACATCATTAACGCAATCAAACAAATCAAAAATTTATAAAATTATTCGTTTATCAATTGAATATTGTAATGAGAAAAAATTATCATTAGATACGATAACTAATTTATCCGATGATACGGATACATCGGATAATGAAAGCTAATTTCTATTAATATATATGATATATGATAATCGATTGATTTTTTTTTACAATTTGTGGTTTGTACATAATGATGACAATCACTTGTTTTTTTTTCTTCAACTACAACAAAAAAAAAAGATTTTCATTTGTAAATAAAGATATGATTAAATTATTTATATAAAACATTATTATTATTTTTAAAAATGATGATTAGATTTTGAGTAATTAAAAAAAACAACAAAACAATCGAAGGATATCCGTATGTGTAAAAAAACACAATGATCGAACGAACAAAAAAAATTGACAAAAAAAAAGACTATTTCGACTTTTATAGTGTATGAAATTCAAAAACGGCTATTGCTCGCATCCATTCCAAAACATTGCACAATTTTATTGTTTGTTTGTGTGTGTGTGTTTAGGTATCCCGAACTAAAACAAAAAAAAACAACCTGACTTTTCCTTGATTTTAAATGGATCCCTAATCTTTAGACAGAAAAACTCTGAAAAATTCATCATGAATGAAGTGGTAGATGTTGTTGGAACAAATCATTATGTAAATCATGATGATAATTACCATAATCATCATCACCATCATCCACAACAGCCAGATATTTCATCGAATAGTTTACACTCAACAATGTCAAATCAGAATTCATCAATAGTTACTACAGCTTCAATTTCTAGCAATGGTAATAGTAATAGAAATAATACAAATATTCAAATGCCTGAAAATTGTTATGTTGGAGCTCGAGTAATGAGAAATTCCAGTGATTGGAAATGGGCAAAACAGGTAAACAATAATTTTGTAAATATTTTGATTGTTGAAAATTTTTGTTTTCAAATCAATAATTCAAAATTTCATTCTCTATAAAGGATGGTGGTGAAGGTCATCTTGGTACTGTTCGTAATTTTGAATCACCCGAAGAAGTGGTTGTTGTTTGGGATAATGGAACGGCTGCTAATTATCGTTGTATGGGTGCTTATGATCTTCGAATTGTTGACAGTGCTTCAACTGGAGTTAAACATGAAGGAGCTATGTGTGATTTTTGTCGACAATCTCCAATTTTCGGTATCCGATGGAAATGTGGTGATTGTAACAATTATGATCTCTGTTCCATTTGTTATCATGGTGATAAACATAATTTGAAGCATCGTTTCTTTCGAATCTTATGTCCAGGTTCTAATCGTTTTGCAGTCGAACCTAGACGAAAAGCAAAAAAGATAACAGTGAGAGGAATCTTTTCGAATGCTCGTGTAATACGTGGTGTTGATTGGCAATGGGAAGAACAAGATGGTGGAAATGGAAAACGAGGAAAAGTAACGGAAATTCAAGATTGGAGTGCTGCTAGTCCACGAAGTGCTGCATACGTAATCTGGGATAATGGATCGAAAAATCTTTATCGTGTAGGATTCGAAGGAATGGCCGATTTGAAAGTGATTAATGATGCAAAAGGTTATACTGTTTATCGTGATCATCTACCATTATTGGGTGAACAAAGTGCTAATAGATCTGGCTGTCATGATTTTCAAGTTGGTAACCAAGTGAACATTGATCTTGATCTAGAAGTTGTTAAATATTTACAACATGGTCATGGTGGTTGGACTGATGGAATGTTTGAATGTTTAGGCACAACCGGTACTGTTATAGAAATTGATGAAGATTTTGATATTGTTGTTCGTTATCCCAGCAACAATAAATGGACTTTTAATCCTGGTTGTTTAACTAAAGTGGGAAACACTTCAAACAACGATAATAATGATTCGAATAGTACAAACAATGATACGAATAATATCAATTTGAATTTATCACCAACTACCAATTATGCAACAAGTAGTTTTGCTGCTAATGCAATGAATATGAAAAATCCTTCACATCAATTTCGTGTTGGTGATTTGGTCAAAATATGCAATGATATTGAAAAGGTAAAACTTTTACAACGTGGACATGGTGAATTTACACCATTGATGATTCCAACACTTGGAACTATTGGTCGTGTTGTTCAAGTTTATTCGGACAATGATCTAAAAATTGAAGTTGATGGTTTTTCTTGGACTTATAATCCGGCTGTTGTTTCGAAAGTTTCTTATGATACAACTGCTATAGAAGATATGGATAGTTTAATAAAAAGATTATTCGAAACAACACAAATATCTACAGATCCTAATCAAGAATTAGTAAAATTAGCTGCCAATGGTGAATCGATAAAATGTGACGAATTACTTAAAAGAGGTGATGTCGATGTAAATGGTGTATTCTCATCTCATACAGCATTACAAGCGGCCAGTCAAAATGGTCATGTTGAAATAATCAAAGTTTTATTAAAACATAATGCAAATGTTGAAATTGAAGATAAAGATGGTGATCGTGCTGTTCATCATGCTGCGTTTGGTGATGAACCAATGGTCATTAGTGTATTGGCACAAGCAAATGCCGATATGAATGCCCGAAATAAACGTCGACAAACTCCATTACATATTGCTGTTAATAAAGGTCATATTCAGGTTGTTCGTAAACTTTTAGATCTCGGATGTCATTCCAGTCTTCAGGTAATGATTAAATAATTGAAAAAACAGTAACGAAAGATTCTAAACATTAATTCATTATAAATAATCAAGGATTGTGAAGGCGATACTCCAATGCATGATGCTATAAGTAAAAAACGTGATGATATACTCAAATTATTATTGGAATTTAATGCCGATATAACATTAACAAATAATAATGGTTTTAATGCATTACATCATGCTGCATTAAGAGGCAATGCAAGGTGAGAACCGATTTTCTGTTGCATTTTTCGATAAAATGATTTCATATTTTTATTTTAAAAAAATGATTAGCGCAACTCGAATTCTATTGGAAAAATTAGTACGCAAATGGATAATTGATGAGAAAAAAGATGATGGTTATACTGCATTACATTTAGCTGCATTAAATAATCATACACAAGTGGCCGAATTATTGATTAAATTAGGAAAAGCTAATATGGATTTACAGAATATTAATCTTCAAACACCATTACATTTGGCCGTTGAAAGACAACATACTGATATTGTTAAGGTAAATTTTTTCATTATCATCATCATTGTCAAATCAGATGTTAATTTTTTTGTTTTTGTTAATTTAAAGTTGTTGGTAAATAGTGGCTGTAATTTAAATATACCGGATAAAGATGGTGATACACCTTTACATGAAGCATTAAGACATCATACACTTTCACAATTACGACAATTACAAGATGTACAGGATGTTGGAAAAGTAAGTTTGATGAAAAATAATTATTTTCCGATATTTATTTTCTCGATATTTTTTTAAAAAATAGCTTTTGATAGGCTTAGGAACATCGGGAACTGAAAAGAAAAACAGTTCGACTATTGCTTCAATATTAGTATCTAATGGTGGAGATCTTTATGCTAAAAATAAAAAAGATCAAACACCATTAGATCTTTGTCCAGATCCTCATCTGAATGAAGCATTGAAAAAATGTCGAAAAGAATTAAGGTAAGATGAGTTTTTTTTCGTAAAAAAAAGACTAAAAATATTCATTGAAAATTTAGCCAAGATCAGCATAATGAACAAGTTACAGATCCTGTTATATTGAACAATTCAATTTCACCAGATTCAGAATCATTGATCGAATGTACAGTATGTTCGGATAACAAACGTGATACACTTTTTGGACCTTGCGGCCACATAATTGCCTGCTCAATTTGTGCAACAAGAATGAAAAAATGTTTGATTTGTAAAGAAATGATACAAACTCGAACAAAGGTAACAAAAGATTCGAAACATTTCAATTCCTAATCATTTTTTGGTTTCATACACAGATTGAAGAATGTTTGGTTTGTTCAGAACAAAAAGCTTCCATTTTGTTCAAACCATGTGGTCATATGTGTGCCTGTGATAATTGTGCATCAATCATGAAAAAATGTATTCAATGTCGACAAACAATAGAAGAAAGTGAGTATATATTTTTTTTAAAATTCTGATGATTCAACCATTAATTTATTGTTAAAATTTAGCTGAAACATTCATTTCTTGCTGTAATATTACTCCAACAGCAACAGGTAAGTTTATTTTTGGGAATATTTTAATCGTTTTGTTTAATAAGAATTTATTAATCATTTAGAAAACAATCGAAGTAATATTTTATCGATACCTGGAAACAAAATCAAAAATAATACGAATATTTTGTCTTCAACATCTTCGACTACTAAAAATAATAATAACAACAATAGTAATAATAATAATAACAATAATAATAATAATAAAAGTTTGGATGTACAAAAACTTCAAGAACAATTACAAGATATTAAAGAACAGGTAATCATTGTAAAAAAATATTTTTATTATTAACAATTATGCTTTAATTTTAATTTAATTTACTCTAGACTGCATGTCCAGTATGTTTAGATCGTTTCAAAAGTAAGTAAATCAATATTCGAATGAAAAAATCAAAATGTAATACTGAATCAAAAATTGTCTTTCTCTTTTGTTTGTTGATGATCAGATATGGTTTTCTTATGCGGTCATGGTGCTTGTCAAATGTGTGGTGATCGTATGACATTTTGTCCAATTTGTCGACATACAATTGAAAATAGAATATTACTTTACTAAAATTAGATTTCAATTTTTTAAAAATATATTATTATATAAATCAATAAAATTCAAATGCATACCTATTTATCAATCATCATCTTCATCGATGATAATTCTTCGCCGTTTTTTGATTGGATTAATCGGTGTACTAGAAATCTGTTTGTTGTTTAGCGAACGTTTCAATGTTCTTGATGGTGTTTCTTTTACGGTTAAAAGATCATCTTCACTATCGGAAACGTAAATTATATCATCATTGCAGAAACTATCCATTTGATATTCATCTTCTTCATCAGGTTCTTGTGAGAAAACAGAACCATATCGTTGAGAGTTGACTTCAAGATTACGATCATAATCGAATTTAAGCTTATATTTGTTTTGTGGCCCGACTAGATTTTTGGTAGTTTTTAGATAAATTGAATCTTCTGTATGATCCACATGTTCATGAACATTATCATCGATAAATTCTCGATCTTCCGAATTTTCGACTTGTGTTTGTAGTTGAGTATCGAATGCATCACCGGTCACATCAGCTTCGTCTAAAATGAATAAACTTTGAAAAAGAAACCCGTTGAAAAAAATTTCATTTACAAAATTACAAAAATTACCTTTTCTTTTTGATGTTTTGAGGACGTTTAGACAACAATGTAGTAGAAATTGATGATGTAGAGGTTTCGAGTATCAATGAAGATAAATCGGACTCACTTGTCGATTGCTTATTGTCATTTTTAGATGACGAATCATTTATGAGCTTCAATCCATCTCTTTTGCCGGCTCGATATTTAAGATCACGAATTCTTCCCTGTATTGGCTGCAAAAAAAACAATTGATCCTCGATCAATGAAATGAAAATTCTTGTACTTACTCTTCGAAAATAGGAAAGGTTCAACTGAAGAACATTAGGATTATTAGTTACCATTTTGTTTTTGTATCATACAAAAATAAGAAGAATAATCAGAAAAACTTTATTATGCTTACACTAAAATTGAAAATTCAAGAATTCGTTGGATTTTTTTTTCAAACAACTATCGATATCAACAATCGATATTTTACTAAACAAATGAAAGAAAAAAATTTTCAAATTTTTTTTTAATAAATCAACTTTTGATAGGTAATGTAGAATCAGATAATGGGATAATTTTTTCTTCTTTGATTTCGGATGGAAGAAAGTAATTTTGATCGCCTTTTTGTTCTTTAACTTTACCACGTAGAATTTCGGCCTTAAATTCATCATAGTTTAATTCATGATGTCTTAGATTATCTTCCATGTTAATAACCTGTCCAGCAATATATTGATCTTCTAGTATATGCATAACCATTGAACTAAATTGTTTTTCGTCTAGTTTCGAATCAACCATCAATGTATTACAACGGATTCGAGCAGCCGTCAATAGGTCAGCTAAACGAAACACATCATCATCGATTGTATCTAATTGTATTCCATATTTTTTAACAAAATCATCTTGTTTTTTGAAATATTCAGCATCATATTGTGAATTGATGTAAACTAGATTTATAATACAACCACGACAACCGAATTTGTTGATTTCATTACTTTGTAATTTTTCCAAAATGTTTTTCGAAATCAAATAACTTAGGAAATAATTGTAAGCTAAAAAAAAGAATTAGCATCTTTTTTCTAATTGATTTTATCAACAAAAAAAAAACTTACAACTTCGATGGCCAGCACAGTTTACTAAGGCATCAATAGGACCAATATTTTTTAGATAATCATCCAAAAAAGTTTGATCAGCTAAATCACCTTGAACAAAATGATGATCTTTTCCATAAAGTTGTAAACTATGTATACGTTTATCAACAGCATAAACTGTTCCTCCGTTTTCAACCAATTCCTGGACCAACTTATTACCCAATCGAGAACTGCTCCCGGTAACAAGTGTTTTAAGATTTTTGATTAAAATTTTACCAGCTTTTTGCATTTTTTTTCGGATCGGTTATTTAATAGCAAAACATCAACATTGTTAATCACGCACACATGCAATGATGCAATTAAAGCATCAACAAAACATCGATAGTAATCGATACTTTACAGTAAATTTAATGTAATTTTTTAATAAAAGTTGATAATTTTAAACAATTTTTTTTTTGAATTTTCAATTTTTATCTTTAATCAATTTTTCATTTTCATTTTTTGAATTATTATATGATACATATGCAACACCAGCAGCAAATGATACTAAATATGAAGCTAAAGTAGTTAGACAAAATGGTCGTACAATTCTTTCGACTAATATATGACGATTATGAAGAAATTCGAATCCAGATTGATATAAACGTCTGATAGGATAGTATACAAAGAATAATAGCATACCAGCATTACCACCAGTTACGGTAAAGAATATCAATTGAAATGGAATCGATTCGTTTTTAAGATTTTTCGGAAATATAGCTTTTTCTTCGATTCGATAAACAGGTTTACATCGGCCATTTTTATCATCTTTATCATCATCATCATTATTACGATGAAAATATTTTAGATATAATCCATACATCAGTGATCAGTGTTTGTAGATTATAAAATAATAATTTATAATTTTCAATTATAATTTTAAAATCAGGTTTTTTTTTCATATATGAATCAAGTAAACATCAAGTCCGAACAAGAATTACGTCCCACTCAAAAATGTCGATATAATAATTTTAACAAAAAAAAAATTTAAGCCATCATCGAAAATAATTTAATCTTTATAATAATAATAATTATAAATAATATATAAAATGATTAATATGAATTATTGAAAGTAGAAGAAAAAAACAATGAAAATCGATAGAATCACATCTTATCGTTCGTTCAAACTATAGTTATAACAAAAAATAAAAATGTGAGACAAGAAAATCTATAATTTTTTGTTTGTTTGTTTACCTAGAATATCCTTCACTGCGATGATTATGTCGACGACGTTCGCTTGACATTCCGGCTATCAGATTAAGTCGTTCATGATATAAGAATACTTTTCGCATTGATAACATTAATTGAAGACATACACAAACCAATAGTGCCCAAGTACCAAACTGAATTGTTTTAAAAACGAAAGGTTTAAGAAATTTTTTAAAAAATAAATGAAAAAAAACAACAAACCTGTACGATACCCAATTGATAAGAAAAATTTTTAGCCACAATTGTACTGTTTACACCGATTTCCATCACAGAAGATGCTATATTACAACTAAAAATTCAAAGCTTTTAGAATCAAGAAAAATTTGTGAAAAAAAATTATATAACTTACGAACTAAATCGTTGTGTAACACAATGACACCAAATATAGAATCCAATCGTAGTGATAATACTATCGATTAAAACGAATAATGCCACAACACAATCGAAAAAGAAGCATAAAAATGCATGAAAAAATGTGCTAGAATATTCGGTATTTGATTAGAAACAAACTTTTTAAAAGAATAAATTTAGAATATTACCATTCTTCATTTTTATACAATAAACGAAGTTTCATAAAAATCTGAACAAAAGAACAGATAAATGTAAACGACCCGATAAGAATTGAAATTATGCATGGGGATTTATTTGCCCAATCTGGTTCAAAATGACCATCATCTTCAATGTAATGACCACAAGAAAACAAAGCACAATGGCCACGAAAATCATTCAAATGTGCACCAAGCGGTATGATTACATAAAGTGAAACAAAAATACATATCAAATGATTAGCACATTGAATTATTAAAAATATTTTGTCATTCATTTTTCTTGAGATTTAAATGGAAAAATTATTCGATGAAAAAAGTGAAAAATGAAAGAGTTCGGGAAAAGTTTGACAAATAAACAACGACAACAACAGAAAAAATTCATAACGTGGTATATGAGCAGAGCAACCAGAATCACGTTGAACACGTTTTGTTTTTCTTAAATCATCGAATTCTTGGTTTCAAAAATTTGTATTTCATCAAAAAATATCATCTGATAACAATGGGATCATTTGTAAAAGCTCAAAAATCTCGTCAACGTTTACATCGTGAACGTGTCAATGTATTGGATAAAGGATTTTTAGAACGAAAAAAAGACTATCAAACACGTGCAGCCGAATATAATCGTCGAAAGAATATTTTTACTAAACTTCGTAAAAAAGTTTTGGACAAAAATCCGGATGAATTCTTTTTTCGTATGAAATCATCGAATTTAATCGATGGTATACATTATGATCATCGTAAAGATGAAGAATTATCTACCGAAGAGTTACAACTGATGCATACACAAGATCTAAATTATGTTAATTATAAACGTTCAATCGATTTGAAAAAAATACCAAAACTTCAAAGTGAATTACATTTATTGGACGCGAATAAACGAAAACAAAAAAATAAACACATCATTTTTGTTGATAATGATAATGAGAAAAAAAATTTCAACATTGCTAAACATATGAAATTGGATAATCAATCATTGAATAAAGATTCGCATTTCAAACCGAATCAATCGATAAATAATGATGATTTGAAAGCATCAAATCAAGCTAAAGATATTAAATATCGTAGATTGAAAAATAAAATCGATCGTGAAACATTGTTACATAATGTATCCGAAAAAATGATGATCAAAAAACAACTATTAAATAATAAAGAATCGGCTAAAAAAATTAAAACAAATAAAAAAAATACCATTTATCAATGGAAAATGGAAAGAAAAAAATGAAAATTATAATTTTATTATTAGTTTTTTTATTTTTTGTAAAAAAAACAAATTCCTTTGTTAAAAAAATGATTCATTTGAAAATAATAAAATAAAAATTTTTTTATTGATCAAATTCAATTTTCCAAAATCAAATTTTCTTTTTTTTGTTCGCCATGAAATTCCATAGGGGATGATGGATAGATAGTTGGCCAAAAAAAAACAAGGCGTCACAGGAATCCCATATATATTATTTTTTTCATAGAATTGTTGCTGTTCAGAGTTGGTTTCTTTGCAATCATTTTTTTGGTTGAATGGATTTTAGTCATTTATCATTATTGGGATTGCATACAACAATGGAAATAAACAATAATTTTTTAATGATACAATTAATTTTGTTTTCTTTTTTGAAAACGTTCACGGCAATCAAATGCAAAGAGTTCATAGAACCTTGAATTTTTCTTTTTAAAATTAAAGAATCGTTACATGAAATGCGTTTGTTTTTTTAATTCAAAACTTTATCTCAGATAATTACCCAAGTAATGATAATGATGATAATCCAATGAATTTCAAATCGCGATCTTTAATGAGCATGTGAAAAAGCAAAAAGAAAAACAAATTATGTTGATTGATCCATGATACAAGAGAATTACACTCTCATCGAATATCGAATTTTGATTCGGTGCACAATCGATTATTATTCTTATTATTTACAACAAGTGTGTGTTGCCGGCCTTCGGCCAGCAGCACGCACACTTGCTTCAGCCCGTAGATTCTGGCAGATGAGCGGCTACGCCGCCCATCGCCCAAATCTTTGGCTGAAGTTTTGTTCTTTTGCGATCGATCCAACCATTTATTCACTCGATACAATCAATTATTTGTTTTCTATCCATTTGTTTCGGGTTTCGCCGAAAATCGGTCCAAAAAAATATTGGAAAAAATCGCCAAAGATAGCCACAAATATTGGCGCTTCACTTAGTTCCTCTCGGAAAACCTAATTGCACAAACCTAACCTAACCTGCTTAAGGCCGCGGTCCCATAACAATGAGACCGGGGCCTAAGCGTTAACAATTGTTTCTATCCCGAGGCAATTCATGTTGCGCACGCTGCTGCGCACATTGACTATTTCTGCAGACCCTTTCTATCACATTTGTGTATTAGAAATTTCCTAACACATTTCTCTGTTAACGACACTCTCGAGAAGCTTCGCTTCTCGTGTTTATTATATAGATATAGAAATCGGTTCCGGTTGCGTAAAATAACAATAATTTTGTTTGTTTTGTTTTGTTTTGAATTCATGAGAGCAAGTTTATCATTTAATGAAGTTTAGGTTTGATGATACAAAAAAAAAGCTAACGGTTTTTTTTCTTTGTCGAAGAATATTGTTCTATATAATTTATAGAATCTGTAGAATCTCTCTGTGTGTGTGTGTAGAATCAAAAGATTTGTCCAGAATAAAGTGCGCCAACATTTATTTCAATGTAGACAGTTTGTTGATTGCTTTGAACAAGTTAACAACGAAAAAAAAGAAGTGTTTTTTTTTGAAGATACCGAAATACCATAAACTTTTAGTGCAATAACATTTTGCCTGTTATTTAAAAATTGTGTTTTTGTGTATATGTGTGTTTGACTTTTATAGAAAAAAATAAAAATTTGAAATTTCCATTTGAAACAAACAAACAAACAAACAATGATAATGTCAACAATGATTATTAGATTATTTTTGGTAGCTAGTTTGGCTATGACAATAGTCAAATCATCAACATCGATAAATTCTTTGCCATCAACAGCAACAACAACATCGACAACGAATTCGAATCCAGAATCAAACGATTTATTGGCTGAATATTTATTAAATAATCTTTTAAGGCAAAATACACCACCACCATCATCATCATTATCATCAACATCACCATTGTTAACATTATCAAATAAAAATCGAAATCAATATCAGAAATTATCAACCGGCCTTTCAAGATTACCATTATCGGGTTTATTATTATCACAACAACAACAACAACAACAAAATTTTATTGATAAACAACAAAATTTAGATCAAGAAGAAGATACAAATAGATTGTTAACAGATTTTTATACATCATTATTAGATGTTAATATAAATGATAATGGCCATCAAGATGTTAGCTGGTTTGATGGACCTGTATTACCAAAAGTGACTGCATTGACCAATGATTATGGTGATGATAATTATCTTGGTGATGTTGTTGATAATGATCAAACAGGTTATGATCAGGAAAATTTGATTCAACCTTCATTGATACCATATCCATATATGAATTATCGACAACAACAACAACAACAACCGATTGATAATTTCGATGATACAACAACAACAACAACAACAACAATATTCGATAATCCAACATTAATGAATATATTATTGGCAAACTATTTAACAACACATCAACAACAAAATGATTTTGAAAATCAAGATTCGAATCGAATACCAATTTTAAGACAAACAAATGATGATGATGATAATGAATATGATGATGAAAAACCAATCGAAAATCTTTATAATTATGATAATGATAAATTAACAATGAAAAATTTAGAATTATATAAACGAAGACAAAAAGTAATTAAACATGATAATGATAATAATAATAATAAGATTGAAACAACAACAACAAAACCATTATCATCATCATCATCATTATCAACAACAATGAAAACAACAACTGGAACAGGAACAGGAATGATAATGAAAGAAGAAAGAGAGGGTAAAAAATTTTCACCACACACGATACCAAAATCAAATTTAAAACATTCAAAAATGATGATGATAATGAATGGCCAAAAAGAATATCCAATGTTACGGCCATCATCTGAAAATAATAAAAATAATAATGAAAATAATAATGATCAACCAACAGAATCGACAGGTAATAATAATAATGAATGGCCATCCGAATTGGAAGAAAATACATTGGCAGAGGTAAGTTTTTTTTTCTCAAAAAAAAAATGTTTCATTCAAATGACAATCATTATAGTAAAAAAAATCAAAAATGAATTTTGATTTCATTCATAATTTTTTTTTTATTATATTCAAAAATTGCTACTGTTAACACCATGTACATAGACAATCCAATAAACAACAATAACGTTTGACGTCATGTTTGTGTAAAACTTTGTTTTGTCTTCTTCTTCTCTATCTATCTATCTATCTCCATCATTTTTTTTCTATAGTTTTCTCTATAGGTCAGAATATTGAATGAGATATATATTCTATTCTATAATCTATGAACGTGATTTAAACCGAATAAGAGAAAAAAAAAGCTTGTCAAACAAACACATTGAGATGTAGCTGACGTCATGAATTTTTTTTCCATCCAACCAAACAACCAACCAAACAATTGATGGCTATATAGCCCCGGTTGTTGTTGTTGTTTTGTTGGAAATTAATTGAATTAAGCCAACAACAACAGAAAGAAAACATTATTTGGTCATCATAATCATTATGCTTGCATTATCATTAAACCAAGTAATAACGGAAATCGAAAAGTTTAGTTTTTTTTAAATCACTTTTGAGATTATAATAGATACCTTCATCACCACCACCACCACCATTATAAAAACTTATAACTTAAATATTGATTGGCAAGCAAGAAAAAATTAAAATAAATAAAAAAGTTGTTGTTGTTGTTGTTGTTGAAAGTATAATACTTTTACGATTCAATTTGATAAATGTTGTTTTGTTCTTAGTTTAGTTTTATTTATAGATGAAAAATTCATAACATTCAAATCGAATATAAAAAAAAAAAATCTATTTCGAGCATTTTAATAGTCATCGGACACACACAAAAAATCCCTACGTCAATACAGAATTTTTTTTTTTATTCAGTTTTAAAATATATAGATAGAGATAAACGTAGATAAAGGAAAAATTCCATTGAATGAATATGAATGTGATCCGCATGTGCATCATGGCTATCAAACAACAACAAAAAACTACTAAAAAACTACTAAATGATTTTAGCTTAATAGATAATAAATTATACACACACACACATAGTGATGAATAGTATCCTCGAATAATGAAAAAAAAATTCATTTTTATGAATGAATGAAAAACATTTAAAACCTAAATACTAATGACAAACGGAACCTACTACTAAACTACGTTTGTAAATTTTGGAAATTTTCATTTTTGAAATGGCGATGATGATTTTGATGTGTGTGTGTGAAAAATCCTTTTACATTCAATTTCGATTAATTCAATTTCCAATTCAAGCAAAAATAAAAAAATATCTGAATTCTGTCAAGAAAATATTAATGGGGGAAAAAAACTATTCAAAATTCGTGTTGCAAAAAAACAATAAAAATGAAATGAAACAACTAATCATCATAATAATAATAATTTTATTATTAATAGCAAAATGGACTGAATCTATTCCATACCGAATTGTATTGTTTCAATCAGTTTCTATTTATAGAATCGGTTTTTTTCTTTGTAATTGAAAAAGAGTAAATACAAGAATAGAATCGTATAGAAAAAAGAATCGAATAGAAAGGATGAGCCAGAAAAAAAAACGAACCGAACCCAAACCGAAACAATAAATCCATTAGATCCATTAGTTTACATGCGTATTTCTCTTTTCGTAAATCATCATTATCCTATGGATGAATGGATGGATGGAAGGGGAAATATACAAAATAACAACTATTGCCGAAATTTGAAAGAATTTTGCCATTTTGGTTTCAAGATAATTAATACATTTTTTTCGTTCGTTCGTTCGTTCGTTTGTTTGTTTGTTTCTACGACGATGAAAAAAAATGTGTAAAAAATCAATTATAATCTAATTAATTAGTTTTTTTTCCTATTCATTTTCTGTTTCTGTTTCTGTTTGATATTTACAAATTGATAAAATCAAAGAATTTTTACATATATGAATGGATTCAATGATTCAATGATGAAAAAAAATTTCCTGTAGACATCCCCTTTATTTCATTTTTTTAACACATCCACCACCGGAGGGTTCATATAATGCCAACAACAACAACAACAGTCAAAAACAATGATCCACAATGTCAATGTCAGCAACATTCTAACATTGACATTAACACAATTTTTTTTTTTTTGTACAAGAATATTTTCTATAACTGAAATAACATATATAAAGAGTGAGAGAGATTGATAGTCATTGAAATAACAAGGTTATAAAATTCTAGGTTTTTTCTTCTCTTTTTTTTGCCATCATCATCCATATATCAAATAGAAAACAGAAAATAGGATCTACCCACGCAAAAAAACAAAATATATTCTTGCAAATTCAGTAATGGCAATGGTTGTTCGTTAGTCTTCTTCATCATCATCATCATAGAAGACCATCATAGAATTAATGTTTTTTCATTCCAACCAGTTTGTGTGTTGGTGTTTGGTGATTGGTGTTTCTGATGGAGCGCAACAACAACATAGCAAAAGAAGAAAGAAGAAAATTAGAATTCAAACCCGAATCATAATGAAAAAAAACGAAAGAAATATTATTATATAACACATACAACAAGCCCCAAAAAGTATATACGCGATTATTGTATTAGGTAAATATAGCGAATGAAAGAAAGAAACGAAAGGAAAAAAAAGTCTATCATTATTATTAATACTGGACGCCCACGCACGGTAAGCTTTACCCGACGAACAAATGATGCAGGATGCCCTTATTGCTGAGTCTGTGTGTCTTACTATAAAACAAATTTGATATACGTGTATTATTCAGCAGAAAAAGTTTTTTTTTTATTTGACAACATTTAAAACACAAGAAAAAAATTCACTACATAAAAAATGAAAATATATAGATAAAGATAGATAGATAGAATCTAAATATCAAAGATGAAGATGTTGATCATCATTGAATGGTTGAATGGCTGACATTGAAATTTCTATAAATTTTTTTTATTTGGCTAACTTTGTTTCTATATTTTGTTTTTTTTTTGTTTCATTTCTTATATAAAAAAATCCAATATAGGAAGATTCATTGAAACAATTACCAAAACAACAACAACGAATGGTTCGTGATACATTAACATCTCAATTAGATTCACTTAAAATGGAAACAAAACGAAATATACAATCGAATAATGATATAATGATGTCGGCCAATATTAATAAACGTACAAATCATGAATAAAAAAAAAACCTGACGGAAAGTTTATTTAACCTGACATGATAAACAATAAACAAATAAAAACAGCAACTAATCAGATTTTTTTGTCAAACAAAATAATCCATCAATCAGAACTGTATAAAAAAACAAAATGAATATCAAACACCACCAACCACAACAACAAGCAAACACATATTTGTCACCATACACTTTTCAATCATTTCCAATCATAATCATCATCATCATTCCTATCTGTTGTTCTGAACCAATCACCACCAATGATAAACTGTTGAATTAACAAAAAAAAAGAAGTCAACGTTTTTGTTTTTGTTATCCTATATTTTTGTCAAAATACACACCATACACACACACACACACCTTCATTATTATCATCGGTTCTTCTGTGATGGATTAAGATTTCATTTCATTTCCAAACAATCCAAATTCCCCTTTGATAAACAAATGGAATACAACATAACAAACAAACAATCAAATGACAGTAAATTTTGGTTGAGAAGAAAAATTCTAAATTGAAAATTCCAATGTAATTGAGTCTGTAATGACAATCAGACAACCAAACAAACAACAAAACCAGAAACCAGAATCATTTAGGCAAACATAATGATGATTTGACGAGATATAAATGATGTGTGTTTGTGTGTGTGAAATTCTTACAAGATATGTTTCCTCTCTCTCTCTCTCTCTCTCTCACATACACTCAAATGCCATTTCTACATGTTGAACAACAACAATCCAAAAAAATCAATCCTATACAACATTCCGTTAAGTATATTACGAAAAAAAATAATAACTACATCCTGTACCATTATCATTAAAAAAAATTTCACAACTAAAGAATCCTGTTAACATCCTTTTACAACAACAGCAAAAAAAACCGAGTGAAAAAACCGATAATTTTCCGGAAATATTTCCCACCGAAAAGAAAACTGGTCAAACATCATTGAAACATCATTATAATCATCAAACATCATCATTATGAATAACCTTTGTCATTTGAAGCAAATGAAAAAGAAGAATATCACTGTCATTCTGTTTTTTGTTTTGTTTTGTTTTGTTCATTCTGTTTTGTTTGTTTTACTTACTTACTTACTTTCTCTTTATATTTCCTTTCTTATTGAATGAAAAACATTGAATGAATGAATGCGAAAAAATCGATTAATTAATTTTATTTCATACAGCAAAAAAAAATAAAAAATAAAAATTTTAATTTATATGAAAGTTTCGAAAAAATCTTCTTCAGAAAGTTTTTCATTGAAAAGTTTTACGGAAAAAATGTGATTTTTTTCGGATGAAAATCGTATTGGATTTTTCTTCTTCGTAAAAACAATGAAATTTTATTGATTGAATTCGTTGGAAACATTTTATATGGAAAAAATAAAATCTAAAAATAATCTTTTGTAGCGGTGTGCGACCATTTTATTTCGCATTATTTGATAGATGATTTTTTTTGGTGTAAAGAAAACGATTCAAAGGTCAAAATTGACTAATATTCGTACTGGATTGGTACTTATAGCCAAAAAAAAAAAGATTGGGTAAATTAATCAGGTAAATTAAAAACAAATATGAAAACAAAGCATTGTCAAGAAAAGAAATGAAATGAAAATAAAGACAATTTTCTTAGCTTAAATTCAAACAAAGTATGCAAACAAACAAACAAACACGCCAAAAACAATTAAATATCGCGTGCTCCACGAAAAATGATCATGAAGAAGAAAATTATGATAAATTTACCTGACCCAAACATTTGAAACAGAAACAAAGTAATAAAGAAAGAAAGAAAAAGAAAGAATTATCATTCATTGTTGAATTTAGAGAGAGAGAAAGGGAAAGAGAAATTTGATTTAAAAAACTTTATTATTATTTACGTTTCCTATCTATAGATAAATAATATTGTATCAAAACTGCTTCCCAAATAAGATAAACTAACCCGAAAAAAACAAATCATATGATAAAAGCAGCAGATGCAATGAAAAAAAAGCAATCAAAGAAATACACACACTCTCTTGAACAACAACAGCAACAGAAAATCTACAAAATAGAACGAAATGAAATGAAAGATCAAAGAAAAAAGAACCGAAACAAAAAAAATGTAGGACAACCAGGATTCCGAATAAATTCGGTGTTATATGGGTCTATACAGACACACACAAACACATACACTATTTGTTCAAACAATCTCTAAATTTTCTCGAATAATAATAAAAATGGAAACACAAAAATGAAATAGTCTGGCGTCGTGGCCTCAAAATGGTTGTTGGCCTCTCTTTCTCTCTTCATCCATGTTCTACCAGAATTCTTACCAAAAAGAAAAAAACTGTTCCAGAATCATTTTTTTTTCGGCATATGATGACGGTGTCCTACAAACCAGAAAACTTTCATATCTCAAAAGATTTTTTTTGGCTCAATTGTTTCATTTCATTCCAAAAAAATTTTCACTGGTTCAGATTCGACTCATCATGATTATGATGATAATAAATGTATGACTCATACACATCTTGAATAAATTCTAGGGGAGAGAGAGAGAGAGAGAGAGAGAAATGGCTAGTCAGTGTTGAATAATTAGGACATCAGGACCCAGAATAAGAAAAACATCAAACCAAACCAAATAAACTTTGAGAACCATAAATTGGCCTTATGAATTTGTCATATTCAAGTCAAGTGTGTGTGTGCGTGTGAAAGAGGGAAAGATTGTTGGAAGAAAAACAAAAACGAATTGAATTGAAACAAACACAAACAAACAAACAAACACACAAACAAACAAACATAGAGTCCAGATAGAAAAAAAGGAAAAAAAATCCAAAATGAAAATGGTAAATAATGAAAAAAAAAAAATGATTCAAAGATTTGAAAACTGATACAAGAAAAAACAAAATTGGTTTTTTTCCTTGTAGCATGAACTTGAACTGTGATATTTTTTTTTCAAAAAAGAAAAGGAAAAAGATTTTTCATTTTGAACAAAAAAAAAACAAATTTCATTATTTTTTTTTTCAACATTGACATTGGCTACCGTTATTCTTAACGCCCACCATCAAAAAAAACATTGATCATCTTTGCACACAACAAAAAGCCAATAGCCATTTTTTTCTGGTTAACTTTTTTGCTTTCTTTCTTATTATTATTTGGTCTTGTAACGCCAACACCAACACACAGTCAAAACTTTCTCATGAATCACAAATAAAAGCTTATATAACACCCACGCACCATCAACCAACCAACCAACCAAGCAAACAAACAAGGAAAGATTCATTAATGATGATGATGATGATGGTGGAACATATACATTGAATAATAAACTTGAACTTGGCAATGAACAACATCCACATTATATCAAACATGGTTAAAATTTTCTTCTTTTTTTTTTGCTTAGTTTCTGGATCTGGTTCTGTTTTTTTTTCTCTCTGTTTCATCCCTATATCATCATCATCATCATCGTTGTATCCAATTAATAATGCTAAAAAACATTTGGCAAGAAAGCAAAAGCAAAAAAAAAATAAAAATTCAATAACAAAAACAGGCAAACTGTCATAGCTGGTTGAAAAAAAAGTGTGTGGGCGTTATGTAAAAGTAAAAGTAATGTTATGCCATAAACATACAAACAAAACAAAAATGGAAAAAAAACAACCAAATAGATTTTATCTAATAATATTTAAATCATATATTACGACGGTTGTACATAAATATTCATTTTTTTTCTTGTTTTTTGTTTTGTTGTTATTTATCAAATTGTATTTATTATATCATTCATCTGGATCATTTCGGGTTGGATGGATGGATGGAAAATTTTTCGAATGGTCACATGAAAACAAAGAAATACAGCGATGCTAAAATGATGAAGCAAAAAAAGGAAAAGAAAAGATTTGCTAAAATCCTAAAGAATCGTCAGAAAAAAAGGCACTCATTTTTTTTTCGTTTTCCAAATTCAGTCATAAATTTGATTATTAAACAAATTTACTGTTGCTGTTGTTTTTTTACACGGGAAAAAGCTGATTATTTCCCAAAATGATTTGACTTTCGAGTTTTATTATTATTATTGATGTTTACAATTGTTTTCTGTCAATGAATAACACAACAGCAACAAGGTTAAAATTATAATCCACACATCCGAAGGGAACAAAAAATTAATCTCAAGTTTTATTGACGTAGTGTGTGTGTAGTTAGTTGGAAAAACAACATCAACAATAACAACATTTGGGCTTTCGAATCATTTTAACGGTTACGAAACGTTCGATCGAACTCATGATCAATGATGGTGATGATGTGTGAAATACCTGAATTACTAAACAAACAGAGAAAAAAAATCAATCGATTGTGATTCAATCAACAGAAACATCAATCGATTGACATTCAAAACAACAACGGCTTAGACAAAAGAATTTTTATAAATACTTACTTTGAACTTGAGCAAATTGTGAAAAGAAAAGAAATATGAATTATTGACGATGATGACTATGATTATAAATGATTATGATGACGATGATGATGGAGGGATTTTGTTTGTTTGGTCTGATTATCGATTGAAATATTTTTCTCATTAAAGTTATTTTTATTTTTCATCCAAAAAAAAAAATGACAAATTCCACGAATTTTGTCTTCTTTTTTCCCAGTTATTTCAACAACAAAAAAAAAGTTGTTGAAACAAAAATGAAGATTTTTTTTTTGTTTTTGGATAAAATAATGATTCGACTTTTTGATTTTTCATGATTTGATCATTAAAAACTCATATTTGATTCCAATTTGCTTCGTTGTTGTAAATTTGATTTTCATTTTTTTTTTTTTTTTGATATCAATCTTTTTCGATTGAAATTTTGCGAAAGAATTTCTCTCTTATGCAACAATTAATATTCTTTAATCATTTGATCGATCAAATGGATTCGATTATCTGATCCAGATTACAAAAACTTATGGTTGTGAAATTCTATTCCATTCGTGAAAAAAATCAATTTCGTAAAGAATTTATTTGGCTTCTTTATTGAAAAGAAACAACGACAAAAAAGATTATTGTCAAAACCAAAATGATTATTATTATTTGTTGAGCTGATTGATTTCCATTGAATGTTAATATTCACAAGTGTGTAGGAGGTTTAAGATTCATAAAATAGTTGAATTTTCAAAGAAAATCAATTTAAATTTTCGAAACTTTTTTTTTTGGTTGAAGCTTCTGGCAAAATAATCTCATCCAATATATATTCAATGCAAAAATATAAAATAAATCCAGATTTATATAAATTTTTTAATATATTGTTTCAATATACTTACCATTATTATTCAAATGATGATATTGATGAAAAATAAAAAAAAAAATACAAAAAAATAATAATTTAATTTCAAAAACAAATTACTCATTTTGATGTTTACGCGTGTGTATGGTAAACCTTACATAAATAAAATTACAAAAAAAAAATTAATTTTGACAGGCTGTTCTTTTGCATTGCGTTCGATTTTTTGTTTTTTTTTTGTTTGTCATTTACAATGGGTTTTTGGAAAATTTGTCCATTCGATCCAAAGCATATGGTTCCAAATTATCGTTTTCAATTACATTTGTTAATTTGTCCAAAAAGATTGACTATACAAAATGAAGAAGAATTTAAAGATAAAAATGATTCATATGATTCAGATGAATCATATGAATCGGTATCTTCTGACCACACAGTTGATGAAAAAATTAGATTATTATCAAATGATGATCAAAATCAAAATCTTAATCATGATAATCTTAAACTTTTAACAATGGCTGAATATGTTAATATATCAAAATTACGACGTATCTGGTATCGTAACAGTCTGAGGAATTATTTATCTAGCCGATTGACGAATGGAAATATTGAAAAAAATGTTTGCAAAATAGAATAACAAAAAGTTTATTCAATTGAAAGAATTATAAAAATGTTTAAACTGAATCATGTTGAAACAAAATGAGATTAGTATAATCAATTTGAAATTGTGAATTGAAACGTGCTTCAAGGTAAGAATTTTTAACAATTTCATCATCGCATGCTGTAATCTGTATACGTAACAATAATCGATTTTTCGAATAGATAAAAGGCTGGACCCGGCGATTTGATGTTTGATGTCCGGAACCTTTAATGATGATCGTCCAATTTTTAATAAATCCTTGTATGCCTTCCTGTTTCCAGATGTATAAATATGAATCGCTCATTAAAATCATAAATGGTTCCATCAATGAATTGGTTATGCCCATACTGAACAATGAAATCGAATGTACAGGTTCAGCCAATGGAATTGTTTGAAACAAACGAAAATGACAATCATTTTTAATCCGTTGATAAATACGAATCATCGGATCAATATTGATTATATTAAAAACAAGATAATGAACATTATATAAAGTAGTTTCATGTTGAATATAATGGCCAATATTGGAAATTTTTTCTAGCTGAAAATTCTGTATAAAAACATGTGTCTGATTTGATCTATTATAATCAATATCTAAACGAAATAATTTTGTTTCATGATTTTCATAACAATCATCAATATGATGATGATTAGAATCAAAATAAATAACATAGATAAAATGATCCATCGTAAACAAGAATGGTTTTGATCCTTTTGAAATAAAAAACAGTTAAGGGGTTATGTTAATTAGCCATGATAAATGTTTCTTTTTACTAACCTGATTTAAGATTTTTTTCCAAAATAATCAATGATTGTCCATTATTTGGTTCAAAACTGATTAATCGAAATAGCTGAACAGATTGTTTTGCAGGCCATAATTCAGCAACGAAAATCCTATGTCTTACAATAATCGATTGCCATAATAAATGTTTACGTTCATATAAACTATTGAAAAGATTTGCTGTAACAGAAACATTAAATATTTTAAAACGTTGTTGAAAATCAAGCGATTCCATTGTCCAATCATTCAATATTGATGACATTTGATTTGTTTGATGAAAATAATCAATTTCCAAATTGGATTGTTCATAATAATATTTATGTTCATTCATAAATAATTGATATTCATATAATTTTTGTGTCATTTTTTGTGCATCGATTTTTGAATCAAATTTTGATTCAATTGATTCAATTGTTTTACTTAAATCCAAATCATTTAAATGTTTATCAACAGTAATATTTTCAATAAATTGTGCTTTATCAATGGAAAGAAAACCAAAAATTTGTTCATCTTGTTCCAACGATTCGGCCATAAATCCATGTTGATAAATATCGGTTAAATTTACATTGTTAACCAGATGATTTTGTACATAAACTTTTTTAGCAATAACATTATTGAAATTCAACGCTGGACCATTGGTTATTTTATCACCGTAAAGAGTAATCAAATCACCGGGATGATATTGATTCAATAGATCAACACTATTATTATTCATTAGAAAAACTGGTGCTACAAATGTTATTGGTGTTTTAATATGTTGATTACCATATACTAATAACATTTGTTTAGACAATTTTGGTATATCTAATTGTGCATTTAAATATCCATCGACATCAATATTTTCATTGAAAACAATTGAATCGAAAATTTTTTTACCAGTAATAATTTGTCTTTGACTATCCAATCGTACAACATCACCAATATCGACATTATTAATCAATCCTAAAATCTTGAATCGTGGATTGTTTACAGTTATGTTGTTCGAAAATTTTATATGAGGATAATTTTTGATAATTTGATTATTATCCGAATACAATGCTGTAGAATTGAAATGATTTATATCAATCGAATTGATTACATTGAAATTAATTAAACCATTTTCATGATAAATTTCATTGACATTAATTTTTGCAAATGTTTTATGATAATCAATATGTTGTTCTTCAGGTGAATTAATCAGAATAATTTTCTTCAAATAATCTTTATCCAAATGATTAATATTTGATAAAATATTTATACTTTTATTAAACCATTGCCCACCATCGATAATTAATTTTTTAATATTTTGTTCACCATTAGACATTAAAATCGAATCTTTATTGATTGTTTGATTATCAACATTACCTTCGATAATAATTTCGTCAATTTTAATCGAATCGACAAAATTAATTACATCATTATGTTTTTTATCGACAATTAATTCACCATGATGATTTTTTTTCAAAACATTCGTATTCAATTCGGTAAGATTAACTAAATTAATTACACCCACTACTGTAAGGTTTTTTGATGCAATTAATCTTTCATTAAATATAACATCGCTATAAATTGTATAATTTCTATTGTTTGTCATTATAACATCTTCAGGTATGTAATTATTTAATTTATAAACATGAATATCGGCCATTAAATCAACATTACCATAATAAATAATATCACCTTGAATTTGAATTTTTTCATTAATATTTCGAAGTACTAATTCATGAATGAAACTTTCAAAATTTATTCCATTCCATTGTCGAACGAAAAGCTGTCCTTGTTGGATGGTCAAATTTCCATGAATAATAACCGGCCTAGTAATAATATTATAACCATTATTAGTTATAGCTTGATATTTTAATGTTTTTAAATCGATTCCGGCAACAGTTTTCGTACTACGGATATTACGAAATCTTTGTAAAGCGATAAAATTTTTTGAACCATTAATCACTTGATATTTTGATTTCGAAAGATAATTTTCGGAAAATTCTATAAAATTTTTACCATTTATAAAGGTTGTCTGAATATTTGAAGCCGAACAATTTATACAATGAACAAAAGCATTCAAACTAATCGGTTGATTTAACATTAATAAATTGGATGTTTTTTCTTTTAAATTTTCACCGTTTACAGTTTCAGTTTCAATATTGCCATCTATGATCAGCATTCCACAATAAATTGGTGCTACAAAATTAATCGGTGAACTAATATTTTGCATTGTTGAATAACGAAGCCAATTTTCGGGTGAAAATTGATCATTAATTTTTCCATCAATTTTCAAATGACCAGATATTCGTATTTCATTCAGAAAATTTTTATCTCCATTCAACGTCTGGAATCCGGTCAATGTAACAACATCGTTAATCAAATCGTCAACCAAAACATTATCGATTTTATTGTTGAGTTTGATATGATCAAAATAGGTACCATTTTTAAATATAACTTTATTCGAAAAATGTTTCGGTTGATGTAAAGTAACAAAATCTTGTACGGAATTCGAATTGACAATATTAGCATGTAGAGCATTACATCGAAAAATATTATCAATAGTTTTAGCACTTGAAATTTTCAATGAACGTTCCGATTTGAAATAAACATTCGAATAAAGTTGATCCAATGAATCAATATCATTAATTCGTTCAGATATTATTGTTAATTTTGTTACATTCACTGGACTTAAAAATGTTAAATTTTGATAAGCATTTTTAAATGAATCTAAATAACGTCTATCTAAATGTGTTAGATTTACACCATCAAATAAACCATTTACATGAAGATTTCCATTCACTATAAGACGATCAATTTGTAAATCTCGTTCAATAATTTCATTATCACCAGTTAATGTAACAATATCAACAGGAATTTGTAAATGATTCAAATAAGTTACATTTATATTGTCCACATTGATTGAAGAAAATCTTTTAACACCGTGAATGATCTTTAGGATGGGGAAAAAACCAAGATACTATGCATGTTTCAAAAACAAAAAAAAGAGCAATTTAAAACCTACCTGTTCGGAATGACGATCAACCAAATCATCCGGAATACGAACATCATTAATTTTTCCTTGAACATTGATAAAATTCATTGCTACATCGGAAAGAATTTGAACTGGCGATATAAATCGAATGTTTTGATTACGTCGAATAATATTGCCAAACAAATCGGTTGTATTTTGTTCGTTAATAAATTTGACAAAAATATCACTTTTAACTTTTAATTTATCTATTTTTGTAGGAATTTTCACTTGTTGAAGATAACCAGAATGATGTTTTGTTAGAACTTGTTTTGGAAAATCTACGATTCGAATATTATCGATAGTATCGACATAAAGATTATCAACATTAATCGAATCGAATACAAGTTTATTACGAATCATAATTTGTTGATAATCATCTTGATTGATGAAAATAGCTTCGGATAATGAAATATTTGATGCAATAAAATTTGAAATTAATAAATTATCAACATAAATTTGATTCGGATACCAATAATTAGCGTAAACATCTTGATCAAGATCAGTGTATAGGAAATCACTGAAATCAACATTATTTACATTGTTTATTGAAATGGATTTATCGGCCCAAAAATTAGATGTAAAAAATTTACGTCCACTTATTCGTCGACCATTATGTTTACCAATCCGGTAAATGTTTGACATAATTTCATCGATTGATTTTCCATTATATGTTGTTACGGATGCTTGTTTCGTATAGATTTTTCTTGCCGAAAAACTTTTCATAAAATGTTTTTGACCAATAATATTTACATTTTGATTTCGATAAACAACATCATTCGTAAGTTTTTGTTTCAAACGATCCATTCGATAAACAATATGTTGTAAATGTTTTTTAATAATATTCGAAGCAATATTTAATTCATTCATTGCATAATCTCGACGATTTATATAAATTTTTTTAGCCATTTTAGCATCATTGATTTGATAACGTTTAACACGAACATTAGCACGAAATGTTACATTAAAATTGAATGTTAGATTAACGGCTAATTTCGATATGGTTTGTTGTTGATCTAATTGAAAAACTTTTTTTGTCATTTGTTCAATTTTCCTTTCATATAATTGTTTATTATAACGTTGAAGATTGTACAAATTTGATTCGGATGTTTTTCTCGTATTTTTCCCACCAGAATGTGAAATCAATGTTTCATAAGTGAAAAAATATAATTCCGATTTTGTTGTTAGTTTTAATTCGAATGCAAAATTACGATCATAAAAACTAACAGAATAGATTGGATGGAAAACAACATTCGATGACATTTTTAAATCTTTTGATTTAGACAATGTTCGTAATAATAAAAATGCTGAATTAGTTATATCATAACCATAAATTCTGATAATATCTTGATTTAATTGATCAAAATAGAAAAAATTATCTTCACGTGAATAGCTTAATGTTATTGAATTCATTTTGTAAACAATGGGCAAACGCATACGAGCTACACCTTGAAAACCTTTTGGCGAAAAAAAAATCTTAAAAGTTTCAAAAAAGAAAATAAAAGAAAAGATTAATCAAAACAAACCTTGTTTACCATCTTTCCATTGATAGATATATTGTTCGTTATGAGTAGCAATACCAACATAATAACGATGACCATTCGAAAATAATTGGACATCACGAATAAAATATTGCATTCGAAAAAAATTAACCATTTCGGTCATTCGATCATGATAACGATAAACAGCCCAATGTGTTGTATTCGAAACAACAATAAAACCTTGTGTCTGAATACGTAATGTACGGATATGTAATGCATTTTGTGCTGTCAAACAAATTACCGGATTATCATTTTTATCATCAACGGTATGAATTTCTAATTGAAATTCATCCAATTGTTTCCAACCAGAATCAATCAATGTAACAATACGATATTTATTTCGATCAAAATGAACAATATCGATAGCAACAACACGTTCATGAATTTTAAATGTATGCAATAATTCTTTATCGATTATTCGAGCACCATCTTGAACTTCATATAAACGTATTTCATAAAGACCATTAAAAATCAAAGCAGCTAAAAAGAGTTGATCACTATCATATTGACGATAGAATTTCATCTGTATCAATTGTCCTGACACTTTAACCCGGTTATTCATTGAAGAATCTTTATCATAAACTAAATTTTGGAAATGATCAAGATGAAATGTTGTTACAATGAAACTATGATTGAAAAAATACACCAAATAATGATGATTATGATGACGTTTATAATCTAAACCGATCAATGGTTGATTTTCGTTGATAAATTTATCTGAAATCAATCGCAACGATACATTTCTTATATCTAAATTTTCATACAAGCCTTTATAATTGATCATCTGATTGAACATTGCAGCCGATTGTTGTTTATTGTTCGTATTGATTGGATCCATTTGAAATTGATTTTCAAACATTTTCATTGCTTCTTGTGCAAGACGTTGTTTATGTTGTTGAATAATTATCTGCTTTTGTTTTTCAGTAAAATAACTTTGACATGAATATAATTGTAATAAAATTAAACAAAAGGATCCAAAGATCCATAAGAATTCACAGAGCTTCATTTTGCGAAGCTAAGTAAATGACAAAAAAGCAAAAAAACAAAACAAATATCAATATCAGTAAAATGATCAATTGAAATTGTTTTTCTTGATTTATATGAGAAAAAACTCCGGGAAATTTTTTTTCAAGTTTCAAGTTCAAAATTAATAATTATTTTGAAAATGAAGAATCAAATTTTTTTTTTTGAAATAAGAAAAATTTCCCGGTATTCTCAAAACATCGATTGTATCGCGATAGTATTCGTATACTCGGCTAAAAGGCTTTGTTTTTTCTTAAAATTTTCCAAAATCAGAATTCGCACTCGAATTTTTTTTTCCATTTTAATCTTTTGTTTTTTTTTTGTAATTAAAATTATTGATTTGAAAAAAAAATTTTCAAGTCATTTTTCAACATTATGAATCCAACACCCAATAAAATAAATCCTCCAAGTGGTTTTGTTCCTAATACTGGAATTCCATTATATCCTGGAGCCAGGCCATTTATGATGGGTGTTCAACCACCACATTTTATAAATTATCCATCTGTATACAACTATAATTCTTTTTTACAAGCAGGTTATCCTTATACTGGAACACCTGGTTATATGCCTGCTCCTGTTAATCCTCCTATTCAACCATATCCAATGTTTTCACATCCAATTTCAACTAATCAAGTATCAATGGTTAATCCACCCAAAGATCCAAAACAACAACAACAATCGCAAAATACTGCTCAAAATCAAAACGCAATTACATCTACTACAAACACTAATAGTTCAAATAATTCTTCAAAAGAATTTGATCGTCAAGCATTTAAAGAAGAACTACTTTACAAAAATGGACGTGAAAAAGATTGGCATTTACGTTTGTTGGCAAATGATCGCAAACAAGTAGAAACTATGCTTGAAGAAGCTGTTGAATTACAAATACATTTTCAAAATTTTCAAAAAGAATTCAACAAAATGTCACAAACATCATCAACAATGAATGCTGAAGCATTACAAAATTTTAATCTATGGAATAGTTGGAAAGAAAATTTGCTTGCACGTCGTAATCAAACATTTCTTTTGCAAGAAGAAAGATTGAATAAATTTTATCAAAAAGTTCGTAACAATGTTCCAGATATTGTTCAACAATCAATAACTTCAACATCAATGGAAGCAGTTAAACCATCCAATACCGAATCGATTGATTTGTCACGTGTGCAACAAGAAAGCCAAAGTCAACCTTTGCCAACATCTTCGATGCCAGAAACCGATCAAAATTCTCTTAATTCATCCGACAATCGTATAGTTTCCTTTGATGATCGAAAATCTTTGACATCATCGATTTCATCCGAGAATGATTATGAGTTGGCTAAAATCGATAAATTTTCAGAAAAATATAAGCCATCAGTTCAAAGTGCTTTGAATTATCAAGAAAAAATGAATCGAAATTCATTGTTTATGTTGGAGAATAAAAGATTCACAAAATCATTGAATGATTTTGCTTTTGTTCGCAATGAAATGATGTTCATTGATAATTTGATTTCATTAGCCAGATCTAAATCTTTTGAATATAAAGCACAACATCATGATATCAAATCGGAACCTGTTCCAATTAAACAGTCACCAATAAAAGAATCTCCATCGGCAATAAATCCTATACAAAAATCGAATACATTGTCATCTAATGTTTCAACTTCAAAATCGAATCCAATTTCTGTTCATACAAGCTCTAAACCGATTCCAGTGTCCAGTTCTTCGACTTCTTTGTCAAGACCGACACGACATAATGATTCGTCAGACTTGTCACAGAAAAAAATAAATCCACAATATTCATTAAAACCTGAACCATTTGATCAAATTCAAACAATCAAAATTCAAATCACTCATCCTGGTCAACGTAAAGTTACTAATGATATAAAGATTAATAAAATTGATAATAAAACTAATGATGATACGGTAAGTTTAGCGACCAATATTCCAACAATCGAAGCAACAACGAAGTTAACAGCTACAGTCTCATCCAATTCGAAAGATCAGCCTCGAACTAATAATATTCAAGTTCCAATCGTAAGCAACGATAATGACCGGAATCGAAATAAAACACCGATAATCGGTAATAGACCTTCAAATTTATTGCCCAAACCGCCTGCTTTATTATTGTCTGCGCCGATTTCTTCAACATTACCCAAACCGCCGTCTACTTCAATATTGCCAAAACCGGCATCAATATTGCCGAAACCTTCTTCAATGTTACCGGCACCGTCTACTCCAATAATACCCAAACCTGTTGTTTCAATATCGGCACCATCTACTTCATATTATATGCCAGGAACACAGCCTATTTTTGACCCAAAAAGCAGTTTGCCTTCTCAAACATCATCACCAATATCAAATACATATTCTAAAAATGATAAACCGATTTCGTCATTTTCTGTTCAAGATATGAACAGTTTCATCCGAAATGAACAAAAAAGTCTTCAAGAATTTGAATCACCAAAACTTTCACATTCATATGAAAATCCGAATTTTTTTACATTACCAAGAAAATATTCTGAAGAACCATTATCCATAAAAGATTTGCTTGATTTTCCAGGTCGATCATATCGTCCATCCAGAATTGTGTTCATTATTCGTGGCTTACCCGGATCGGGAAAAACTCATCTAGCACGATTAATTAAAGAAAGAGAAGAAAGCAATTCTCAACTGACTAAAATACGCTTTTTAAGTATGGACAATTATTATCTTAATGAACATGATGATCGTGATCATGAACGGTTCCGCAATGATAACGGATCATTTCGTGTAAAAACCTATGATTTTGATCCAGACAAAGAAGTTCAATTTAAATATATGTTGTTTAAAGATTTTCGTGAAATTACAACTCAAGGTTCTTATAATTTTATTATACTTGATTCAGTAAATTCGGCCATCAATGATGTTCGTCATTTTTATGCATGTGCCATTGAAAACAATTATATTCCTTATGTAATCGAAATGGAAGCTATCGTACGACGATTATTAAATTATTGTGTTGATAGTGAAGAGATTATTGCTTATTGTTATAAGCATAATCAACATGGACGTTCATTGGCTGAAATTAGATCTCTTTATAGTGAATGGCAAATACTTCCCGATGATTATCTTCGTGTAAATGCATTTCCATTGGTAGAAAAACATTCCGAAATTATTGAATCTTCATCAACAAGAATCATAGCAGAAGATAATGATCTAATCAAAATAAGGGTATGGATTTTTTTTAACTACATTCTTCATTTTCATATTTTACACTATGCCCATAAATAGATTTCAAATCAATCTACACCACCAAATCCTTATTCAAAATGGATGGATAATTCTCCTAGTCAGGCAACGTCATCATTCTCTTCATCAGGTTAGTAAAAACAAAAAAAAATTTTCTTAATCATATGAATTTGTGAATTTATTTAGATGAGTCTAGCATAATTTTAAAAATGTTTCCAATGTTTACATTATTCTTTTCATTTTATTATTATTATTATTGTTTACTAATAATTGACGACTATAATTGGAAAAGGAAGAAAAAAAAATCTATTGTTTTTATTTTTGGCTTTTCATTAGAAAAAAAAGCGCTAATATAAATTTAATTTAATCAATAATGATCAATTAGCGCTTGTTATTAATGTATACATTTTTTTTTTGATTGATAATTCTTTATTCATTCGTATTATTTTTGTATATTTTATTACAAAATTCTTTTTAGTTAATGTTAAAATAGTGAAGAAGAATGTTTGTTCATCGATTTTCTCTCTCTGTATGTGTGTATGTATGTGATTGATTTATTTGCGCTGAATGCATATATTGCAAATTTTGTTGTTTTGGTTGTTGTTGTCTACTAAATTTTTTTTTTTTTTTGATGGCAGATGTGTTATTATATATCTGTTTTGAAAATGAAATGTTTTTGAAGATTATGATGATTCAAATGTTTTCTTATAATATTGCTAAGGCTTTCGTTTTCTTTCTTTATTCTTTCTGTTCATTATTGTATTTAGTGTGTGGTGTATGTTTGAGTGTGTTTTTTTTTTCTTGTTGTTGAAAAATGACATTTGTTTATTCTTTGATTTCGTTTGAATTTTTCGGAATGGAAAAATTGAAATGGAAAAAAGTGTAAAATAACAAGAGCGAGATCGATATCTTTTTTTTATTATTGGGCAAATTGCACCCGAATTTCGATGTTCAGCTGAAGCAAATGAAAATTAAAACCATTTTGCACATGTGTGTGTTTGTTGAGAGAGAGAAGGGAAGAGATTTGTTTTATTTTTTTGAAATTGAAATGTCCAAAAAAAAAAAATTATTCTTGTTTACATTAGTTTTACATTCATGAGATTTTATTCTATTTATGTTTTGTTGTTGAGATGATTTTTTCTTTTTTTTTTGATGGATTCTTTTTCAAAGAAAAAAGTGACTGGTAAATAAAATGGTAAAAGCAACATTGAGATTATTATTATTATTATTTAAGAGTTTCCAATTATTTAAATGATTGATCGATTGATTGATTGATTGATCGTTCGTTCGTTTGCTTGATTGATTTTTAAGATGATTTCTCTTGTTTTACATGGATTTTCTTTTCTATTTGTATATATAAAGAAGTAATGCACGATTCTATATTGAAAAATTTATCATTTTTTCTCTTTGAAAATTAGATTATTATCAACAACAACAACAATCGAATGAAATGATACAAAATTATCATCATTCGAATTTTTCATCATCCACATCCGTATCAACAGCGACAACAACAACACCAACATCCGCATCATCAAGACAACCACGTTTCTGTGATAATGATGATGTGGATGATTTTGAAAGCCGAAATAATCGAATACCAAAAAGGGTAAGTTTTTTTTGTTGTTTGATTAAAAGGATTTATGATTATGAATTTGAACCATTTTTTTGATTTGTAATGAAATTATCTTACTAAAAAAAAAATAACCATTTAAATTTTCAGTCACGTTTTGATGATGGAAATAATACAATGATTGGCACAGAACGATGGAATGAAAATAATAATAATTTATCATATCCACATCAATCTACTAATAATTATTCTTCGACGTACTATCATGGTGCTGATCGAAGATATCATTGAGATAAACAAACAAGATTCAATTTTGTAATTTGTAAAACAAATAATTTTTATTTCATTTTTTTGTGGCTTATGGAAAGCCATATTAGTAAATTTTTATTTTAAAAATTTTACAAAAAAAGAAAAGAAAAGATTTTTGTGTAAAATAAAACATGTTTATGTGTTATGAAAAGCATGATGTAAATTCATCATTCATTTTATGTTTTTCGGATGACTATTATTATGATCGTTATTATTATTTATGGCCATCATCATTGTTTTCATTTTACCATTTTTTTGTTTCATTAAATTTTGTAGTTCACGAGATTTCATGGCAATTTGTAATTGTGCTTGAAATTTCAATGAATGACGCCATTTCATTCGACGATTCTATTTTGAAAAGAATAAATAATTTATTGGAAAACAAAAAAAGCAATAAAATGATTATTATTCATTAATTTGTTTTGTTTTGTAATTTTTTTTTTTGTAATTTGTATTTCAAATGAACCCTTCAGTTTCTGACTTTATAAAATTAATATATAAATTTAACATTTCTAAACATTGAACATTTAAAACTTATTGATCAATCGATTGATTGATTGATTGATTGACAAACATTACCATAATGATGATGATAATTTGCTAAATCATAATTTTCCAGCCATTCAATTTTGAATGATGGAGGAAAAGAAAAAACCCTATTGTTACACCGTTATTTACATTGTCGAATTTCTATTTCCCATAAATAAATAAATTATTTGGCAAAAGCAATTGATTATTGTTATTGTTGTGGTTGTTTAAATTGGCTCAATAATAACTTAATCATCAAGAGATGCCTGGAAAGCAAAAAGAAAAGCGACCGAAACTTTTTTCCCTCTCTCTTGGATTCGAATTATTGAATAATTAATTGAACAAATATTATTTTCGAAGCATTGAGCCATTTGATGTGTGTTTGTTGCACTACTATTTTTGACTGAATGACTTTTAAATTGAATTGTAAATGATTAATCATGAATAATAATAATAATAATAAACTATCCACTATGATTATGATGACTAAATCAACATTTTAGAAAATAACAATTTATCTTAATCTATGATATAATCATTTCGTCCCCCACTTTCCTTAAAAAATGAACATTTATTGTGTGTTTGTTGTGTTTGTCAAAATTGATTCGATCATAATTCGACACACACACATTTCTTTTTGTTTGTTTGATGAAGGAAAAAAGTTGTGAAATTTGAACCAAAAAAAAAAAAAACAAACCTGAAACCAAACTTTAACTTGTGAATCGGTTAGATTTAATTCTTCAGCCAAACGATGACGATCCGGTTTAGTAATATATTTTTGTATAGCAAATCTACGTTCAAGATTACGACGTTGATTTGTTGAAAATACTGCTCTTGACCAAGTTCGTTTTCGTTTATCATTTTTATTATTATTACGGATTTGTTGTTGTTGTTGTTGATTATTAGCTATTGATGATGATTTAGTTAAATGTTGTTGTTGTTGTTGTTTTACAGTTGAATTCGATGATTCATTCAAAATCATAGGCTCTGACAAAATTGGATCATTATTCAAAACATTCGATGTTGATGATGATGTTGATAATAAATATTGATATCGATCTTTTAAACAATTCCAATAGGTTAATTGATCAATATTTTCATTAATTGAATTTGTTGTTGTTGTTGTTGTTGTTGATGGTTGTGGTAAAAATTGTTGATATTGATTACGCATCCAATTGATTTGCTCCTGGTTGAAAAACAAATGTGGAATTATATAATCAAAAGGTGATGATGTTGATGATGAAGAAGATGTTGATGTTGATGAAGAAGTAGAGCCATGTATTCCAGGAATTGAATAATTTGTATTCGTCAATGATGAATGTATTAATGGATCAATGGGAAATGATGTTGTAAAATATCCGGATGTTTCACCACCATATCCACCGATCATTGAATTAATTGTTTGCATTTGAATTGTTGATTTATCAGGAGAATAATTTTCGCTTAAATGATGCTGATTAATAATATCTTCGTTGTGGTGGTTGTTTTTTCCGTTCAAATCCGTTTCGGAAGCCGTATTATTTAAACATAGCGGTGATGACGACGACGAAGAAGAATCCTCTCGATTTTTGATTTTCGTTTTCAAATCATTCGAACATGATGAAAGAATATTTTCCATAGCAAAGTTCAATATTTTTGATTTTGATTGACGATCTTTATCGATATGAATGTTATTATTCATGTCAACCATTTTTTTAATCATTTGATCTAAATATTTCGACAACAACAAAAAAAATCATTTAAAAATGTTTTCAATGGAAAAAATCTTTTCGAAAAAATCATCAACATTATGATGATACGTCGATACATTTTCAAATTCTTTTCTTTCTTTCTTTTCATATATAACTAACTGTTATTGAAATCCTATCCGATTCAAATATTTTGATATAAACATTCAATTCAATTAAATTTTGAAAAATTTTAATTTGAAAAAAAATTTCAATAACATTTCAATCTCCAAACTCTATTTTCAATTTCAAAAACAAACAAACAAACAAACATTACTTACTTACTTTTATCGAATCCCAAAAAAACAAATGAAATGAATATATCTTTTGAAATGAATTTTTCTTTTTATATAATCGATTTGGTCGAATGAAAAAAAAATTGGTTTTTCACTTATGTTCACTGATGACACTAACTTGTTGACACCAACAAGAATTTCATTTTTTCTCTAACTAAAAACAAATGTGTTTTTTTTTTTGGTTCACTATGATGAATAACTGTGTGTGTGTGTAAAAAAAATCAATTTGTCATATAATGATTATGATGATTATGATGATGATTATTAAATCTAATTAGTCTAATTATATGATCACATTCATGGCATAATATAACCAAAACTAATGATCAAAATCGACTAATGAATCCAATAATCATTTGGGATAATTTCTTTTTTTTTTTGAAAAATGAATGATCATAACCAAACAAAAAACATTTAAAAATTTACAATTATTATATCCAGTCAATGGCCAACTTTATAGCAAAAACAAAAAATTGTTGAATATAGTTACGAAGTAATGAAGAAAAGAGGAGGAGGAGGAGTCGAATTATTTGGTTAAATTTCAATATTGTCTTGTCTTGTGTCTTTGTGTGTCTATTACTATGTATATATTGGATGGATTGAAACAAATTGATCATCCCACTAAAACAGTATTTACATACAAGCAAATAGACAAATATCCGATCATAATAAAGACAAATAAAACATCATGCTTATAATGATGATGATGATCATCATCATTATGATCGGGATTTTTGTTTGTTTTTCAAATACTGTGAATTACTGTGGATCGAATGAAAATGATGGAAAAACATTCAGAAACATTTACATTCAGAGAAAAATGTTTATATTTATGTTTTCGGTAATATAAATCCATTATTTGGTGGTTATTGAAAAATTTTGGCACGTGTTTAGTCTCTTTTCACAAGAAATTGTTTTCCATTTGAAAATCATCATAACCATTTGGTTGGGGTTTGAAATCTAACAATTTGACTAAACCATCGTAGTCAATGATAATTATGATCATCATCATCTGGTTGACCATCAATTTTTTTTTGTTTGACGCGCGTATCCGTGTCATATGTTCTCACTTATTTTTATCCACATAAGTATAATTATAAAAGTTTGACGCAATTATGACTTATTTTCGAATATGCAACAAGTTGACAAAACAGACCATGATTTTTAGAAGCTGCCAACATTTGTTTGATGAGGTCACAACATTGAAAATTTTTCCATTCTTTTAATCAGTTGTGGTTTTCATAATTCTAATATGATTAGCCCTAAGGATATTCGTATTATTTTGATTGGTCACAGTCATGGTACTAATGTGATGACAAATGCAACGAATTTTCTTTTTTTAAAAAAAAACTTTTCAAACAAAAATTTGACAGAAAAAAACTCTTTTTATTTACATAACGAAAAAATTTTAATCAAATTAAACATCAAAAAAAGGATAGAAACATTTGAAGAACCTTTTTATTGTAAAATTTTTTTATAACAATCTGGTAATGAATTAACAGTTAACCATTTTAGTGGCCGTTGTGTTGATTGTGTCCATTCAGTAATGTTGACAAATTTTTTATTTATAACAACAAATCGTTCATCATTATCGTGGATTTTCTTCTCATCACAATCAAAATAATCTACACGTTTCAATTCGATTGGAATTTCATATCTGCGAAAAAGATTTTCAACAAAAACAACATTTTCATTGTAATCTTGTGTTGTTGTAGTTGTTGGACAAAACCATTCTGTTAATATCGACAATGGTAATCGTGTAGTAGGCGAACGATAAGCCAATGAAATAGATTTCAACAATTCCAAATGATGATATGGAAGATTTGTGATAAAAAATGAACAACAAAAAAGTTTATATTTACTTTGTAACATAATGATTTTACGAAGAATTTGTATATGATTACCAATTAAAAAGTTATAAATAAAATTTTTGATTATTTTGAATTGTTCAAGTTTTAACATTTGATTTAAATTTTTATCAAGTCTTAATTTACGATAACGATTAAAAGTATGATTTTCAAATTCTGGACGAAGATTATATAACAAATAAATCATTTCAAAACGACATCGCCAACGAGAAAATAATATTTTGTCAAAATGATCATAGTAAACAATCAATAGATTCAGACAATCTTTAAAATGAGTTTCATTAAGATGAGCGTCAAAATATCTATTATTTGTCGTTATTGATGAGGATTGGCTAATATGAATCCAAACAAAATGAGAATAAATATAAAATTCAATACAACGTTCCAATATGTAAAGACAATTCGAATCAAAACCTCGTTGAATGATCATATCTTGACGAACAGATCTTAATCTATCAAAAACAAAATCATAATAAATACCAAACTGTTCCCGAATATTCGATTCATTATTGTCACAATTGAAGAATTTTGTATAGAAACAATCGTTGATAAGATAATCGACAGTTTTTTTCAAAACAAAAGTAGGACGAATGTTTTCTGATATAACAATTTCTTTTCCAGCACTTGAACGTTGATATTGTTTGACTGATTTTTGAGCATTAGTAAATGATATTTTTCGATGATCATTGTTTTTCCTATTCTTCTGATACAATGACCATTCGTTTGGATTAATCAATTCCATTCTATGTAGCAGACCATTTTTCTCTCGGAACAGCATTTCTTTTGACGGACACATTTGCATACATTTTGCTTCGATTACTTGATCGTCTTGGTGATTATCACCATAAAGATTTAATGATGAAAATAATTCTGCCAAACTATCCATGTTTTGGAGATTTCGAATTTACCACTGCAGTGGCAACATTTCATTCACCTCAATCCACCTAAGTTGGCAAAAAAATGTATAAATAGTGTGAAATTCCTCTTTATTTTTTTCAAAAAATTTTATAAAATTTTTCCAGTTTGAGCTGAAACTATAAAGTTTTTTTTTGAGTAAAATAAAATGAGTTTTCTAAATGATGAAGCGTTCCAAACTGAAAAGAAAATATTGTACCCATTCAATTTCGAGGAAGTTGTATAAAATGTAAAATAAAATAAAAATTATAGTTAATATGGAGGCGAAATAGAGAATTATATGGTGATGACAATGGTTCCGAGTTGAGAAAACAATATTTTTTTTTTGTTGATAATGTTTGTGTAAAAAGAGATTGAGTTGCATTTATGGTTTCACAATTATACAAATTATATTTGCCGGAAAGAAAAGAATATTTACAAAATATTTGAAAGCAAAAAAAGAAAATAATAATATTTCTTTGTATTCAAGTGAATGAATGGTCGAGTAGATTTTTTTTTTTTAGTTATAATCAATTATTTCCTGAGATCCAAAACAAATACCTGCTCGGGGCGAAAAAATGAAAAATTAGCATTATGATATAATTGATGAATTTTAGTGATAAACATACGGATCCATCGGAGGCTGATGCTCCAACCTTATCTCCTTTAGAATTCCAACAAACTTCGAATATTCCTCCAGTTCCTTTATATGAGTGGACCAATTGTCCAGTCTGTGTAGACCAAATATGTACACATTTATCAAAACTTCCTGATGCTAGGAAGCGACCATCCGGTGAAAATGCAACCGAATATACTGGTTCATTATGTTTGGTCAACGTATTCAAACAGGTTCCTTTTTCCACTTCCCATAATCGAACAGTCGAATCAAACGAAGCTGAAGCTAACATGAGATTTAAATTAGCGTTGGCCGTTCCAGGACCAGTTGGCGACCATTTTATCGTATAGATTTCTTTTTGATGGGCTTGAAAATCATGTACAGGCGTATCTGAATTCATCGACCAAATCTTCAACGACATGTCATCCGAACACGATGCTAAAAGACGACCTTGTGGACACCATTTTATAGCATTAACTTCGTTCTGATGACCTTTGAAAGTTTTGACAGGTGTTAACGATCCCAATTTGCATACATGTATACATTGATCAGTGGAACAAGAAGCGAATGAGAAATTTGTTTGCCAATCAACATCCAATGCAGGAGCGCTATGAAATGCAAACTAAACGAAACAAATTGAATAATTTGTTAATGATTTAATACTAATTTATATTTACCTGTTGAGTGCATTGACCGGAAGATGCATCCCAAATAATTGTCTAAAAAAGATAAATTTCATTAAATTAATGGATTATGACAATATCAGATTAAACAAACCGTTTTATCCACTCCAGCACTCAATATATAATTGCCTTTTTTGTTCCATTTTAAAGCAAATATTGGACCTTTATGTTGTCCCAAAGTTGAAGCCTGTCTACCTTCGGTTGTCCAAATTCGTGCATAACCGTCATAACTACCTGTAGCTAATAATGTTCCATCAGTATTCCAATCTAACGATGTAACATCTTTGTTTGAAGGTACTTCAGTGCCTCTGTAGATTTTGTAAATTTTATAAAATCAAGTTCCACTTTGGATTTGAAAATCTTAAAATCTTACCCTCTTTGAATGCAATGACGGAGTATTAAATGATTTCCAGGATCAGCCATATTCCATATTCGAGCAGTTGAATCACCAGATCCAGATGCCAACAGATCAGACGTAGGATTCCAAGCACAAATAAATACTTCAGAATCATGACCACGAAGTACTGTTGCTTTTGATTGAGGAATATCAATATCATTAATCGAAACAGTTGTTGTTGGCTGATGTTGAGATACTTGTTGAGTTCCTCCTCCTGGATTATTATTTCCAATATTTAATGATGCTATTACAGGTGAATTTAAATTGGCCATGTTAGCCGACGATGGTGGAACAGAATTTGTTTGTACAGGTGTTGGCTGTTGGGCACTATTTACGGATGAAAAATTATGTGGTGTTCCAGAGCGAGAAGCTCCTGAATTCTGTTGCTGTTGATTACCGCTGCCAGGAGGTAAATTATTCAATGGAGCCATATTTGAATTGCTGGACATTGTCATCGAACAATATTGATCGATTTCCATTTTGATCGCGGAATTATTTGAGGTATTTTGAGTAGAATTTGCTGTACCATTTTGAACCACAGAATTTATAAGGCCATTGTTATTCGTGACCGTATTATCTTGATTTGCATTACCACTATTATTATTAGCTGAATCATTTGGTCTTGAAGAATCATTGTTCGTATTGTTACTGCAGTTGTTATTATTGTTGGCATTGGAAGTTGAATTGGATGCAGTCGGTGGTCCAGTGCCGTTCGGTACATTTCTATTGTTTCCACTTGCATTATTTGCTTCCAAACGTGATAATTGTATTCGATGAAGAAATTCAGGTGTAACAGCATCAATTAATGACATTGCTTCAAATTGTCTTTCGCCTCCATCATCATTGTCAGCATAAAGCTCTGCTTCAGTGTATTGTATACCTGAATCAAAATTCAAATATTAAAAAAAATAAGTTTTAAAGAAATAAAATACTATCAAACCTTTTTGAATGATGGATATTAATGCTGCCGGTGGAACTTGGGCGCCATTTATATTCGATTGGCTAACATGTGATTCGATACCGAATGTAAAAGCAGAATGTATGAATCCACTTTCTTGTAGATATCGATAAATAAGATAGTTGATCTAACAAAAATTATCATCAATAAAAAATGAACGAAAAAAAACATCAAAAAAAATCAAATACCTCATCTGAAGTAAAACTCATGATTTTAATGTTTAATCGATTGATAAATTCGGTCAATCATTCAATCAACTTCAAAACAATAGTGGAATCAAATTTTTTTTTATTATAAAGAATTTGCACGCAATCCCACAAAAAAAACAGACAAACAAACAAATGTAATTCGAAACAAATTTTGATTAATCAAAATGATGATGATGTCGATAAATGAATAAAATGAATTTTTTAAATTTTACAAATGTTATATCCATTGATCAGGATCAGCTTAAACAATACACAGGTTGTATATCATATTTTCTATTTATATCGAAATCAAATTAATTATAAATGGACGAAATTTCGAATATTTTGTATAAAAAAAACAAAAAATATTTGATTAATGAAAAATAATTGTGGAGCCAAAAAAAAAAAATCACTGAAACATGAAACAATACCCAACCATGACCATCATCATCACAAACAACACCAAACAGCTATAGCCTCCTCATCCCGAGAACCCAGCAAAAAAAAAAAAAAGTCCATGCATAAAAGAAAAGAGGGAGAGCTTTATTTTGGTGTGTGTGTGACGAGCAGCCGCTAATTGAAAATTAGATTCGATGCCCAATTTATACGTTGCATGATGAATTTTATTTTTTATTTTTATTTTTTTGAAAGTTTTTTTAGAAAAAAAGGAATGAAAAAAATGATTAAAAATGTTGTTATCTTGGAAAAAAAAATTCTTAAATAAAAGTATATTATATAATTTCAAAGTAATCCTTGTCGTTTGAGATCTTCATAAGTCTTTTTATTGACTACATTTCCTTGGCTATCTTCATATTCTTCTTCGTTTGCCGGTTGAAATTTTTCCTTATGTTTTTCATTTTTTAATTTTTCCCACAATGCTAATGCATCCTCGATTTTGGTTACATTTGCAAAATGTGCCGTATTTGGTATGCCTAAACATCGCATACCGTGTGCATGACGCCATTCGGCAAAATGTTTTTGAAAAGCTTTTGGTCCTTTATAAATGGCATTTCCACAAATCTCACAGGTATAAGAGATGTTCAAACCATGAAGTTTATAAAGCCAATATGGTATAGGTTTACCATCCCAACCTAGTGGTAAATTTTTAGGATTATAAATGACATCAGTTTCTTCTTCTTCTTCTGGTTCACTTTCTTCAACTTCTTCATCCGATTCTTCACGTTCTCCTGCAGTACGAGCTTGTTTTCGTTGTACATTTTCTTTTGTTGATTGTCGCTAAACATAAATAGTTTAGTAATAATAGTTATAATGTTTAATTCATAGATTACCTGTTCATCTAGAATATCTATATATTTATAGATAAGAATTTCCATAAAAGCAATCGCTTTTTGTTTGTCAGGATCCATAGAGAAACCTTTACGTTTGGCAAATAATTTCGGATCAATTTCATCCGGTGATTTATCTCGAATTTGCCATAATCTTTGTGCTCGTTCTTCTAATGTTCCACCACATTTAAGATTCAATGCAATCAAAGCAGATTTAAGACGATCCAAACCTAACGAAGCTAATTCTTCACAAGAATTGAATGCTTGCAAATCCAATGGTGCTCCAGTATTTGACAATACTCCGCTTGTTTCTTTTGGCCAACCGGGAACCTGATGGTTTGCCCACATACGTTCGAAATCTTCCTTTAAATTTTCAACAATCTAAATGCAAAAAACAAAAATTTTCTTAAATTTAATCATTATTATATTAACCAAAATTAGTCTTACGTCTTTGAGTGGAAGTAAAGGTTTGACCCGAGTAATATAGTTTTCTAAATATTCACTTAATGATTCAAGATATTTTTCATATCCAGAATGAAATTTCTTTTCCTTGGGAATATCGTAAAATCGATCAAACATATTTAGATAAGTCAAATAATCAATCTTTGAAAAATTTGTTCCAACGATTCCTTTTAAATTGATGTATTGATTGAAACTTTCATTCAAATCTAAAAATTTCCCATATCCTTCTTCGTCGGTAAAATTGACCAAATTAATATCGGTATCACGTTCTTGAACAAATTTTTCATATTCAGTACCGATCGGTATAGCTATTTCGTTCTGATGATTACGATAAAAATCTTTAATGTTTTTCAAACGTGAATAAAATTCATTAAACTCATTTGTTTGCATAGCAGCAATTTCTGATTTAATTTGACCAGTTTTATCATCATACATCGTAATAATACGTTTGGTAACATCGATATATTTCTGTTGAGATAATCAAGAAAAAAAAAGATTAGCTAAACATTAGATTTCATTATTTAACACAAATACTCACATCAAGTAAATACTTGACACGATGATCCGAATTAATATTTTCACGATGTGTAGTTTTTTTGACAATCAATTCGCGAACCATTGAATTTTCTATTCGTTCACGTTCTTCATGCAAAAGTCGATGATCTTCAAGATAACTTTCCATTATTATCAGATTTGTAAATATTAATTTTATAAAATGAATTTAAAATTTGTTGTTATATCAACGAAATGCCGATTTTTCATTTTTTACAACAAGGACATCAACACAAAGGACGTAACGAAAAAATTTTTCCAATCTGAAATTCTGGAAATTCAAATTGATTTTTTTTCAATTTTTACAATCATTTTAAATAGAAAACTCTCAATAAAATCGATTAAAAGATCAATTTGAAAAAAATGAAAAATTTTATTAGTATTTTTTTTTTAATTGAAAAATGTTCACATTTCTTATGCCGCTATTTTAGGTGGTTCAGCAACTATTTTCGATTCCGAAAAAGGATTTGTTGGAAGTACCTCATCTTTCGGATTAACAATTTGAACATTATCGGGCAACGGAATCTTTGGTCCTTTCTTTCCAGTATAATCTTGTTCCAACATAATTTTGACCTTTATTCCCAATACACCTTGTCTTAAAAGTACATGTCTGACAGCAACATCAACGTAATCATTTTTAGGCTGACCAGAATGAATCATCCATCCATCAACAAATTTCATACTTTTGGCTCGTTGACCACGAAGTTTACCGCTAACAACAACTTCACAGCCTTTGGCTCCAGATTCCATGATGAAACGAAGAACACCATAACAAGCACGACGAACAGCCAGACCACCGATTAATTTGTAACGAAGAGATTCACATTGTGCGATAGCACACAAACCTCTATCAGCGATTTTCAAAGCAAAAATCTATCAAAAACAAAAATTTTACATTTATTATTTGAATAAAATAGAAAAGCTGTTAAACATACTTCAACTTTGTCTTCATCGAAATTGAATCGTTTTTGGACCAAAGATGTCAATTCACGGATTCTTCGACCTTTTTCACCTAAAACTGATTGTGTACGAGTAGCAAAGATGACGATTCTAGTTTTAGAGGCTAAAGTATAGACATCCAAACCACTGTAACCATCTTCAGCCAATTCACGGCGCAAAAATTCATCCAATTCGGCACGAAAAACACCTTGATTTACAAACTAAATTGAACGAATTTTTTTGGATAAAATTAATCAGATAAAACGTAGATAATTACTTACGGTACGTTTTTTTGAAATTTCTCTCGACATGTTTGAAAATGATAAAGAATTTTTGTCAATAAAAAAATGAAAAAAAATACATGTGATGAATATGCAGGCAACAGCGAAAGGAAGCAGAAACCAGCAATACACAAGCACACGCATGCACAACACACACTCACACCATCAATATTTTGTGAAGCACACTTTTTTTTTTGTGACTCCATTCATAAATATCAGTAACAGATTTTGATTTTTAAATCATGCTAATAAAAAAAAAATTTATTTTATATAATTTTATAAAAATATATTTTAGATTCCGGTATCGGTCAATTAATTGAAAATTAAGAGTACGATTTAAATTCAATCAATAAATGCTTCTGGTGGCAATGCATTGGCCTGTTTAAGTTTAAGAAATACATCGTATGCAACGGCCGGATTGAATCCATTTTCTTCAAGACATTGTATTGAAAATTGTCTATTCATTTTCGTTTCTTCTTTGAATTTTCGAATGATTTCTTCGCGTGGGTCATTTGATAATTTAGGTGCCGATGAAGCAAATGTAACATTTGATTGATTTGTTATCAAATTTGATGTGACTATTAAATTTGACGGTTTAAAATCAAAATTCTTCATAACTAGATCAGCTTTATTGGATGATGTTTCTTTTTCAATCAATGGTTTGTGTTCATTTATCTGTTTTATCTGTTCAAAAAAAAAGATGAAAAAATATAAGAAAATGCAAACAAAAATAAATTACAAAAAAATAAATTACCGAAGGAGATGAAATCAAAAGCATTTCATTTAGAATGACAAATCCATTATTATGTGGGACCAAAAAGAATGTTCGGCAAAAGGATCGGAATGAACTTTGTGTTTTTAAAGTTTCTTGCAATAATCCATTAACAACGACATTAATAAATTCTTTGCTAAAAAATGGTATATCAACTTGAAACGTATCCAGATGATGTTTTGTAACAGGCAATTTGTTTAAAAATGAAACAATATCCACATTCGATGTTTTGACCAATTTCACCCATAAACTTTCATCTCGTAAACGGAGTAGATTATGTGATTCTTTCATTATAATATCATTCGGTCTATACATTCTATAATTTGAAAAAATTAATTAATTTTGGAAAATAAATTTTGAATAGACTTACGAATTATTCGAAGCAATACTGTGAGTGAACGTCGCTGAATCATGATAAGCGACCATCAATTGTTGTCGTGAATCCGAATCATACATTCGAAAATATTCTTTTAAGAAACCAGTGATAAAAGTTTTCAGACTTTCATCAGGAATGAATGAACCCTAAAATTTTCAGGGAAATGTCAAATATAATAGGAAGTTCGTTTTGATAATAAGAATATATTGTACCTTTTTTTCCGGTATATTATCGGCTACAGCCAAATCGAAACCAATTTCAGTGGGTAATGCTTCTTTGTCCTTGATGATAAGGAAAACAATTGATGTTACAAAATTTTTTTTTTTCTTGAAGAAAATCAAACTTACCAAGGTTTTTAAATTTTTAAATATTTTCCGTATTGCGCTGAGAATAAATCCATTAAAAAAAGAAATAATTAAAAAAACATTTTAGAAAAATTTTGATTTTAAATTATTTAAAATTAAAAATATTTTTTTTTGGAAATATAAAAACTGAAGGAAAATTCTTGCATATATCGCGAATCAATTACTAGGAAAATGTATTCAGATTTAATTATCAAAATTGCCTTTCAACAAACAAATTATCTTTGAATGATAACGAAGATAATAAACCCCCGGTTAAAAAATTCATTTTAATTGAATTTAATATAATTGGTGTACAAAACCTTTTGATAAAAATTCTTAATTTACTTTTATATAAATGTTGTTTTGAATGATTAATAATTCGATTAAATTTTTTTTTTTTTTTTTTGGAAAACCAAATGTACTTTTTTCAACAGTTCATTTCGAACGTTTATGTCATTATGGCCGTTTGTTTAGTAAACTATGA